TATATTGATAAGATTGAAACTAAATTTTCTGATAGCAACAAATATATTAATATTGAATGTAATAATAATAATAATAATAATAATAAAAGTAATAATAATAAAAGTAATAATAATAAAAGTATTAAAAGTGCCTAAAGACCTTGGCCTGCACTTAAACACAATCGGCACTGACAAGATTACCATCTACCAGCTGCAAAAGGCCACCTTACTGGGATCTGCACACATTATTCACCAATACATCACACAGTGCTAGACACTTGGGAAGTGTCCGACATGTGATCCAATACAACAGCCAGCAGAGTGTCTGCTGTGGACTCATCTTGTTGTGTTTCAAAAAGTAATAATAATAATAATAATAATTGTATTCTTGGTGATGCAGTGGGTTAAACCGCTGAGCTGCTGAACTTGCTAAGTGAAAGGTTGGCGGTTTGAATCCAGGGAGTGAGGTGAGCTCCCACTGTTAGCCCCAGCTTCTGCAAACCTAGCAGTTGCAAGTGTGAGTAGATCAATAGGTACCACTTCAGTAGGAAGGTAATGGCGCTCCATGCAGTCATGCTGGCCACATCATCTTGGAGGTGTCTATGGACAAAGCCAGCTCTTCGGCTTAGAAATGGAGATGAGCACCACTCCCCAGGGTTGGACTCAGCTAGACTTAATGTCAAGGGGAAACCTAGACCGCATCTCTCTCCCAAAAGGGACTCAGGGCGGTTTAAAATACCAAAGCAGGCAAACATTTAATGCCTTACAAAGTAGTAAGCAACATCAGGAATAATACACAATAATGAACAGTGAACTTATAATGAAATAATTAAACGTTGAAATGGGGACTAGGTAGTAATAAACCAAATTAGACAATAAACTGGGGCATGTGTAAATATTAAATATATATAATTTAAAATAGTTAAATATGAATTGTATTTAAAATATCTAACATAGGTGTTTATGAAAAACTGTCTTCAAAGGCTGCCTCATGTTGAGAACATTGCAGCAGTCCAAATAGGATGTGACTAAGGCATGGACTACTATGGCCAAATCTGGAATTTCAAGCTATGGGTGCAGCTGGTGCACAAGTGCAAAGGTGCTCCTATCCACCACCGACACCTGGGGTTGCAGGGTCAGCTATGAGTTCAGGATCACCCCCAGACTACGAACTTGTATCTTCAAGGGAAGTGCGACCCCAACCAACTCAGGCTGAAATTCCACTCTGATCAGTCTTATGACTGCCCAGAAGTACCTCTATCTTGTCTGGAATTAATTTCAGCTTGTTGGCCCTCATCAAGTTCATTACTGCTGACAGACACCGGTTCAGGACCAGGACAGCATGCTTGGCATTTGGTGGATGCCAAGTTGATGATGCCATCTGTTTTGACAAAACAGTAGGAATTAATAAGGTTTGAAAGGTATGGATAAGATCTACAAGCTGCAGTGAGAGGCAGGTAATACATTAATTATTACTACTACTTCTACTGGGGCTGGCTTTAGCACAGCAGATTAATCACCAGCTACAGTTGCAGTAAATCTTGCCAACCTAAAGGTTGACAGTTTGAAGCCAGGTCAGGGTGAGCTCCTTACCTTCAGCCTAGCTTCCCGCCCACCTAGCCGATCGAAAACAGCAATGTTTTAAATAAATAAATGTGAGTAGATTGGCACAGAGTTTTGGAGGAAAGTTTACAAAGGTCTTTGGCAAGGATGCCAAAGTGACAGCACCCCCTATGGTTGAAACCAAGCACAGCCTCCAAAAGATGCCAAATGATGAGATGAAGCCTAAAATATACCTCTATCTGTTGTCTGTCTTGTCATTGTATAATTGGCATCGAGTGTTTGCCTTACAGTTGTTCTGTGATTTGCCCTGAGTCCCTTTTGGGGTGAGAAGGGTGGAATATAAGTACTGTAAATACATAAATAAATACTATAAGATACACATGGAAGCAAGGTGATAGCCAGTTGTGAGCCGCTGTATCAGTGACCTGAGCTGATTAGATGAGACAAAGCCATAAAAGGTAGCCTTTTACTCCTTAAGGACAGTTACGTAGCAAATGACCCTCTCCAGCCCCTTCTACACTGCCATAGAAGATCCAGATTATCTGCTTTGAACTGGATTATATGGCAGTGTAGACTTGGCATTTCCTAACAGTCTTTCTTTAAAGTCTGTCAGAAATATGGGGGAGTTTGTGGTGTGTCTATCTAGTTGCATTCCATTTCCAGATAATAAATTAAGATTGCTTGCCTCTTCTGACAATAGAAACTATTGCCGATGGGAGTTAATTATCCAACAGCCCGGAATAAATCTCACAAGATAAAATAAATCTCACAAGATAAAATCTTCTTTCTTCCTTAAAAATGACAATGCGTTCCTTTTAGTTGTGGTTTAACACAGCTCCCACGCTGCAATGGGTATTTTTCTTGACGCCTCCAAAAAAAAAAAAAAAAAAAAGGTCTGCAATACCCCTAAAAATGTTATCCCCCTCTCCCCACTRCTCCAGCCTGAGACCAACAACCTTCCCAGAACACATCTCTAACCAARTGCAGCACTTCCAGCGTCCTGACCAGTGGCACCTGCTTTGCCATAGGTTAGTTTCATAACTGATGCATTGAGAACGGAAATGTGTAGAGGTAAAACACTTGGAGAGGGGGAATGCAGATTCCAATTGCTACTCTTCTGTAGTGTTGTGTGGGACCYCCCTCTCTAAGGCTTACACCCAGAGCCTCTGTGGGCCGCAACAAAGCCTTGTGAAGACTATATCCGCTCCCTGGGATGCATGTTGTGCAGACCTGATATTTTATTTATTTATCGTATCAGGAGCGAGCCAAGGGTACAGTTGTAATGTATTTTTAAAAACATAACATTTAAAAACTTGACATTATATTAAATGTCCTTTGACCAGTAGCCRGCCACTTGGAGTGCCTCTGGTGTTGCTATAAGGAGGTCCTCCATTGTGCATGTGGCAGGGCTCAGGTTGCATTGCAATAGGTGGTCTGTGGTTTGCTCTTCTCCACACTCACATGTCGTGGCCCCATTTCTTAAGGYTGRCTCTGCATCTCGTGGTTCCAGAGCGCAGTCTGTTCAGCGTCTTCCAAGTCTCCCAGTTTTCTGTATACCCAGGAGGGAGTCTCTCATTTGGTATCAGCTGTGGGTTGAGGTTCTGGGTTTGAGCCTGCCACTTTTGGACTCTCACTTGCTGAGGTGTCCCAGCGAGTATCTCTGTAGATCTTAGAAAACTCTTTCTTGATTTAAGGCGTTGGCATGGTGGCTGATATTTGAACAGAGGGTAGGCCAGACATGTCACTACCTTGGTCCTTTCATTATTGGCTGCTACTTCACAACAGATGTCAGCAGCAGAATACTCAGGCCTGGTATATGGTAATGTAATGTTACCAAAAATTAAGTACATTCTCCCATGTCAAAACAGAAAGCAAAGAAGAAAAGTCACCATTACTTTAATTTTGATACTCTATGGAGAGTTATTCTTTAAGGTGACAGAGTCTATCGAAAAGGGGTTTTAAAAAAGAGTATACGCTGACTCACCATCAATAGAGTATGAAATATGCTATCGTATGGACTTTTATGAGATCGGTGCTGTTGTTTTTACTGGAGCAAACAGTAGTAGATCACAGTGGCTACAAAGTTAATATGTTCTTTTTGTCAGTGTAGACAAGACCTGAATTCTTCAGGAACCGGGAAGTTCCATCCCCACATCTCTAAATGATATGCTGCTTCCATTGCAATCTGAAGGAGTAATAGAAAATTTGTTGTTTCTCATTTGGCATTGCACTAGTGTGGCTCAGGACCTTATCAAATGCAGTCTTCTCTGTGTCTTCACTTCATTGCCAAAACGGAGGCCCATAGAGCCCATCACATGATGCAGATTCCACAGGGCTCTGTTTCAGCAGAATGCGGAAATTGAGCTCAGTGCCTTTGGAGGAGTCAGGGAAAGAAGAGGAAACCATGTGGGATGGGAGGCCATCCCAGAAGGGGAAAGATGGTAGAGAATGAAGGAGGATGGTTTGCTTTCCACCGCTTTCCCCTTGCCTGTCTGATGAGGTCCTTAGTCCAGCAGGAGAAGAGTGGAGGTCTCTTCCCCCTTCCCAAGGTGAGCCATAAATTAAAACACATCTTATAAATTAAAACACATCTTAGCAGTAAGTGGATAAAAGATGCCTATCCAGTTATGCTCTCTGTGCATGAGTAGAGGGCATCTTGGGCAAAACACCTTTCCTGTTTACCAGCAACATTGAAAATAGCTGTGTTGGTATCATATCATATCGTATTGTATCATACCAGATATACTAGAGCCCTCAGTGGTGCAGTGGGTTAAACCCTTGTGCTGGCAGGACTGCTGACCGATAGATCAGCGGTTCAAATCCTGGGAGAGTGGGTTGAGCTCCCTCTGTCAGCTCCAGCTCCCCATACAGGGACATGAGAGAAGCCTCCCACAAGGATGGTAAAACATCAAAACATCTGGGCATCCCCTGGGCAATGTCCTTGCAGACAGCCAATTTTCTCACACCAGAAGTGACTTGCAGTTTCTCAAGTCGCTCCTGGCACAAAAAAGAACATGATAGAGATATTTTGTAGCCAAAAGACACTGGTTTGTACCTGTAAATTTTGATACTAAAACAATAACTGCAGCCATCTAGATTTAGCTTAGTTGGTCGGGCAGAACTAAGGAGACTTATGAACTTTAGTTAAGTACAGCATTTCTGTAGTTAACTGCTCCTTTTATCATTACTTTCTCTCTGGTGATGTTTGGAAAAGGAGATTACCAAATTTCTGTTAAAATGGTGCTGCTCACCTACACCTTTTACTAGCTCATCTTTTTAAAAATCCTGTAGCTATATTAATAGGGACATAATTTCTTATTGATTGGTATTTTAAAATCCAACTGTTACATATTGCAGCCACAATTTATTTTCTCTGCTTCATTTCATTTTATTGTATTTTATAATACCCCCTTTTAGATCATTACACAATTATTTTTTAAAAAAACACTGGAAAAAAGAATGTTTTGAATTTTTATACAGTTCTAAAAATGGATACAGTTAAAAATTAGAGTTCTAAAATTAAAATGTTAATAGCGCATAATTGCACCTCCTTTGACTGCATTTCCCTTCTTTTGGAAAATATCTTGACTCTCACGATGACATCAAAAGGGGTAAAAATGTCTTACACAATAACTTGGATTGCAGACACAAAGTAACCTAATAAATGTATAAGTGCCCCAAGGATTACATCTTTGCAGTAATTGTTTCCTACATTTTTCTGCATTAACTGCAGCATTTTAAAAACCGTTCAAGAGCCAGAAACATCTAGACAGATATCCAGTATTCAGTTCAAGGTATTTGCTGTCAAACAGTCACACAGAGTTCTCTTCTCCACTTTAAAAAGCAATGTCTCTGTCTGCATGGAAAGAAAGAGAGAGGGAAGAAATATATTTGTTATGGAAATTAGCATCAAGTCATTTAGTATGCTTGGGCAAGAACTGCTTTGCTGAAACAATACTCCACATGTCAGATTGGAAGGAATAGTAAAGGTAAAAGTTTCCCCTTGACATTAGTCTAGTTGTGTCTGACTCTGAGGAATGGTGCTCATCTCCATTTCTAAGCCAAAGAGCCGGTGTTGTCTGTAGACGCCTCCAAGGTTGGCATGACTGCATGCAGCACTGTTACCTTCCCACCAAAGCAGTGTCTATTGATCTACTCACATTTGTATGTTTTCAAACTGCAAGGTTGGCAGAAGCTGGGGCTAACAGTGGAAGCTCACCCAGCACCCCAGATTCGAATTACTGACCTTTCGATCAGCAAGTTCAGCAGCTCAGCGGATCAATCCACTGTGCCACCAGATCACATCTATTATTGGTGACAACAGTGAAGGTGGGTCTGGATCAAGGCATCAACTAACCCAACTGTTGATAAACATGCTGACCCTCCAGAATGCTGCTAGAAACTTTGGGATGGTGGAAAAGATCCATCTGAAGACCTGCCCCACATGATCCTGCTGCATGACTCCCTAAGCTGGGCCAACTCAATTACTTGCCCCACATCCAGTCCTATGGGAGGGACCTCCTTCTTTATCAATGCTAAATAGACACTGTCCATAGATTTTACAGATCCAGGACGCATACAATCTCCCCAGAATGCTGTGACAGTAACGAGGAACCCCACATGTCATAAAATACATCCGTATAAATAGCATATGTAGCTCCCACTGACCACAGGGTGGGTGAGTTTGTTGCTACACCAGATGGACAGCCTAGTGCACACGAGAGCAGTCTGATTGGAGTTAAAATCCCACCCACGCCACTCCAGTCAGACCCAGTCAAATAGACTCAAACCCTGCTTTAAGCCCATTGGTTGGTGGGTTTCGCTTTCCGCCAGGCTGTGCCGGGCCACACAGACACCTAGAAAGAAGTGGGCAGTACTTGTTGTGGAGATGGATTGCCCCAGCTCCACTATTGCCACAACTCCAGAAATCTGTTGTACAGTAAGTAGTCATCCCACAATTCCCTGTATTTTCTTAAAAATAGAGCCCTGTTGATCATGTTGAGCTTGTAATAAAAACCTTATTAAACACATTTTTTATTACACGTGATTTACAATGTTTAATAGAAATATTTTATCTGAAATTTGGGCTATCCACATTCTATTGTGTGCAACATCTTATTACTATATGCAAAGAATAATTACTATAAGTAACTTATAGAAAACAAGGGTTGCTAGGAACACTCACAACTTTTGACATGTAATATGTAGGGTCTAATCCAGGCATGGGCAAACTTGGGGGCCACATGGTGGGCCAGGAAGGGCTGGGTGGGCTGGAAGAGGGGATTCTCTCTAAGTCCCCTCCCTGCCCTTTCCTCCCCTTCTTCTTTTTTGGAGGCATAAAGTGAAAGAAAGACAGGAAACATTTGGATCCCAAAACACTTGGCCTTGGTCAAGATGAGATGGTGGACGGAAGAGAGAAAATGTATCCATTAGACCCCATATTGCCTGTTCCTGATATAGAATCCTAGAGTTGGGAGATACTCCCAAGGGCCATCCAGTCTTACCTCCTGCCATGCAGGAAGGCACAATCAAAGCACTCCCAATACACAGCCTCTGCAGAAAAGCCTTTAGAGAATGAGAGTCCACCACACTCCAAGGTAGCTTTGCCACTCTCCAGGAAGTTCTTCCTAATCTTTTCAGTCAAATCTCTTTCTTTGCCATTTTAACCCATTGCTCCCTTGTGCCTTGGTCTCTAGAACACCAGCTTTCCCCCTCCTCCTCAATGGGACACCCCTTTAAATCTTGAGACATGGTTCTTGTGCTCCCTCTCAACTGTCTCTTCTCCCAGCTAAATATCCCTCCGGAGGAAAGAAGGAGGGGAAAAAGCAAAGGGAGGAAGGAAGAGAATGATGGATGGAAGGAAGGGTAGAAGAGAATGGAGGGAAGGAGTAAAAAGAAGGAAGGAAAAAGAAAAGGAAAGGCATGAGAAAGAGAGAGGGAAGGAGGGAGGAAAGAGGGAAGGGAGGATGAAAGGGTGGAAGGAAAGGATGGAAGGAGAAAGTGGGAGGTAAGGAAGGGAGGGAGGGAAAGAGGAAGGAAAGAGAGAAGGAAGGAAGGATAGGAAGGTGAGAAAGAGGAGGGCCTGAGAAAAGAGCCCAAGGAGCCACATCTGGCCCCTGGGCTTGGGTTTGCCCATACCTGGAATCCATGTGATAAATTCACTCCTGTTGTTGCTACAGTTGTTGTGTGCTTTCAGGTTGGTTCCAATTTATGGAGGCCCTAAGCTAAATTTATCATGGGGAAAAGTTTGTTCACAGGAGGTTTGCACTTGTTTTCTTCTGAAGCTGAAAGAGTATGATTTATTCAAGGTTTCCCAGTGAGTTTCTATGGCCAAGCAGGGATTTGAATTCTGGTCTGCAGAGTCATAGCTCAACACTCAAATCATTACATGACGTGGCTATAGCTTGGAGACAACCTGAATGCACACAATAACGATAATATTTGACAGCATGCAAAAGACATGTCTTTTAAGGGCAGCTAAGGCTGGAATACAGCATGAGAAATATACCAGCACACAAATAAATAGTCACTGATGCTCTATATATCAGCTTAAAATTAACAGTAATACTTGTCAATGATTCTGCTAAGTAATATTGGTTAAAAAAGTTAACTATCAAATATGAATAGAAACAATATTTTCACCAGTCTTTACTGGAGGAGCTACTTTCCCAACGCTCTTTGCCTGCTGCTTCCATTTCCCTTTTGGGACAACAAACACTAGATTCCAAACATCTGGAGGAACTGCAGGGGAAAGCTAAGGCAGGTTAGATGCTGTCAGAGGATGGAGCTCCACGGCTTGACATCATCTGTAAGCTGCCCTGGGTCCCCCTCTGGGGGTTCAGAAGGGTGGGGTACAAATAGTTGAAATAAATAATAAATAATAATAAATCCAGCAAACGAGGTGAGATGGAGTAACAATTCAGACCTTGTATCAATCCTATTTCTCACCCAGCTTTAAATGCCATAGGCTTCTTTTCCCCCTTCTCAAGAAAACATCACTAACCATTAATGTGAACATAATGGTTTCTTAAACAACAATCTATCTGATTTTGCCTCTGAAATGATAGCCAACGAAAGTCTTAATTTATATGTACCTTAAAAAAACCCAATGATCTATAGAATGCTTGCGTGTGTCTGTGCACATGCATATGTTAAGAACAAAGACGGATGCCTTACCCGTGAATCTAAATTGTAAGCTGTTTTCTTTAAATCTTGCAAAGCTCTTTGCATGAATTCAAATGCATGGCAATCAACACATGGGCGACCTAGAAACATTGGTAAATAAGCATGTAATATTAATGAGAACAAAAGTGTCTGAATTTAAGAGAACAGTAGCCAAAGCATCCTCAGAAATAGAATTTACAAGTCTAAGTCTAGCTTCATAGAACATTTTTTTTCTGATAGATTCCTCCAACCCCATCAATACAGTTTGGAGCACTTCAGAAACACTATATAGCTTTGAGTGTCACAAAAAATGCCAAAATACAATGATCAACATTAAGGATACAAATTAAATAATGTATACAAAATTATATTGTTTATTTCAGTAATATAACTTTTTTGACTTCTTGCTATCCAAACTGGAGTACTGTCTTGGTTTTTACTGGAAGTATCCAAATAACGCCTCTGGTAAAAATGAATTAATTCAGAACAAACCAAGGTTTCCTTGGTTAGTTCCGAATTAATTAAATACTTCAGTAAATCCAGGCCTTCTTGAAAGGTACAGGTCTAACGGGCTAATGGACCTATGGGGCCTGATTTCCGAGGTTGCATTTTGTGACCCCAGGGGTCCGTCTCCACTGCCATCCCACACATTTTGGGCTCCTGGAGACTAAAGGTAGGGGTGAATGCCCACCTCCCCTGCCCCTGTTCTACCCCCTAAAACTTAGTAAAAAGGTTCCTGTTCACCATAAATCCTCCTTTTGTGTCCTCCTGGTACAAAAAAAAATTATGCACGAGGAAACTGGAGGGGAGGGAGGCAAGGAGGGATTTTCCCCTTCACTCCTTCCATCTCCTCACGCATCATTTTCTTGCACCAGGAGGATACAAGAGGTGGATTTATGGTAGTCAAGGACCTTTTTAGTAAGTTTTCAGGGACAGATCAGGGGTTGGGGAGGAGGGGGTGGATACTCTCTTGCACCTTTGGCCTCCAGGAGCCCAAAAGGTGCAGGTTGGCAGTGGAGCATATTTTACTCTTGTGTGGAAGGGCCCTTCATATGTATATTGGTAAAAATCAATTTGGGGGGGGGGGGGAATCCAAAATAATGGCTTTATAAAGTTTTACAAATCATATTAAGACACCACATAAACTGATCACCAACAAGAAGCCTTACTGAGATGGGATGGCTTCCAAGACTGCACATTTAGGAACCAGTTCAGCTGTATTGACTACCACTAATTCAGGATTTTCTCTCGGGTTAACTTAACCCAGGGAAAGCAATGATAAGGTGGCGTTTCCCCAGGTTAAACTGCATCAGCCCCATGCATCATTTAGCTACCTTGGGGTTTATCTATGGCCACACCAACCTAAGTGGTCAGTTGCCCTATGTGGTCAGTGTAGATGTGCTACTTGATTCACATTAACATTAAGTGAGATTATCTTCGATGTGACAATTTGAGAGTTTAGATAAAAATCAGTACGCACTTTCTGCAGGGATTGTTGTTCCCGATTCTTCTTCAGCTATAGTTGGCTTTGTAGAAATAAGCCAAATTATTAGAATTAGTGGTGCAAAAGTGATCACTCTGTTTACACAAGTCTTCAGCATCTTGCTAGTTGAATCTTCCTCCTTCAATGGGGGAAACAGAGTAACAGGATGGATATAACATTCTGAGGCATATTTAGATGGGTGTTAGGAAACATATTTTAGCAATCTACACAAGATTAAAAAAATCATCAAACAATAAATATAGTAGTAGTATGTCAACATTCTCAATGTAATTAATTTGTCTTATTCAGCCACCATCTTCAGACACATCTATGCAACTGTAGGCAGAATACTTACAGAAATGCTGAGGTAGATACATTCAATTTCCTAGCAGAAGGATAATATTAAGTATGAAATAATGTTGCCAAATCATACCACACTTACTACTGCCTCTGTAATTGGAAGGATGTAGCAAGAGATGAGGCCTGAGGTAATCTCTGAATAACTTGTATACAATTATTTTGAGATAATAATTGTATACAATTATTTTGAGAGGTATACAATTATTTTGAGAACCTGGGAAGCTAAGCATCCTACATATCCACTCTAGTTTTGTTTTCCTTAACAAAGGAAAAGCAATATTATAGATGTGAAATGTGTTTAGCATTGCACAAACCTGTTTCTAGACACAGATACAGGTGGGACTGAACACATAATCCCTGTTGCAAAATATATTTATTTTCCCTAGCCAGCACTGTGCAAGCTAAACCCATGCATCATCCCTGTATTGATGATTAACCTTTTGGATTTTGGAATTCCAAAATCTGAAGTATTTTAAAATTCAAGACTATTCACATGGGTGGCCGTGACTGTCACACCACAAGGGTCCATTCTAACCCCAATGCTTTTTAATGTTTACATTAAACTGCTGGGAGAGATCATCCGGAGACAAAGGTCCTAACCTGAGGATGAAAGTGTGTCAACCAGTTCTGGATGGGGTTACATTCTCCCTGAAAGACTTGGAAGTGCTCCTGGATCCGTCTCTCCAAATGTCAGCCTAGGTAGATGCGACGCTCAGGCGTGCTTACTATCAGCTTTGGCTGATATGCCAGCTGCACCCCTTCCTAGAATCCAAGGACCTGAAGATGGTGCCGCACACACCAGTAACCTCAAGGCTGGACTTTTGTAATGTGCTTTACATTGGACTACTTTGTACCAAGTTTGGAAACTCTAATTAGTTCAAAACATGGCAGCCAGGAACATCTAAGTGTGAACACATCATACCCTACTAAAGTCACTCCTCTGTTTGCCAATTAAGTGCTTCCAGACAGTACCAAATTGTGCGTTTAATAGGTAGCACAAAAAAACCCAGGACCTGAGAGCAGGTCCACACACAGACCTGTTGGTTGTGGAATTTGTGCCTGTGATGTCCAGACTTGCTGCTTTGTTTTTGGATTTAGAAGCCTGCAAGATGGCTGCTGCGGGACATCTGCTGAAAACTCAGGCGGCTTTTTAAAATAATTTTTTTATATGCAGATGTGAATATGTGGATCATTTGTACAAGTTTTGTTCCTGGGTTATAAATATAGGTTCCACATTGGTTCTATTATAAAAACCTGGCGAAAGTTGATTACAGGGGAAAAACTTTGTTGTGGCAAGAGGGACATCGCCATCGACCCATTTATCAAAATTTTTGGCATACAAACAAAGTTTTTGCTGTGTAATCAACTTTCCCCATGTTTTTGTATACATTATTGCTGCTGTTTTTTAATATTTGTACCACGTGTATGTATTTTATAGTAGTGTGTTTTGATATACAAACTAACTACAGACCCACAAATAAAATTCAACAAATGCTATGTTCAGCAAAGGACAAAAGGGATCCTCTCACCTCTGCAGGGGTCTACCGTATACCATGCAGCTGTGAACAAGTCTACATAGGGACCACCAAACACAGCGTTGCCCAAACATGAATCAAAGAACATGAAAGGCACTGCAGACTACTTCAACCAGAGAAATCAGACAAAGCGGAGCACCTGATGAACCGACCTGAACACAGCATATTATGTGAGAACACAAAATTGCTGGACCACTCTGAAAACCACCATGTCAGTCTACACAGAGAGCCATTGAAATCCACATGCATGTGGACAATTTCAACAGAAAGGAGGAAACCATGAAAATTAACAAAATCTGACTACCAGTATTAAGAAACTATAAAATCAGGACAGTAAATAAAGAGGAACACTCTGGAACAGGGGAATTCCAGACATGAAACAATCAGGGCCAGCTAACACCTCCCAACAAAGGATTCCTCCAGGCAGGAAGCAACCAGGACTTGAAGCTGCAAGGCTTTGCAATGCTAATCAAGGTGATTAATTGCAACATTCACACTTGCCTCCAACAGACAAGAGTTCTTTCTCTCACCTTGGACCTTCCACAGATATATAAACCTCCTTTGTCTAGTTTCCAATGTACCTAACAACCTCTGAGGATGCCTGTGATAGATGTGGGCGAAACATTTCTGGAACATTACAATAAAGCCCAGAAAACTCACAGCAACCTATATGTATTTTGTTGTATGACATTTATGTTGATATGTTTTGACTGTGTTGTATCCCGCCTTGAGCCCTGAGAAGAAATGGGTAAGAAATATATTGTTGTTGTTTAATATCTGCAAACATTGTTTCAAGTGCAAAATTGTTACAAATATTGTATAAAATTACTTTCACACATTGTGTATAAGATGTGTATGAAATATAAATGAATTTTGTGTTTAGACTTTGATCTCATTTCCAAGATTATGTACATTATGTACATATAGGCAAATAAAGTATTCCATGATCTGAAAAAAAAACCTGAAATCCCAAACACTTCTAGTCTCAAGCATTTTGGTTAAAGGTACTCACCCTGCATTTATTTCCAGCATTTAAGAATGAAATTGCAACCCACACAAATCTCACACCACACTGAATATCATAACATTTGAGCAATTCTCTTCTACAAATCCAGAACACATAAAATGGGGTAATTACTGCAGCTAAACAAGCCAGTGGTTTCATACTTTCAAAAATTATATCCATTCTTCAGGAAACAGATGTTTCACAACTGCAGTCATATTTGAACAGGATGATGGAATATGTAGCTATGCAGTCTCGCAATGATTAAGCAAAGAAGCAGGACATTGAAACGACACAACATATATCTATAATGAACCAGCAATGCTAAGCATGTTGAGTATCCCTTATCCAAAATGCTTGGGACTAGAAGTGTTTTGGATTTCAGATTTTCTCAGGTTTTGGAATACCTGCATATTTGCATATTCATACATAATGAGATACCATGGGGATGAAACGAAGTCTGAAAGTAATTTTATACTATATATATTATACCACATTCTAAGTATCTTTGTGCATTAAACAAGGTTTGAGTACACAGAACCTTCTGAATGCGTATCTCAACCTCCTGCATGCAAACAATCTTGGAGGATTTCAGATTTCTGGATAAGGGATGTTCAGCCTGTATAAGAATGTTGATAAACAAATAGGGAGTGCTAGACTGCCCCATTTCCTATGTAGAAAGCCAGTTAAGAATAATACAGTCAAACAGCTGCTGGTTAAATCTGGTGCTTCAGTTAACTAGGTATTTTGCACATGTAAGTGGTACAGATTGCTATTTCAAAAGCACTCATTTTGCAGCCACAACATTAACACATATTATTTCACGTAATTTTCATTAAAATATATTTCATGTAAAAATTCACCTTTGTATGCTTCCCCCCCAATCATTGGAAATTTCTTCGTGTGTTTTATTTTAATTCCTTGCAATAGACCTGCTTCCTACAATATACATTAATGTCAATCGCTGCATAGAGTGACTTCAGCTTTGTGGAAGTCTTTGTCACACAGCACAAAGGAAAGCCCTTCTCCTTGCTTTGGTGAAGCAAAGGTAATGTGATATTTCCTGCAAATACCTCTTTCTTAATCAGTCCCAGCCTCAGGATAGTTTATCATAACAGCCTCGGGGAAGGAAAGATGGCCAGACAAAACCTCCTGTTTCAGACCTTGTGGTCTAATTATTGCATAGCAAGTAAAAGCATCTGCACAGCGTAATTCAAAAACAAATGATGGGTGATGCTCAGTGTAATCCCTTTTCGGTTTTATAAAATGGAGACATCATGACAAGAGATGAACAAAATGTAAAATAGAAGTACCTGATCTTTCCCTTCCCTTTGCAATGGTCTCTTAGATGGCTGCTGCAAGCTGCTAGTGGAGCATGTACACTTGCATCTCTGAGCATGTGCACTGCCTGTCTTTATCTTACCCAGAAAGAATCTGCCATGGCAACACTGCAGAGCACTCCAGCAAAGGGAAGGGTGAGAGAACAATGGCTTTGGTCCCCCAGCTTTGCTATTAATGGGAGTGCTTTGAAGGGAGAATCCAGATCCAAATTATTGAAATCTATATCAAGGCAGACATTAGTGACAGGACAAAATACCCTGCTAAGAACCCCCGAAAATTACATAGAGGGAAGAAATGATTTTAATTCTCTAGAATTCTTCAGCAGGCAAGATGTTACGCATAAAGAGGAAGTAGCAAAAGGGGGATCTTTAGAAATTAAGTCTACAGCTGTTATGGTGGAAGGTAGGAGGTGCCAGACAGGCTTCGTTACCCAGACAGATTGCCAAATGCATCCAGGATTATTGGGAGAAAAAAAATAAATGATTGTTCCCTCCACTTTTTTATCATTCAAAAAATCTGGTAGTTGCTCAGAACTGTCTCCAATCATATCAAAACACATATATCTGGATCAAAATAGCTCCGTATCATATCCTAGATTTAAACAGCTAATTTCTCTTGCTCCACAGAGGTATTTTAACTAATTAAAACTAATCTCCAGAAGGTCTGCTTTATAAAACCACAATCCTAGCTTATACAGAGGACCAAAAGTCTGGCAACTGTAAAAGCAACATTAATATAGGAAATCCTAAGAATTTTATAAATAATCTGCATTGCTCCTCATACACCCAATAAAGAGATAGATAATTTTGATTTAAATTATTAATATACCACTGCATATCATAGGTTCTCTGGGTAGCTAACAAAATCAATTTAAACAGTTTCAGCATATTTTAAAAATGAATAATGTTTAAAATTAAGGTTTTTAAAAAAATCTAGAATCTGTGTGTATGTATATAGATGAAATAATTAGACATGTATCTTGCTTCAACACACCCTATAATAACTATTAACATTTCTGCTCAGGAGAACGTCCTTATGAAAATGTCATACCTTATCCATACCTTATCCAAAATGTCATACCTTATCCAATGTAACAATGCCTTTTATATAATGTTATTAAAATAATGTGCTCAGATGTTAAAATGTTAATGTTTTTCCCAAAGACAGTGGTTTCCAACCTGTGGTCCATGGACTACCAGTGGTCCGCAAGAACGGAAATATGATCTGCAGTCCAACCATGACTACACCGTTGCTTCAAAACCACACAGCAACAACAGCGATTGGTCTCGCAAAACCCTCTTGTAGTGCCAAGGCAACAGGGATGTTGGGAGGGGAGAGGCTGACTACCCACAAAAGATTACTACTACTGTGCTGTTACACCCAGATGCTTTTAAAAAACAAAACTATGATGCGCTGCTCCCTATGTCTGGGCAAGCTGCTGGGGCTCTTCTTGAGACGATTGAGATAATCAGCAACTGAGTCTATTGCAAGTTCTGAACATCAAAAAGGATATTTATTTCAAAGTCTTGCAGACTTGGTACAGTTCTTTCAAAGTTGCAATCAAACAGTTAATAGATAAAACCAAATAGATATTCCTTCTTTCTCTTCTCCACCAGTTACTGAGTAGGCCTTTCCCAAGTGGCAAAGGGTCCAAGAATCCTTCAGCCTAATCCAGAGCCTTTATCTTTAGAAAGAACCAATATTTCCCTATCGATCTTGGCTCCAGATTAGCCTTGGAGAAAAGCAATGCCGCCTCTCTCCCTATAAACTCTATAAAACTCAATTATATTCTATCTATAACTCAATTCTATTCTATCTCAATTGCCTTCTCTAATTCTCTATTCTCAAACTTATCTCAATTGTTTTTGCGGTGGTTTGTCGGAGCTACCTTTTCTGGCCTCCAGCACACCAGATTCCTTCTTCAGAACTAACAGACAGGGAGGACTTCAAAATGGAAGTCCTTCCCCGGGAGCAGGGGCAGGCCCAAAGAGCTGCTCCCTAGGCCAATCACTGCAAAGAGTTTGCAGACTGGCTTTTTCCTGCCTTTGGCTGCAAACTCCAGGCCCTGCAAGGCTGCAGCAGCTTCTAAGAGAAAGGCAAGGGGCAGCCACTTCAAGCAACCAAAAAAGCAATATAAACCAGTCTCCTGAGAGACGGAACAACTACCACATCAACTCTAGATTATTAAATATGGTTTTCTGTGAGCAAGCAGATGGCAACTACTGGATGGCATATGTTCTACATCAGAAACTAGAACTGATGTGGTCTATCCAATGCAATTTTCTGAATCAGCACTCTATATAAGCAAACCAAATCTAATGTTGACCAAAAACTGATTCGTAACTCTTTTGGATCTAATGTTGGAGGATGGGCCCTGGTCAAAGTGGGCCCTGGTCAAAAAAAGGTTGAGAACCACTGCCCTAAGATGAGTGGGTATGTTTGCGTGTCTATGACTGCATATAATAAAGAGCCTAAAAATAGAAAGCCTGTTCATTCTCCCATATAAATATCCCAAGATTCCAATACTTAAGAGAGTATTGTTGCTGACAATGCCTTTATGGATGTTACTTTGGGCAACAATTTTAATGCCCAGTCAGCCAGAAGGTGTTAAAAACAACTTCCAAAGATACAGGCGAGCTGAGGAATTGCAGGGTACCCTCACCCCTCTTTCTAAAACGTTAGGGATAGGGAATCACGCGTGTTTCATTATACTTGGTACAGTGTAGCAAAAGTAGAAGTATGTACCTTCAGGTTCCCATACAATTTTGTTTTTGCCTATTTATAATGAAAAGTTTCATTCAGCTCAATTTATCCAGTGAAGGTATTGATTAAATTTAGTAAAAGGAATCTCAAAGCTGAAAGTTAAAGACCCACCAATCACAAAATTGTACGGAACCCGTCCAGGCCCTGAGATTTTCAGGAGAGGCCCTTCTCACAGTCCCACCTCCATCTCAAGCTTAGTTGGTGGGAATGAGAGAGCGAGCCCCATGACTCTGGCACTCCCTGCTTAGGGAAGCCAAGCTAAAACCTTTTTATTCAGGCAGGCTTTTAAAGATGAAGGTTTTAAAGAACAAGTCAGGGAGTGCTGTGATTTTTAACTTTGAATATGTTTTTGTGGATTTTAACTGATTTTATATTTACTCTGGGTTGCTGTGTTTTTCGGTGTGTATGGCCATATCCCAGTAGCATTGTCTCCTAATGTTTTGCCTTAATCTATGGCAAGCATCCTGAGAGGTCTGTTCAGAAGTCTGTTGGAAATGAGGAAGTGGAGTGTGTATGTGTGCGTGGAATGTCCAGGGTGGGAGAAAGAATCCTTGTCTGTTTGAAGCAAGTGTGAATGTTGCAATTAGCAAGCTTGATTAGCATTGAGTAGCCTTGCAGCTGCAAAGTCAATCAGCAAGGGTATTTGCATAGAGGTAGCCTGGCTGTTGTGTCAGGAAACATCCTTGGTTTGGGAGATGTTAACTGGCACTTGATTGTTTGTTTTCTGGAATTCCCGTTTCTGAGTGGTGTCCTTTATTTACTGTCTTGATTCTGGTGTTTTTTAAGACTGGTAACCAGATTTTGTTCTGAGCTCTGAGCCTTACGTTCTTTCCACTTCGCTCCTTCGGGAGCACTGTTTGCGCAACGCAGAACGGAACACACATATTATAGAAGGAATTTAATAATTCTTTAATGGTAAAACCCTTACCTGAACCCTAAGCCTTACCTCTTAACCAGGCCCGTAGCCAGGATTTTGATTCGAGGGGAGGGGGGCTGAGTTTGATGGGGGGGGGGCTGAGTCTGAGTGAAAGAGGGTCTACCCTAGCAAACCTTTTGTATCGTTACCCCAATACCCCCATGCATATGGGATATATTGAGCATGGTGATCAGATCATGATATGAATAAACATAACAGTTTAATAATGTACCAGTAAGGCCTTCTCGCGGACCACCCTGAGATTTTCGGGGGTGGGAGCTGTGAAGCCCCTCAAGCCCCCATCCCCCGCTGCATGCCTGCCCTTACCCTAACTCTAACCCTAACCCTAAACCTTAACCCTAATCCTAAACCTAAAACCAAAGCCTAATTCTAACCCTATTCCTAACCCTTACCCTACCCCAAACCCTAAACTTTATCCTAACCCTCCCCTCTTTTCTATCCTTCCACCAAATTGAAGTATATTCCCACCCTCCACAGCGTGCCGCTCTCCCTTTCCCTTATTCACAACCACCATTGCGGAATGTGCATAACACTCGGAGCTTCTGGGCCCAGCTATCATATTATCACCACCCAGAATATCAAGGTAGAGAATCCCACAATATCTGCTTTGAACTGGTTATCTGAGTCCACACTGCCATATATTCCCTTTCGAAGTGAGAAGGGCGGCATATAAATGTAATAAATAAATAAATACTATGGGATTTTCTGCCTTGCTATTCTGGGATACAGGGCTATATGGAAAGGCTCCAGTTTGTTTGGTTTTTTTGTCGTGTCAGGAGCGACCTGAGAAACTGCAAGTCACTTCTGGTGTGAGAAAATTGGCCGTCTGCAAGGTCGTTGCCCAGAGGACGCCTGGGTTTGATGCTTTATAATCTTTGTGTTTTTATCATCCTTGTGGGAGATTTCTCTCATGTCCCCGCATGAGGAGCTGGAGCTGATGGAGGGAGCTCATTTATTTATTATTTATTTATTTATTTACTTTACTTATATACTGCTGTTCTCAGCCCGAAGGCAACTCACAGTGGTTCACAACAAATAAGAACAGCAAAAATTCAATGCTACAGTGTAAAAACAGTTAACAACCTAACATATTACATAATTAATAAACAATTACTACAATAACCATTCACTATTCACTATCGTCTCATCATCAAAAACATGATCCAGATTCATCATCCATTATTCCGTTCCAATGTTCATTAACCAATCATTGCACTAATTATTCGAACGCCTGCTCAAACAGCCAGGTCTTCACTTTCCTGCAGAATACCATTATCATGTTTTATCATCTTTGTGTTTTTATCATCCTTGTGGGAGGTTTCTCTCATGTCCCCGCATGAGGAGCTGGAGCTGATAGAGGGAGCTCATCCGCCACTCCCCGGATTCGAACCTGCGACCTGTCAGCTCTTCAGTCCTGGCAGCACAGGGGTTTAACCCACTGCGCCACCGGGGGCTCCTATAATCCAGTTTACTGTGTGGAAGGGGCCTTAGAACTGAAGGGGATGCAAGGGCTGCCCCATTTGCGCATGCGTGGCTCCTGGCCTGGCCGCCTGACGCAATTCCCGCAAAGGACCTAAAGGCCTGTCCAGCGTTGACACCAGGAAGCCAAACGTCCCCTAAAGTTTCCCTCACGCGCCTATGGACCACCAAAGCACGATTTAGAACTGCTATGATTATTCCTCGAAGACAAACGCCTGGAGACGAGGCCTGAAAGTACCAAACCCCAGGGAAAAACGACAGGAAGGAGGCGTTTCTTTAAAGCCACCGCCATCTTTGGGTACGGAAAGGTTCACCGGAGCGCGCCATTTTGCGCCGGCTTCCTCCGGAGACGGGCGCTGCCATTTTGCGCTTACGTACGCTGCGTCCCACTTCCTCCCCTGGCCACACACGTCACGCCTCCCTCGCCCCAACAGCAGCAGCGGCGGCGGCACCATCTTGTGTTACGGAGGAAGAAGGCGGCCCCCTGGAGGGGCTGGGGCCTGGCTTCCCCCCTCCTTTTTTAGGTGTCTTCATAAAATGCCTGCCGAGGGTCCCCTCTCGCCGCTGCTCCGTTCCAAGATGGCGTCGATGCGGGAGAGCGACACGGGCCTGTGGCTGCACAACAAGCTGGGCTCCACGGACGAGCTGTGGGCCCCGCCGAGCATCGCCTCGCTGCTCACCGCCTCGGTCATCGACAACATCCGCCTCTGCTTCCACGGCCTCTCCTCGGCCGTGAAGCTGAAGCTGCTGCTGGGGATGCTGCACCTGCCCCGCCGCGCCGTGGACGAGGTGAGGCGCCTGACACAGACAGGCAGAGGCACAGACAGACAGACAGACAGAAAGAGCGCCAAAGGCCCCGCACTCGCCCGCTCCCTTGGCAAGGCGGCCCAGGCAGGCTGCGCGCGGCTCCTTGTTGTGAAGCACGGGTGAAGGAAATACAGCACACACCTTCTGCAGAGCCTCCTGTCAAGGCTGCCTCGTTGTTACTAACACCTCTGTGTCAATATCCCTAGAAGCCTTTTTACTCTTGGCAACGTTTTCGTGGCCCCAACATTCACCTAAGTAGGGGCCCTTCCTTCCACACAGTCACATAACCCAGAATACCAAGGCAGAAAATCCCACAATATCTGCTTTGAATTGGGTTATCAGAGTCCACACTGCCATATATCCCAGTTCTAGGCAGATAATATGGGATTTTATTCAGCTGTGTGGAAGGGGCCTAAGGGGGTCCCAGTTGAGGCAGGGATACACAGTTTAGGAATCTCTATATATAAAAAATGTAATGTTCGTTTGTGGGATTAACATAACTCAAAAACCACCGGACGAATTGACACCAAATTTGGACACAGCACACCTAACAAACCAATGATTGACCATCACTTTAAAAAGATTTCGTCATTTAGGAGTTGTAGTTGCTGGGATTTATAGTTCACCTACTATCAAAGAGCATTCTGAACTCCACTAACGATGTAATGTAATCAAACTTGGCACACAGGACTCCCAAGACCAAAAGAAAACAGTAGAAGGGTTTGGTGGGCATTGACCTTATTTATTTATTTAGGTTGTGAGGTCTGTTGGAAACTAGGAAACCATGAAAATGAGCAAAATCTGGCGTATTGAAAAACTAAAATCAGGGCAGCACATAAAGAGGAACACTAAGAAAAGCACAGGAATTCCTGACATAAAACAATCAGAGCCAGCTAACGCCTCCCAACAAAGGATTCCCCCCAGCAGGAAGCAACCAGGCTTTATTATTTATTTATTTGCAGCTTTTCTATTCTGCCCTTCTCACCCCGCAGGGGACTCAGGGCGGATTACAGTGTACACATATATGGCAAACATTCAATGCCAATTTTTGACATACAAACATATACAGACATACACAGAGGCTATTTAACTTTTTCTGGCCGCCAGGGGAGCTGTCGCTTTCATCCTCCATCTGCGACGCTGATGAAGTACTTCCGCATTCCTCGCATGCTTCCCCGCTGGAATGCTTTGCTGGAGTCTTCTTTATGGCCTCATAAATTAGTTAATTTAGCCTCCCCACACTTTAAGGTGGTACCTAATTTTCCTACTTGACAGATGCAACTGTCTTTCGGGTTGCAAAGGTCGACAACAGGCTACACACAATTGGTTGGAAACCCACTCCAACCCGGGCCGGCTTCGAACTCATGACCTTTTGGTCAGAGTGATCTTAATGCAGCTGACACTCAGCCAGCTGCGCCACAATCCCGGTGCCAGGATCCCGGTGCCACAATGCCCGGACCTTGAGTTTTGAAGTTATAGTTTATACCCAGAGAGTACTCTGGACTCAAAACAATGATGGATCTGGACCAAACTTGGCACAATACGAACACAGATGGAGTTTGGGGGAAATAGACCTTGAAATTTGTAGTTGTACTTGCTGGGATTTATAGTTCACCTAAAATCAAAGAGCATTCTGAACCCTACCAACGATATAATTGGTCCAACCTTCCCACACAGAGACCCCCATGGCCAACAGAAATTACTGTGTTTTCTGTGGTCTTTGGTGACCTTGGCAACCCCTCAGACCCCCCCCCCCCCCCCCAGGTTGAGAAATGCTGCCTTAAGGCCATTCAGATTCAGTCCAACTCCCTTCACCAGAGCAGGGAAACATAACCAAAGCCTTCCTGATTAAGAGCCATACACACATACATGTATATGATAGATATACTATCCTAGATTTGAAAGGGCTCCCCTAAAAAAGGACAATTATATGTAAGCAACCAGACAATCTCCACATCAACATTGACAAAGAAACAACAAGAAATACTGTTTACCCACAAGCATACAGACATTACATACATTAGAAACCAACACTTTATCTCTATTTTTTCAGATCACCAGACTGGGCCACAGCAATGCTTGGCAGGGGACGGCTAGTCTATATAAATAAAAATGTCATGTTCGTTTGTGGGATTAACATAACTCAAAAACCACTGGACTAATTGACACCAAATTTGGACACCACACTCCTTAACAGACCAACGAGTGACCATTACTCATAAACCCCTCCCAAAATATAGCAGAAATGACTTAAGAGCCCCCAAAGGCTACATGACAATCCAGCACTTGTGTGAAAATGACAGCTCCCAGCATCCCCTAGACCAGGCCCTTTAGGGGAGGGGGATGATCCATATTCACTGCCTCCAATCTGCAATCTTTATTCTCCTTGGATTTCTGTGAGAGAATCCCAATCCGTATGTATTTCCTATTCCTGAACTGCAACTCCCAGCAATCCTCCAGATAGATAGGAAGTATAGGTTAGATATAGATAGTAGGTAGATAGATAAATCAATCAATCAGGAGGACTCCTGGGAGTTGCAGTCCAAGGTAGAGAAGGAAGACAGGAGAGAAAGACAAAGGGAGGGGAAGGAAGGAAAGAGGTAGAGAAGGAAGGAAGAAAGGAGAGAAGGAAAGAAAAAAAGGGAAAGAAGGAAGGAAGGAGGGAGGAAGGGAAGGAAGGAGAGAAAGAAAGAAGGAGAGAAAGAGGTTGGCCACAGCAACGCGTGGCCGGTACAGCTAGTAGAATTATAATCATAATCACAATTTTATTTCTCGCCTCTCCTCGTGACTCGAGGCGGGTTGCGGTCTAATTAAAGCACATAAACAGCGTTAAAATCCCCCAAAGACACAGATTAAAATGTATTTCTATGTTTAAAACATACTTATTAAAACATATTTCTACAAAATGCATATTAAAATTCACAGAACGGAATTAAACACAAGACACGAGTTTAAAATTCTTACTTAGATACACATAGAATATCTACCACAGATATCATGGAAACAATATGATAATGGCTTGCTATTTTGGGGGCCACAGTGGCACAGGGGGTTAAACCACTGAGCTGCTGAACTTGCTGATTGGAAGTTCAGCAGTTCGAATCCGCAGGTCAGGGTGAGCTCCTGCTGTTAGCTCCAACTTCTGCCAACTTAGCAGTTCGAAAGCATGCAAATGTGAGTAGATCAATAGGTACCGCTTCGGTGGGAAGATAACGGCACTCCATGCAGTCATGCCAGCCACATGACCTTGGAGGCATCTATAGATAACACCGGTTGTTTGGCTTAGAAATGGAGATAAGCACCACCCCCCAGAGATGGATACAACAAGACTTAATGTCAAGGGAAAACCTTTACCTTTACTTCCTATTTTGGCTTTTAATTTTTTTAGCAAAATTTATTAGCATTAATTTTGAAGTTTTCTCTCTTGAATTGTTATTTCTTAAACGTAATTTTGCTACATCATGTCTAATATATTGTAATGTTTTCACCGTTACTGATGTGGGGGGTAATATATATATATATATTAATTTAAGGTTGTTTCGGTTATTTTGGTTTTTTATTGCACTTGACAGCCTTGAATGTTTGCCATTGTCTGCTGTGAACCCCCCTGAGTCCCCACGGGGAGAGAGGGCAGGATAAAAATAAAGTATTATTATTATTATTAAAACTAGCTGGGTGTAGAATAGAATAACGTTATTGTCATTGTACATCATAAAATGAAATTAAATGCCATTCCCCAATACACGTTATATAGGTAGAATTACAAAGCAAAACACCTTTCCTTCTACATTCTAATTGCTATTGCACAGCCACATCAGTGTGAAACCAGAGTTAAGGAAAGCTGTCTCTCAGCTTATTTGTCCTTGTTCTTATCAGTGTTTTAAAGAATTATGCTGCTGGCCTTGGCAATAGCCAGGAAAGATGGGGGTGGTTGTCCAAAACATTTGATGGCTCCGTTAATCTCTGAAGACGGTTTAAGAATATTAGAAGTGTCTCCAGGACCAAATCAAGATTTTTCTCTTTCAGCAGAATAGTTAGCAACCAGCATTTTATTTAGCCACAGTAGTATTCTCATGACTCTACATAACACGATTTTTGTTCCTGGGTTATATATTTCATTTCTTAATTGGTTCTATCATAAAGACATGGGAATAGTTTTTTAAACTATAGTTTTGTTGTAGTTTTTCAGTGAACATCTCAAGAGAGTTTCAACCAATTCAACATAGTTTGTGGCAGTCACAAAAACAAAGTTTCTGGAGTATAACTCCTTTCAAAGGAAGTAGCACACATTTAAACAGGAAATGACACTTTCAAACCAGGAATAGAACATTTTTTTAATTTTGTAACATAGTGTTATAATTGTGGTACTTCACTGTGAGCTGCAAGATTGTCTTGGGCACTGCTTCTTAAACTGTGGATGCGGACCCCAAACGGGGGCTCTCCTTCACTCAGTGTTGAGGTTGATTTGGCAACAGTGAAAGGTTTCTGAATGCCACCCTTCTACATCAATCTATTAGCAACAACACACAGTGTTGAGTGGACTCTGCAAAAATTGCTTCTGCTGTACTTCATAAAAAGAGAAAATTGGATGGTTTAGCAAGATTTGCATATGCTGATTTATTGTCAGTAAATGTTTGATTTTTATACCTATTTTATATACCTATATACATTGAGTCCCATACAAATTTCTCATGTGGAAGAGGTCACAAGTGGGAAAAGTTGTAAGAAGCCATGGTCTGGATCAAACTCTGAGAGGTTTAAATTTGTTTACAAGACAATATTAGCATTTCCCACCTGGCCTTTGGTGTGTGAGGAGAGCATCCTGCACCTGCTTAGTATACAATGGAGTTGAGAGGCAGTATTTACAAGGACTGTGGTACTTCAGGTTTCAAGTAGGGAAGGATTTATTTTAGTGTTGCTCTATAAAAGAGTTCCTTTTGGTGACAGGCTAAAATCTTTTCATTTAGGCAGGCTTTTAAAGCAGAAAGTTTTAAAGAGCGGCTCAGAGGTGGTGCTTGATTTGTTTTTAAGTTTTGTACTTGTTTTTATGTGATTCTTTTAGTAATGGTAGCATTTAATTTTATTTTAATATTTATAATTTATATTATATTTATTATATTTTGCTGGCTTTTAAATTGTATAGTTTTAAAGGTTGCATGCCACGTTGAATCGTGGTTCCTAAGAGAAAAGTGGGTTACAAATAACTACCGCTACAACAATAAGGATGAAAATAGTAATAGCATGAAAGGGAGAATGTTAGGGTACTGAGGTTCTCTGTACAAGAAAAGTTTGGGAGTGGTGGGGGAGCTCAATCAAATGTGTTAAGTACTCTATATCAGTATATAAGCACATTCATATGACTATGTGTGTGTGTAAACTATTCACCATATTGTATTGGCACTCTTTATAAAATCTTAGATATGCCATCATGGACCATAAAGACTTCCACCATCCCCATTCCTCGCAATGCAGGAACTCCAGCTAGAGCTTCTTAGAAGTAGGTGTCCAACTTCTTTCTGAAGACTTTGAGAGAAGGTGACACCTCCATGTCTCTAGGCAACTGGTTCCATGGCTGAACTGTTCTCATTGTTAAGAAGTTCTTTCTCATGTCAATGTAAATCTGCCCTCCTGTAACTTAAAACTGTTAGATCTGATCCTATCCTCCAGAGAAGCAGAGAATCAACCTGCATCCTTCTTGTTGAAAGCCTTAAAGCAGAGCTTTCCAAACATTTAATGTTAGTGACATGTATTTTATATATGCATTTCACTACACAGTACACACTGTTTCTCCATTAAGGGCAATTAGATATTGTGGAATTCCAAATTCTTTTACGAACAATAATTTCTCATGATTTACATAGGCTGTACCTTACTATAAAGCCCAGTTTGTTTTTGTTTTCTGAAATTATTTGGTGTGTTCTATTATACAACATACATTTGCATTGAGATTCTTGGTGCCTCTACCTTTTCTGAACCCAGCTTATCCTTGTTGTGAATCTCTTTACTTGAAGATCTCTTTTGTTCTATATTTTTGTTTTCTGTTTCTTTGGATTGATAGTTGTAATAGTTATCTATATCCATTAGCATAAGTCATAGAACAGTTGAATTTCAGATTCTGACCCTGTCCATTTCTACTTTTGCTTCTTAATGATTCAAGGAGTTTCAATCTCATCCAAGGAGGTTTTTATTTCCTTTTGGCTACAGATAGCGCAATTTTGCATTCATCTCTGACACTGTGGTTTTGGTCCAGAATTCCTCTGGTTCTCTTTCAGCGAGGATTAGTTGTGGAAATCTGTTCTTCACACAGTCCTTACATTCTCTAGGGATGCTTTCAGGTTGTATTTTGACATGATGATGGACTAGTATACTTCCTTAGCTTTACTCTAATTTTTGGTATTAGTTCATGGTCTGTGCTCGAGTCAGCTTCTGATCTTGGCTTTGGTAGAGCTTCTCCAACTTAGGATTCCAATTACTTCATTTATTTGATTTCTATATTTGTCATCTGGTGAGATCTGTGTCGTCGGTTGCCTGAATAATGTATTTTCAGTCAACAATTGTTGGTCTCATAAAATTCAGTCAGTTGCTATCCTGCTTTATTTTTGGATCCTAGGTTTGATTCTGTTAATAAATAGTACATTTTATTTATATTCCACTCTATCTCCCGGAGGGTACTCAGGGCAGATTACAGAACACATATACAGCAAACATTCAATGCCGTTCTCAACCTGTGGGTCCCCAGATGTTTTGGCCTTCAATTCCCAGAAATACTAACAGCTGGTAAACTGATTAGGATTTCTGGGAGTTGTAGGCCAAAACATCTGGGGACCCACAGGTTGAGAACCACTCTCCTAGATAAAGATAAAGTTGGAGGTACCTACTTGGACAGATAGTCATATAGTGTAATCCAGTATAGGGTATAACATCTTCTTTTAGAAGATGTTCAAATCTTTCAGAAATTGGAATACTGTTATAAAGTTATTTTATAGTATTACAATAATGGGATAGCTGGAAATATGATGATGATGATGATGATGATGGTTTATTTATAACCTGCCTCTCCTTAAGGCTCAAGGCAGTGCACAACCTAGCTAAAATAAAAGCACATATTGAGACATACACATACATGAAACAAAAGTTAAAACTCAATAAAACAGACTGTGGTGTTCAAATTCATGGTTAAAACGGACTGGGTAGGCCTGCTGGAAGAGATAGGTCTTCGGTTGTGTTTTAAATCCTGACAGCTCATTTAACTGTCAGATCTCTTCCAGCAAGTCATTCAAGTGCTGATTGTATGGAAAAACGAGCCTCTCTTCATTGTGCGTATATTGGGAGGAAGGCTAAATGACTGATATATTGCAGAAGCAGCAGTAGTATAATCTTGTTCTTTGGTATATGTAATGCATGTAGTGTGCATGGGCTGTATCCATTTAGAAATTTTTATCAGAAACAAGCTGTTTCTTGCTTTGAACAAGCCCTTTTTAATTTTTCCCTTCTTTCTTATTAGATGAAAGGTGCACTGACTGAAATTATCCAGCTTGCTACTTTGGATCCAGACCCCTGGGTCTTAATGGTGGCTGATATTTTAAAATCCTTTCCAGATATTGGCTCCCTTAACCTTGATCTGGAAGAGCAGAATCCCAATGTTCAGGATATTTTAGGAGAATTACGAGAAAAAGGTAAGTCCCCTTCTGTATCAATTCTTTTATAAATGTTGTCTTCCATTTATTGTGTAAAGAACAGGTTGAGCCTGTTATCTTTTTTTAACAGAATAGGGTTGGTGAGTATTCAAAGCCTAAGACTTAGGGGCCAAACCCTCAAAAGACTGAGTTTAGTTAATTTGTGATGAGTTGAGACAGAGTCATGTTTGTGGGAGACTTGCCTAACTCCTTGTCAATTCAAAATTATTCTATTATTCACCTAGGAATCAGGACAATTAAATGTTGTGACACATCCACTTCTATAACACTGAACCATAGTATTTCATGGTCTTTGCTATAATCTATAAACCATAGGCTGATTTTTTTCCAGAATTATGGTGTGATCAGTTTTCCAATATATGCTTCTAAAATGATCCTTTCCAGAACTCAGTTTGGACATTTGGGATTTCTTGTGCCATAGATGGTAAATATCTTTATTATAGAAATTTGAGTATCACGTTGTTTGCAGAGATAATTAATTAAATGGACCTGTGGATATTCCATTCACTATTTCCCCCTTTCTTGGGGATTTGAATGTATATTGGGTGTTTCCAGTCTATGGTCCATTGTTCTGTTTTCCATATTTGTCCTGCAATTTTAATTAGAACTAGATTAGATTCTGTTGGTGTATAATTTGATAACTTTCTTGCAAGTGTTCTGAGTGCAGCTTCCACTTCCTTTTCTAAAATTGTAGGCTCATCTTCAATTGGTTCTTCATTGAATAAATCTCTCTTTTGATTTCTGAGATCTTGATGAAGAAGTTCCTTCGTTCTTCTACTTTTCCCTTTTTTCTCTGCATTGGTTATTGCATTAGTTCTTCTTATCCCTGCACCCAAGTGGTTGAACAATTTTATTCAGGATTAGATCTTATTTCTGTCACCTTTTACTTTTCTTGTCTATTCTTAAGAGTTTCATCTGTCATCCATTGAGGCCCCTTTCTTTTTTGGCTGCAGATAGTGTCTTTTGTCTTCCATCCAGCAGTGTCTCTGGCTTCAATCTCAAGTTCTGGCTCCTGGTCAGTTAGGTCTATATTTTACATTAACTTTAAATTCTGTGGAAATACTTCATTTCTGTATTGGCCACCACTGAAGTCCATGTATGATAGAGAATGTGTTTAAAACTGCACAGGGGAAAGAGTCCTTTTATAAGGATTTGTAAAAGGACAATCCTTCAAGCTGCAGTAGTCAGTTCTGTCCTGGAGATGACGGTTTGAGTGCATCCCGTGTGCAGTGGGTTGCTCCTTAAACTTCATTGAGAATAGGAGGTTGATATTCACTGTGATTGGTCATTTTAGTGAGGCTGAAGGAACAACCTGCCCAAAAAGATCCAACTTCATGTGTTGTCAGTGAAGTTATATAACAAAACTGTGGTGAGAGTGAGTTAAGAACAGTAGACAGAACATTTTCGAATTTCGAAGATCCTGCCTTGAACTGGTTGGCGTGAGGGTTTAACCATGTGTTCAGCCTCACTAGAATGACCATTCATAGTGAGTATCGACCTCTCATCCTGTTATGAAAAAGAACAATGCATGAGAGTCCACACAAATGTTTTTAGGATTCTGCATGTGTGTGTCCCATCTGTTTTGTTCATGTTGGAATCAGGATTTTTCCCCAGTCCATTGGACCCTTTAGTAGTTCAAGTGTGGAGAACATCTTTTGGTCTATGAGCTGAATTGACTGTGGCCAGAAAGGTCAGAGACCATACCAGCAGTAGTAGTGCTATTCAACTTTTATCATGTGCCCTATTATGCAGATTTTAGTCATAAATATATGCAAATAGACAACCTTGTATATGCAAGATGTACACATCATTTTTCTTCTTCGAAAATGCTCCCACATGACCTAGACAATTATCTCCTAGTCAGCCTGACATCAAAACCAGGGAATTTTTTTTGTCTTCATCAGTAACTTGGATGATGGAATAACAGGCATGCTTATCAAATTTGCAAATGCGCCATCAAGTTAGAAGGGGTAGCTAATGTACCAGAGGACAGAATCAGAATTCAAAATGGCCGTAACAAATTAAAGAGCTGGGAGGCAATTTGAAAAGACAATGCAATTCTCAGCTGCATCAATCGAAGTATAATGTCTAGATCAAGGGAAGTCAGAGTCCCAGTCCATTCTGCTTTGGTCAGATCTCACCTGGAATACTATGTCCAGTTCTGGACACCACAATTCAAGAAGGATATTGACAAGCTGGAACGTGATCAGAGAAGGGCAACCCAAATAGTCAAAGGTTTGGAAACCATGCCCTAGGAGGAACAGCTTAGGAATCTGTGTATACTTATCCTGGAAAAGAAGACTTTACAAGGTGATATGTTAGCCATGTGTAAATATTTTAAATGTCATATTGAAGGTGAAGCAAACTTATTTTTTGCTGCTTCAGAGATTAGGACTTGAAGCAGTGGATTCAAACTACAGGAAAAGAGATGGGGGGCTTTTACGAATCTTATTACAGTGTGTATTCAGTTTTTTAAAAGCAGTTTCTTTCTCTGTTGCTCTTTCCCATCTTTTTGAGACAAGCACTTTGTTGAAGGTAAAGAATTATTCAAAACACAGAACATTTGTAAAAAAATTACAGTCCTAAAATCATGAAATGTAAAACTGTAGTGGAACAGGTAGTGTCTGTTGCGGAAGAAACATCACAGCTCTTGAGTCCATATTGAATATAATCAAACCTGCTGAAAAATAGTTCAATATTGTCAATTTGGAACATCTTTTTGAAGTATTTTTATTGACGTATAGTGATATTGAGGTCATATCAAAACACTGTTAGACACTGAGATGTTTTTCAGTTGACTCCAAAGCATTTCCAGTTTTTGATAATCAGGTACCAACAAATGCATCTTAACTTAGAAGCTTTTTTTGTATCATGGGTAAGGAGTTATATATGTTGGTTTTTGCATGTCTCCTGTAAGTATGCCATGTGTTATAGGCAGGAACAGTATAGCCTAGCACAGGGGTCCTCAAACTTTTTAAACAGAGGGCCAGGTTACAGTCTTTCATACTGTTGGAGGGCCGGAATATAATTTGAAAAAACATGAATTCCTATGCACACTGCACATATCTTATTTGTAGTGCAAAAAACACTTTAAACAATACAATAATTAAAATGAAGAACAACTTAAACAAATATAAACTTAATAGTATTTCAATGGGAAGTGTGGGCCTGCTTTTGGCTGATGAGATAGGATTGTTGTTGTGTGCTTTCAAGTCGTTTCAGACTTAGGTTGACTCTGTGTGCGGGCCGGGCAAATGACCTTGGAGGGCTGCATCCGGCCCCCGGGCCTTAGTTTGAGGACCCCCCGGCCTAGCAGAAAGATTCACTGAAAGGGAGACAGACATTCATTTTTGAAATACGCTAATATCTCATTTTTTATTCTTGTCATAGACACAGCAAGGCAATGTGTCATGTAAACTGTAGCTGCCGATTTGTTCTTGTTTGGGTCAAAATAGTACATCTTGGAAACTGCCAGCTCTACTTGTATAAATAGTAATTATTCTCAAGCAAGCACATGAAAAGCAAACAGCTCCATGCGGTGGCAGTTTCGCAAGCAGTGTACTACCTTTTTAAAAATGTAATGGGTACAATTCCTTTGCAAGAGTCAATGATAGAGGCTGTGCATATATTTGAGTGCAGACAGTAAGCTGAGCTATTTATCCATGAGGGTTGTTCTAGGGAGGTTACTGAATTGTTTCTAGTGGTGATGGGAACTTATTTACTATCTGTCTTCCCTTTCATATAGTGAGTGAATGTGAAACATCAGCCATGTTGCCATTGGAATGCCAGTACTTAAACAAAAATGCCTTGACCACATTGGCTGGACCACTTACACCTCCAGTGAAACACTTCCAGCTCAAACGCAAACCAAAAAGTGCCACTCTCCGAGCAGAGCTTTTGCAGAAATGTAAGTATCAAGCCGACTGGTAAGAAAAACACCAAGGGTGCTCTTAATATTGTGTACAAGAATGGCTGTTTTAAAATATTTAGCATGTGCAGCTGATGTATTGAGATCTGGCCTAAAAAGAAGAAATAAAAATAAATGGGAGGAGGAGAAGTAGAAACAACTCTGACACAATGGGAAATAAGTACTTTTACTTTTTATAGGCTTGTAAAAGAGGACATTCAAGTGAATGCAGATTTAATTTCTTTGACAGCTATTAAGCTCGTATGTTGAATTTTCTCCTGTTTTTAGCTGTAAAAGATACAGGCATGTTATGCTGCTTTCTATCCATCTACCATAGAATGAGGGGAAGGAAAATAAGCATGAACTGTAAAATTTAAAAGTGGGCCATTCATCAGATAACCTGACAGATTTGAAAACTAGTGGCTCATAAGAATGTCCGTGTATATTAAAATGTAAAATGTGCATATTCTTTTGGATCAGTAGTACTTGAGGTACATATGACCAGAGTGTTCTGGTGATGTCTCACAGCTCGTGTTTCAATTGCAAGATGCATTTAAGAATGGTTGTGATCTTATAAGCCAAATATTATCTAAAATTATTCTTTCAGCTACTGAAACTGCACAGCAGCTCAAGAAAACAGCTGGAGTGCCTTTCCATGCCAAAGGAAGAGGGCTGGTAAAAAAAATCGATACAACAAGTAGGATATTTCTCTCTCTCTCTCCTTTATATTTGGAATTCATGCCCAATTCAATTATTTGGTGTGAGTTTGAAGGGAAAATGGCTCTCTTATTTCCTTTCAGCCAAAACAGGAAGGAGGTTTCTGGCAACTTAAAGATTAGAAAATTGGATTTCAAAAAGGCTTTTATGGATTCCAGATCAGATACAGACATTGGGTCTATGTGGTCCCTATACCTGAGGTCTTTTTACCTGAGGAAGTAGGTTTGAGTCCAACAAAGCTCATGCAAAATAAAACTTGTTTGTCTTCAGAGTGCCACAAGCTTCAGAAAATCTCTCTGTGATAGATCATTTCTAATGTAATTGGCATTGACTGTCTTAATTGTATTAGAATAAAATTGAGGTGGAATGGCATCTCTCCCCCTCTTTGTTGTGCAAGAGAGAATATAAACCAGGGGGTCCTCAAACTAAGGCCGGGGGCCAGATGCGGCCCTCCAAGGTCATTTACCCGGCCCTCGCTCAGGGTCAACCTAAATCTGAAACGACTTGAAAGCACACAATAACAACAACTATCCTATTTCATCAGCCAAAAGCGGGCCCACACTTCTCATTGAAATACTAATACGTTTATATTTGTTAAAATTGTTCTTCATTTTAATTATTGTATTGTTTTTAAGTGTGTTTTTTTTTGCACTACAAATATGATATGTGCAGTATGCATAGGAATTCATTCAATTTTTTTCAAATTATAATCCGGCCCTCCAACAGTTTGAGGAACTGTGACCTGCCCCTCTGTTAAAAAAGTTTGAGGACCCCTGATATAAACAATGTTCTTTACTCTTATACTATCAAAAGAAGTTGCTATTCGAAGGAAATGTGGATATTCTTATTTTTCATAATATGTCTCAAATTTTCTTCCTCTGAGTCTTTCTAGGGCACCAAGGGAATATTTATATTTTGAATTAATGACTGTAATTAACGGTAGCTTGAGGACAATTAATGCACACATCCTTTTGAAAAGATAGATTTTTACTAATTGGTCAATATAAAAGTGTTAGAGAAACAATGTAAAGAAGATATTTTTATTCCTCACGCCCTTTTTGTGAACTATGTCAATTTGGTTGTAGTCACACTCTTGAACATAATGGTTGTGTCTTCTGATTCCCTAGATTAGGCCTGCACAACATATGGCCCACAAAGGGGTTCCCTGTGGCTCACAGATGGGGCGGGGTTTCACCTTTGTTTGTTGGCCCTTTCGTTGTCCTGGTCATCAGGCAGAGAGGGAAAAGGGTCTGCAGAAGATTTTTTTAAAATACTGGCCCTTTAAAAGGGCCAAGTTGTGCAGGCGTGCCCTAGATAAAGGATGTAACAAATTTAATAAAATATATAGCTTGAAATGTTTTGGCAGTATTTAGTATTTTGATATTCTTTGTCAGATGTGATATGATCATAGATTTTCAGTAATATATACATTTGCCATTCATATATATTTAATTTTCAGCTCCTCTCAAAGGAATACCAAAGCAAGCTCCATTCAGAAATCCTACTGCTCCAAGTGTATTTAGCCCTGCTGGAAATAGAACTCCAATTCCTCCCTCAAGGACCCCTCTTCGTAAAGAGAGAGGAGTAAAGGTATATATACTTTTTTAAAAAAAAACATGTTTAACTCCTTCATTCTCCCCCATCTACCCAGAAGTGCAGCTGCAAGACCATGCATTGTTGAGGCATCGTAGTTGCATGATGACATCAGTAGTGCACTGAAGAGAGTGGCAATACCTGTAAATTGCAGCTATCCCTGTTCACAAGAATGCTGCAGGATGAATGCTGCTTCATGCGTGAAAGTCCAGAGAGATTAAAAAAGAAGTTAGAAGTATAATTGAAACTGGTTTGTTTGTTTTTTTTGTCATGTCAGGAGCAACTTGAGAAACTGCAAGTCGCTTCTGGTGTGAAATAATTGGCCGTCTGCAAGGACGTTGCCCAGAGAACGCCCGGATGATTTGATGTTTTTATCATCCTTTTGGGAGGCTTCTCTCATGTCCTCGCATGAGGAGCTGGAGTTGATAGAGGGAGCTCATCCGCCTCTCCCCGGATTCGAACTTGTGACCTGTCGGTCTTCAGTCCTGCCAGCACAAGGGTTTAACCCACTGCACCACCGAAACTGTTAAATATCATGGTGAAGGGAGCTTCCATACAGGCCCAAAATCCTCCCTGCCCTGAGTGTTGTGAATATTTGAGGCCAGGGGCCGTTTGTCCGCTGGGAGAGGCTTCTAACAGTAATCATTTGAATCTCTATGCCCCACCCTTTCAAGGGTAAGAGTTTAATCCATGGCCAGTTTGTGGTTGCAGAAATACAGCAATTTCAAATCAGGCTTTTTTTTTGAAGCGTTATACAATTAAGGAACAGCAAAACAGATGGATAGTGGTAATATTGTTTTCGATAGTACCATCCAGTTAAATTGTCTTTAGGGAATTTCCCTTCTGTGCATTCAGAGTTGCAATTAATTTGAGATGTAACGATTGTATGCATACGCAGAATTGTTGACAACAAATAGTGTAATCTGTGCACCAAACATGGAGCTAATATGTTGTCTAAGACTTTCATGGCCAGAATCACTGGGTTGCTGTGAGTTTTCCAGGCGGTCTGGCTATGTTCCAAATGCATTCTCGATGTGTTGCCCACATCTATGGCAGGCATCCTCAGAGGTTGTGAGGTCTGTTGAAAACTAGGAAACCATGAAAATGACCAAAATCTGGCGTGTTGAAAAACTCTAAAATCAGGGCAGCACATAAAGAGGAACACTAAACAATCAGAGCCAGCTAACACCTCCCAACAAAGGATTCCCCCTGGCAGGAAGCAGCCAGGCTTTGAAGTTGCAAGGCCATTCAATGCTAATCAAGGTGGCCAATTGCAATATTCACACTTGCCTCCAGCAGACAAGAGTTCTTTCTCTCATCCTGGATATTCCACAGAGATATAAACCTCACTTGCCTAGTTTCCAACAGACCCCACAACCTCTGAGGATGCCTGCCATAGATGTGGGTGAAATGTCAGGAGAGAATGCTTCTGGAACATGGCCATGCAGCCCAGAATACTCACAGCAACCCAGTGGAACTAATATATCCTTTCATAAATATGAAAGTAAACATTCCCTTCATTTATTTGTAGTTACTAAATATCTCAGACCTGAAGATGGTTGGTGCTGGCTGGGAAGCAAAAAGAAGAAGAAAGACCGTAGGTTAGTATACAGCATTAAGAACTTTAAAGATTTATGTATAATGAATTTTTTTAACTTAAAACAAAAGCCAAACACATTACTTTTTAATATGCCACAGTGGAGGATTGAATTGGCTGTGTTTTCCTGTAATAGGCTTGACAAAGATTATTTCCTAAATTGCAAGTGATCGCAGTTGAGTAGAGATGATGGGAATGTAGTATGTGTGCACATAATGCAATATGCAAAGATATGATTGTGAGTCAAAAAGTTTTGCTTCCTGTGTCATAAAAATGTCATGAATGAACATATAACAGCAGAAGTTGCTACTCATTATAGCCTGAACTGTCCTCTACAGAAAACTACCATTCAACATTATCATCATTGATTTGTACACATTTGCGCCATTGTTTAACCCAGGCATCAAAACCGTTTTGGAAAAATTCAAGGTTTTACTTCGTGACCCATGATTTTAAAGCTATTTTAACATCATTCAAGTCACTGAACCTGAGCCCACGTAGGTTGCCTTTCAGAGGTCTAAACAGGTAAAAGTCACAAGGGGGCAAATCATAAACATTCTTCAAGCAATTATGGATTTCCTTAGGTGCACAACCTTCTTTTGCCAGTGATTCAACGACAACTCTTTCTTTTAGCTTCAGATTCATGGATCTAATCAGTCAATCGTAAAAAGAAAAGACTGTATCAGTAGAGTAAGGTTACCTCTGTCATGTTATGCATAGATAGTCCAGTTGCTGTGAAAGAAATAAGATTTGGAGTGATGGAGGCATTACTTTGTGACCTACCCTCATACATTGTGTAATTAATGAAATACATAAAAGATAAATGGAAATTCAATTTTTCTTTATCTTATATCTGTTTTTTTCTTAGTGAAAAGAAAGGTTGAATATTAATTATCTGAAATGTTTGGGAACATAATCAGATTTTGGGATACAGTACAAGGACTATTGTATTTTATTGCATAATAGTTGCACTGTTTGTCCCCCTTTTTGTTGGAAAAAGGGGGAGTAAAACTATTATGTGGTGAAAAAAATGGTGCTTTCTGTTTGCTGAATTCTGGGTTTTTTAAATTAAACAAACTATTTGTCCTATTCCTGAGATGAAGAGAAGGGAGAGAGACCTCTCTGATAAAACTGATTTTTCCATCTTAGCTTTCTGTGGCTCAGAGTCCAGCTGTCAATCATATTCTGACTCCAGTTATGGTGGGTCTAAAAGTCACACTTCCCAGTTTGAAGTGGTGGCTGTGACATTCTTGCTCTTTCATTTGGCTAGAATCTAAAATGGTAGGAGGCATGCCTGGATCCCCACCACTTCACAGATCCTTGCATGTCTATCTAGCAGTGTCTTCAGTTATGTCTTTCTCCAGTCTCACAAATACAATGAAAGTATCTGTGTGGTGAAGGTTTAAAAGTTTTGAATTTTGGATTTCAGAATTTCAGATAAGGGACACTTAATCTTTAGATACGCAGAGTACTGGACATGGGTTTCTCAAAAGAAAAATGCAATTTTCAACTTCATGTTGTTGAGTGTCAGCATTAGTAAAATGAAATACTTTATTTCGATGATTGTAAGACACACTTTGTTCCATATGAACATCTCGAAAAATAGTCTCTCTCTCTCTCTCTCTCTATATATATATATATATATATATAGAGAGAGAGAGAGAGAGAGAGAGAATGAATATATATATATATATATATATACACACACACACACACACACACACGGCGCCAGAGTTTCGAATTTCAGAGACCTTCCGAAATTTATGATTTCGAAATTTCCGAAATTTCGTTAATTACGAATCGATTCGTTAATGGCGGATGCGATTGCACAATGCGCGAAAAACACCTCCAAACGGGACAGGGGGAACTTCTGAAGCCTTCCTTTCCCTCTGTAGTTGACTRTTGGTGATAAAACTTACAACTAAATAACAGAAACCAAATTAAAATAAATTCAGGATGAAATTAAAATACATTAAGTTAGTAAAAATACAAATTAAAATCAATTAAAATTAATTAAATAAGACAATAAGAAAATAATAACGAAGCTGGCGGAAGTCGTTTTTAAGATGGCRGCCGTGGCTTCGTTTTGGGCAAAACACTTCCGGGTTCCCAGAAAGCCTCAAAATCGCTTCTAATTATAAAAAAATAACGCATAAAAAACGAATAATGAAAATAACGATCTGGATCAACCAAGTCTAATATATATATATATAYAYAYAYAYACACACACACACACACACACACACACATAYATACACACACACACACACACACACACACACACTTTATATATGAAGCCTTTTTCTGTTGTTGGTAGTGATATTAATGTACATCTTATAATCGTTGAATTATGGTATATCCATGTTAGGCTTTATTCTTCATTTTTCATCCCGCTTCATTCTTCTGTGTTTTCAATTGAATAGATACAGAAGTAGTGGAAAAGCAAACAAAAGAAGAAACTGTTGTAGAAAATGCTACTCCAGACTATGCTGCTGGACTTGTGTCTACACAGGTAAGATTTAACAAGCGTATTTTGTGTCCCCAAAATTGTAATGATCTCTTACATTAATGCTGAACCCCGACATATAAGTAGTAAATAGCCACAAATTTGCAAATTTCCCCATGGTGAAGGGAGAAACATTGAAATGGTCAAGAACTCAGAAGAAGACTAGGATTTGGAAGGGCAGCTATGAACGAACTAAACAAGATTGTGACGTGTAATACTACAGTTAATACTACAGTTAGGATTCTCCATGCCATGGCTTCCATTTCTATGTATGGTTGTGAAAGCTTCAATGAAGAAAATGGATAGGAATAAAATGAACTCATTTAAATTGTGGTGCTGGAGCAGAGTTCTCTAGAGACCGTGAATTTGCTACAGAGACAAACAGGTCCTAGAGCAAAACAGGCCTAAGCTATGCCAAGAAATCAAGACGACTCTCTATGGGAGGGAGTGTGCTTTCCTTCTACATACTGACCACGTTTTTGTTAAAAACACACTATTTGTTTATTTATCACAGGAAAAGCCTCTTACACATTCTAAGTACTTTGTGGGGACAATTTTGCCCAGTGTGCTTTAGGCTCAGAAGAGGGCTTTTGCTAAAAGTGACATCAGGTTTTGTAAAGCAACAATATCCATCAGATCATAAATAGTCCTGTAATATGAGGTGGTTGGTGAAATATTCCTCTAAAGCAGACATCCTCCATATGTGGCCTTCCAGCTGTGTAGGACTCCAACTCCCAGGAGCCCTTGCCAGCTTGTTCATTGGTTAGGAATTCTGGGAGTTGGAGGCCCAAACAGCTGGAGGATGCCTGCTCTAATGTCTGGAGGATATGAGATATAGGGAGAAGGGGCCTCTGAACGTAAGTTGTGGTGGTAGGATGCACTTGTCCACCCCTGTCCACACTAATAATGTCCTGCTTGAAATGATTTTGTCTTTGTGTGTCCTGTCATACAGAAACTTGCCTCCTTGAATAATGACCCTGCCCTGGCTTCCACAAGCTATCTCCCTGCAGCACCCAGCGTTGTACCATCCTCTTCCTGTGTTCCCAGTTCTGACACACAGCCCAGTAAGTGATGTACTTTTCTTCTTCAATATAGTTTTGTGCTAGTTCTTCACATATTATGTCCAGCGTTTCAAAAATGAAATGAAATATTGTGTTGCCGCTAATCTGTGTTAAGCTTAGGTTCTTTGTAAACAACCAAAGGTCAGTCCACTAGCCAGATTTTTGAACAACTTGCCTGTTCAAAACATCCCCATTCCCTATCTTTGCACTTGATGGGAGCACTTGAAAGCTCATGCTACCTTTGTGGCATTTTTGTAATGTTTTATTGGCTCCGCTTAATAAAACAATAAATGAAAAAAAATCTGGTTACTAGTATTAAAAAAACCTCTAATATCAGGACAGTAAAGAAAGAAGAACATTCAAAAACAGGGGTATTCCAGAAAAGAAACAATCAGGGCCAGTTTGTCACCTCCCAACAAAGGATTCCCCCAGGCAGGAAGCTGCAAGGCTATTCAATGCTAATCAAGGTGAGCAATGGCAGCATTCACATTTGCCACAAACAGGCAAGAGTTCTTTATCACATCCTGGACATTCTACAGATATATAAACCCCACTTGCTTAGTTTCCAACAAACCTCACAACCTCTGAGGATGCCTGCCATAGATGTAGATGAAACGTCAGGAAAGAATGCTTCTGGAACATGGCCATACAGCCCGGAAAATTCACAGCAAGGTGATAAAGTATTCTGCTTTTTGTATAGAATCTTGACCTTTTTTTTAGCCACCCGCTCCCCCCAGGGCAACACAAATATTATCAGAATATTCTCTCCCATATGCTGGAGTTATAGCATGGTTTAAAAAAAAAAACTTCAAATGAGAGTATATTATTAGATTCAATTCATTTGGCTAACTGACTGACTCCATTTGTCTATCTGTGTCTTTGCCATTGTGACGCAGGTTTGTTTTGTCTGTGTGTCTGAGCAAACACTCATTTCCATTTATGATCTGTATTCATTTACATTATTTTGCTCCAAATAGCTGGACCTGTTCGGGAGCCCTTGCAAGCTAAAGAGGAGCCTACTACACCTCCCACCACTGCAGTGACAACTCAGTTTAAGCAAAGGACACCCATGTACAACAGTAATACGAATGTAGCTGCAGTCACACCTACCTCCCCTGTGACACCGCCGGCTGCCCCTCCAGCAGCGCCGGCACCACAGGGCACCCCTGCCCCTCAGCAGGCGCCGCCCAAGAAAAGCCTCTCCTTAACAGTAAGGACAATTTTGTCACAGTTGCGTCGGGAACTTGTTTGAATCTGAAGATGATCTTGTTACCTTAGAAATGACCAGGCATGTTTTTGAAAGCAGGAACTTGGGAGAATTAAATAAAGTAACTAATATTCCTGCATAGTTCATAACACTGTGTAACATAATTTTAGTTCCTGGGTTATAAATGTCCTTTCCTAATTGGTTCTATCATAAAAATATGGAAAATGCTTATTAAACTGGAAAAAGAGACATCCCGCTATAGCACCTTTTGCTATAGGTATTTTTTTTTTATAGTTTGTGGCAGCCACCAAAAATGAAGTTTCTGAAGTATAACTACTACTTTCAAAGGAAGTGCCACACAATTAAACAGAAAATAACAATTTAAAATCAGGGTTAGATTTTTTTCTTCCAAATTTTGTTACATAGCTCACCAAGGTTGTTTTCATGTTTGGATATATTACAAACAATGCCATTCTTATTAAATTCTGGTTTCTATAAATCAGACTCTAATGTTCCCTGTTTTATACTATTTTTTAAAAAAACCTTTTAAAATGTATGCTGGCTTTATAGGAATTTTGTCTTCTAAATCCAAAACTGACTTCAGATTTGCTCTGTCACATACTTGCATTGACATTTCCATGTTGGTAATATATGACTGAGCAAAATTAGCTCTGAAATCAGTAATGAAAGTTACTGAACTGTGTGTGATCTTATATTTTATTGATCTTACATTTTGTTGTGGATTTTAAGTTCAGCACCCCAAAATACATAGAAAACAGCTGCAAAATTGAAATTTTATTTATTTATTTTATTATTTATTTACTTTTTTTGTATACCGCTCTTCTCAGCCCTTAGGCGACTCAGAGCGGTTTACAACAGTTTAGATATACAGAATACAAAATGATTATGCATTTAAAAACAATTACTAGTATTATATTGCATTACATTACAATATTATAAATATTATATGTATATACAATATATTATATTATAACATATTATTAGAATAGCACAGGAGACAAGGTGGAACTGTCCCCTGGCCGCTCTTTCTTCGCTCTGGCCCAGAGCGGCAGTTGGTGCTTGGGGGAGGGGTCCCCAATGGATGGCAAATGCAGGAGACAAGATGGTGCTGTCCCTTGGCCACCCCTCTCTTCACGTGTTGTTGCTCTGTGTGTGTTGTTGCTCTGTGTGTGTGTGTGGTGTTTATAACATTCAGCTACAAACTAGTGCAATAAAGAAACAGCTATGCACAGATTATTCTTCATTTCATAAAAATTGTGTTAAAATTAAATCTTCAAAGGCCTTGTTAAGATGGTTAAGGCTGCTGCTGTTTTTCTGTTTTGGAGCTAGAAAATTTGTATTTGTAATTGTAGAAACGATAAGAACGACAAAGTTATTGTATGAAGTTAATATTAATCTTGAAATATAATATTCTGGAATCTGTTTTTTTTTTTTTGTTTGTTTTTGTAGAGGGAACAAATGTATGCAGCCCAAGAAATGTTTAAGACAGCAAACAAAGTAACAAGACCAGAGAAGGCTCTTATTCTTGGATTCATGGCAGGATCCAGAGGTATGTTTTGAATTAGTCCATACAATGATAATGTGCTTAAAAAATGGCTGGGTTGGCTGTCAGGAGGAAGAACATTGAAGAAAACAAGATAAAGCATACAAAGCCCAGCATGAATAGGATGACTGACTTAATTCTTTCAGAGACATCCTGATTGCCTTCATTGGAGATGCTGGTGAGATTCACTAGCTGCCAGTCTCTGCAGGCACAATTCAAAGTGCTGGCTATGACCTTTAAAGCCCTAGACAGTTCAGGTCCAGACCATTTGGCCGACTGCATCCCCTTGTATGAACCTGCCCTGTCCGGCCCGTCGATCCTCAGGAGAGGCCCTTCTCTCGGTCCCACTTCCATCTCAAGCTTGGATGGTGCAAATGAGAGAGCAGGCCTTCTCTCTCATTGACTGCCCCTCAAGTCTGGAACTCCGTTCTTCCCAGGGAAGCCAGAATGGCCCCCTCCCTGCTGTCCTTCCGGTGGCAGGCTAAAACCTTTTCATTCAGACAGGCTTTTAAAGATGGTTTTAAAGATCTAGTTAGAGGGTGCTGTGGTTTTTAACTTTGAATTTGTTTAATAGTTTTTAACTGGGAATTTTCAAATATTTTTTATATTTAATCCTGTTTTAATGTTCACATATTTGTATATTTCAAATTGTTATGTTAAGCTGCTTTGAGTCTTCAGGGGAGATTAAGCGGAATAATAATAATAATAATAATAATAATAATAATAATAATAATAATAATAATAACAACAACCATCATCATCATCATCATCATCGTCCATGATGTCCCTAGACATTTTCAGCACTTCCTTTTTAAAGAGCTTCTTACAAAGATTTTGTTTTTCCTTTTTTTTTCTCTGAGGGGCCAAGATTAGATCTAATGTGCTTAAGGTATAGAAAGCTAGCTTTTCATTTGAATGTTATGGGAAACCTTTTAATTTTAAGAGCAATCAAGCAAAGTATAGGGGATATGGGGCTGTTCCTCCTTGGAAGCTGGGAAGCCAAATGCTGGGATTTACTTTCCAAAGCAGAGTTTTAAACCAGATCAGGGCTTCTTAAACTTTTTCAATTCGCAACCTGATTTGTCTGAGAAGTGTATACACAATTTCAGATATATAAAGTACAATGCAAGAAAGGGGGAAACATTCCCAAACTCCCAAAATGGGAAGGAAAGGAGAGACCCCCAGATTCCCAAGATGAGAAGGGAAGGAGAACCCCCAGACTCCCAAGTCAGGAAGGAAATGGAAGACCAACACACTCACAAGACAAGAAGGGAAGGAGGGATGCACAGGATTCATAAGATGGGAAGGGAAAACCCAGATACTCTCACAGGTGAAAGGGTTGCTTAATCCCTCCACTCCACAGACCTCAAAGCTGGGATATCAATGAAGCGCTCCCTTCCTCCTTGTTCCCCTCCCTTTTCTCTCTCTAAGCAGTGGCTCCCAACCTTTTTTTGTCTGGGGATCACTTGACCAGGGATCACTTTGACCAGGGACCACTCGCTAACATTAGTTCCAAAAGGGTTACGAATCAGTTTTTGGTCAACTTTGGTTATTTGGGGTGCTGATTCAAAAAATTGCATTGGGTAGACCACATTAGCTCTAATTTCTGATACAGAAAATATGCCACCCAGTAGTCAACATCTGCTCGCCCACAGAAAACCATATTTAATAAGCCTCGGCACTGTAAGAGGGTTTCGCAAGACTAATTGCTCTTGTTGCAATGATGTAGTAACTGTGAGGCTGTGGACCATATTTTAGTTCTTGCTGTCCACTGGTGGTCCAGGGACCACAGGTTGGGAACTACTGTTCTAAGGCAAGCAAAAGCAGCAAGGTCCCAGGGAGAAACCCCTGGCCAGAAGAGGATGCCTCTTCAGTCAGGGGTTCAAATCAGCATGAAATGGCCTGTTGAGTAATAGAAGGGTCTTTTCACTCTTGTTAGGAAGCTAAATAGCTTCTTGCAGTGAAGTAGTCTCCTCAGGAACAAAAACACAAGGCTGTTAATTCCAACTGGAATTAACTTGCAAAAATAGTAAAAATATCAAGACAGTATTTACATTATGTACAATCTCTCTCTCTCCTATCTTCATTCACCAACCCTCATCAAACTAGCACGCCGTAACTACAACCTATATACTATATTCTCAGCACTAGCCACCACACCCCAATTACAATGACACCCGTGGTTAGCCCTGGGACACTGATCCTGTTATCACTTAAAGAAATGCTTACAAATCCTGACATCTTACCTTTCTTCTCCCTCGCCTCCTTTCAGTTGGCCTCGTTCTCTCATAAATTTTTCCCGACTGCAACGTAAAGCGACAGTGACCCTGCTTGGGGTCGTAACCCACACTTTAGAAAAGCTTAGGTTAGATCAAGATTCAGCAGTGTTCGTCTCTGCTGGCAAAGAACAGAACCAAAGCTAAAAATAAGCAAGTTTCCTCTTTTCTTTCTTTTGATCTTTCTCTACATTTAGTCAACTTTAGGGGAAGAAACATCATCCTTGTGCTAGCCTGATCACTTCCAGGGGACTTTTGAAACTAGGCCAACTGTAGCACATTACACTGATGGCTGTAGGCTACTTGGTCTGGAAATAAAATGGTCAACAGAGCCCACTCCACCAGTTCTGATATCATGGGATGGAAAAGTACCATAATGGAGCACCAGTGGCTTCGCCTCTTTCTCGTGGTTTGATGAATTGAAATGTATAATAATAATAATAATAATAATAATAATAATAATAATAATAATACTTTATTTATCCCCCGCTCCCCCCAACCATCTCCCCAAGGGACTTGGAGTGGTTTACATGAGGCCAAGCCCAACAACACATTAATAAAACAAGAAAGCAATAGTGTTTCTCAACCTTCCTAATGCCACGACCCCTTAATACAGTTCCTCATGTTGTGGTGACCCCCAACCATAAAATTATTTTCATTGCTACTTCATAACTATAATTTTGCTACTGTTATGAATCATAATGTAAATATCTGACATGCAAGGTGTATTTTCAGTCACTGGACCAAATTTGGCACAAATACCCAATACGCCTAAATCTGAATACTGGTGGAGTTGGGGGGATTTATTTTGTCATTTGGGAGTTGTAGTTGCTGGGATTTATAGTTCACCTACAATCAAAGAGCATTCTGAATTCCATCAACAATGGAATTTAACCAAATTTGGCATACAGAACTCCCATGACCAAGAGAAAACACTGGAAGGGTTTGGTGGGCATTGACCTTGAGTTTTGGAGTTGTAGTTCACCTACATCCAGAGAGCACTGTGGACCTGAAGAATGATAGATCTGGACCAATCTTAGCACAAATACTCAAGATGCTCAAACCTGAACACTGGTGGCGTTTGGGGAAAATAGACCTTGCCATTTGGGAGTTGTAGACACTGGGATTTATAGTTCACCTACAATCAAAGAGCATTCTAAACCCCACTAACGATATAATTGGACCAAACTTCCCACTCATAAATCCCATAATCAACAGAAAATATTGTGTTTTCTGATGGTCTTTGGCGACCCCTCTGACACCCCCTTGTAACCCCCCCAGGGATTCCAACCCCCAGGTTGAGGAACACTGCAATAAACAGAAAACAATACAATACAATTAATATAAATCACATATAAACAATAAGCAATAACACACAAGGATTTAAAAACCTATGGCCGGGCCAAATGCAATAATTGAAAATTTAAAAAAAACTTTGGGCATGAACAAGGTAGGATATATCTGGTAAAAGGGTCTTAAAAGAAGTGAGGGGAGCGCAGTCCAACCCAATCCAATAATTAAAGTATACCTTTTGCCTCCACAGAAAACCCATGTCAAGAGCAGGGAGACGTCATCCAGATCAAGCTGAGTGAGCACACAGAAGTGCTGCCAAAGGCAGATGGCACAGGAAGCACCACCATGCTAGTGGACACTGTCTTTGAAATGAACTATGCTACTGGCCAGTGGACCAGACTAAAGAAATACAAACCAATAACAAATGTTTCTTAAACAGTTCAGACCCCCAGAATTGTAGACCAAATGGACCATAGGATAAGCCAGCTTGTATGTCATGTGGGGACTCGGTTGAAAAACATTCCTGCGTAGGCCTGGTTGTAATCGCCCAGCATCCTGGCTGTGATTGACTGAAGTAGGAGGAGGGGACAAAATAGGAATTCTTTTATTTTTAATTAAAAGTTTGGGGGAGTATATAGTGATTCATAAGGGTTGAGAGATTAAAATTGAAACACTTCTGCCTTGGGAGAAAAGAGGTTATGTTTTTCTGTTTTCTCAAGGGAGCATCCTGTGCAAGAAACCTTCAAGAAGAACACATTTTACAGCAGTGGTGAATGGTTGATTCTATTTTAGATTATTGTGACCGGTTTTCCCTACTCTACTTGCAGTGCCTCGTTCCTTTCTGTAGCAGACTGTTAATGCTTTCTGTCACGTGCAATGGCTCCCACTGTAGTGGTTTTACCACCTGTTGGGAAAGCATGCAGAGTATTCCTCGATTGGCATACATTAAGGGCTTGAGGGTGTATTTTGTAAAGTGGCATGGAGGAAAATTGGCATTCTTCGCCCCTTGTGAAGCCCATTGTCGGACCCTAGTGTTTGCCCCATAATTGATTTAATGGTTTCCATTTTAACCTCTTTAGATAAATGGATGAATGAAATCAAGCCCTGACATCCAAAGGTCAAACCTTCGACCTGGATGGCATTGAAGATGATTTCGTTTTGTCACTTCTGAAGTGACAAAATGTATGATTGGCTTCCTTGATTTGCTTATACTACAAAATGCTCTGTAAATTGATCAGTCCCAAGCTCTTTAAAGGGTCTACCTCAAGGTCACACAACTCGTTACAAGACGTCGAAGGCAAGGTCTCAGTGGACCTATGCTTCTATGTCTTTAGCTATCATAATACGACATCTTATGTCACTGTCATCCCTGTCTCTATGTTGGAATGTATTTAGGCCAGTCACATAGTTGTTTCCCCCCTAATTTTTCTTGGGCCCATCTAGTCGCCACTACTGGAGAATTATTCTTTGGGAGGGATATTGCACACCCAAAATAATACATTTCAGAACGTTTTCAGTACAGCCATTCACAGGACCTGTCATCCTTGGGATGCAAAATATTATGACCAAGAGTATATCTGTAGCCTTATCTGTTGCTTCCTGAGACTGAAGATCTCTGCTGGGAGCAACCCTGTTGCAGCCGAGGAAGCTTCTTGCGAGCTGTGCTCTGTTTGCTGTCCTCCAAGAAATGTCAATCGCAATGAGTTACCACTTCCCATGTGAGAATTGAAGACTTAATGCGCCAGAACAAATGAAGGAAACAATTACATTTCCTTATGTTATTCTTAATTACATTCATAATTTTGGAGTTGATGTTGAAGAGGAACTTCCTTGTAGCAGCATGGGATATGAGGAGGGCTTTGTGCCGACCTAGACTTAAAATGGTGGTAAAGAAAAGACTTTAGCAAAAACTCTTAGTCAAGGTATGCTGAGGCACTAGATCACTTTAAATTTATTTAGCACATTGAGTTTCTGGGCTACATGTAATTTTAGTCCCAACTAGAATAGGACTGAAATTAATGGGATTTGTTCCTCACTGCTTACACAAATCCAATTGATTTTAGTGGATGACCTCTGTTTGCAGATAAAATGGACTTTTTGGCCTTTTCAAACCATTCCTCGTCTGAGAAAATTTTAACTTAAAGACAGCTTGAAGGTGGTGTCAGCTAACCATAATTTTTGTTTTGGATACAGGATCACTTCAAAAGGCAGTGTTTTCTATGTATTTGTCACTGGAAGTTGTGCACAGGAAAATTAACTCTTCACTTGTTTTCTAGCATCTCAATTTGCATATATTAGCAAGCCCATTTTTTTTACTTTTATGTGATTGCTAGCATTGGATTTGATGGTTTAAAATGAGTAAAATAATTTATTTTAACGTGCTTAGCCGTGGTTTTGTCCACTTTTGCCCATAAAATATCAAACTTGATTATTGTTTTTCAGCTGGACCTTTTGATCAAAATATTAATGGGCAAGTTAATGTTGCTTTGAATGACTGTCATAATTACAGTGATCTAAACAAGTTGATCAGAATTCTTTCATGTCACTATCTTTAAATATGGAAGGTGACACAAGTCCCAGAAGAAGGGGAAAAGTATCTTTGTTTTATGCTTGTGTAAAAGTGTATCTTTAGACTTGGCGTTAACAGAGCAAAGCACATGTTAGGTTTGGCATGATGAAATGCTTATGGTATATGCAGAAGCTGACCAGCGTTGGGCATCTTGACTTCTTGGACAACGTGTCTTCCCCTTTCTGTTGGATAGCTCGTCCTCATCCTGTGCCTAGCATTAAAGCAGTGGGGCGAGAGAACAAAGCTGGAAATAGAAACATTTGGTAGATCTGATTAAGGTAGGGATATCCCATTCTGTAAATACAAAACCTCCATCTCTGGTAATCCTTTGGGACACGTTGGCTGTAAAATGCATTTTGTATTAGGAAGAGAGCCAAGTAAAAAATTGCTATATTTTGGAAATGATGGGTGTGTGTGTCTTTGGAAATGGTTCCTGAAAACTTGGGTTTTTTCACATATGGTTTCCACTTCCTGTTGGGTCGCATCTTAAGATGCAGAAAGTACTTTCCAATTACACGTGATTCCTTTTAAGACAGTGGTTCCCAACTTTTGGATCTCGAGTTGTTTTGGACTTTGGCTTCCACAATTCCTATCAGCTGGTAAACTGGCAGTGATTTATGGGAATTGAAATCCAAAAACACTTGGAGGACCAAAGGTTGAGAACCCCTGTTTTAAGAAGTAGAGAAAGAAGTTTTCCTGAGGGAGGGAGGATATAAACCAAAGGGTATAATTACAGAGATGACAGCTCTGCTATCCTAACCAGGCAACTGTATAGGTAGGAGCCCCACAAAAAAGTGGAAGTAAGCATTTTAAATACTATATTTCTCTGTACAAAGAGATTACCCCAATCGTTTAAAGTCCTAAGTCCCCTGGAAGAGGCCAGATGAAAATGTCAGTAACCAATTAATCTCTTTTGGAGGTAAAACGTTGGAAATTCTAATTCCAGCTATCAACCGTTGAGATCCACTCATTCAACAACAGTCACCTAACTTTCAGTGAGATCTGGGCATTGGTAATGTCTGAAATACCCTTTGTCATCTTACGGTGTCTCCCAATGAATCATGAAGTGACACTTGCCAAACTTCTTGAACGTACTTTGACATCGCCATGTGGATTTTGTTTTCCTCCTTGGATGGAGAGGAAAAAAAACCCATAAAAATGTTTTAAGCCAGAGCCTTCTAGGAATCTTGGAACTTTTTAAAAAAGCAATGCTGTTTTGTAAAATGTTGCATATATAGCATAGCAAACCATATGTTTTCTATCTGTTATGTTTTTGTATAAATGTAAATTCAAAGCCTCATGTCCTTGAGTAAATATTTTCAACATAGCACAATATAATAAAACATTTTTCTAAAGAAAAATTTCCTTCTTCCTGTAGTTCTATAATTAACTGCAGTAACTCTTAACATTCCATTAGTTTACATAAGTGATCAATTAGGACTCAAGCTGTTTAGAGCACGCTTGTAGTTTTGAGAGGTTTTTTTGTGTCAGGAGCAACTTGAGAAACTGCAAGTCACTTCTGGTGTGAAATAATTGGCTGTCTTGTCCAGGGGATGCCCAGATGTTTTGATATTTTACCATCCTTGTGGAAGGCTTTTCTCATGTTTTCTCATGGGGAGCTGGAGCTGACAGAGGGAGCTTATCCACTCTCCCCAGAGTCAAACTTCCGACCTGTCAGTCTTCAGTCCTGCCAGCACAAGAGTTTAACCCATTGCACCACCGGGGGCTCCGTTTTGAGAGGTAAGGCATAGAATCATAGAGTTGGAAAAGACCTTGTCCAACCCTGTCAAGAAGCAGGAAAATCGCATTCAAAGCACCCCCAACAGATGACCATCCAGTATGAACTATTGCAGCCAGATCTACTTTCCTAGGTGCTAGTCACAAACAAAAGCTGAGTTTCCCCAAAGGTGTTATTTTTTGCCATGATTGCTTCTGTACAGTGTCATCCAACAGAGCTATCTAAAGTAGGCAGGGACAGGCCTTTTATGCTTGCCTGACAAGAGCAGCAACATTCCCAGAAGCCTATTGTGAATAATTTGCATGACACTTTACAGATAAAGTTGCTCCTGTCCAGCCGATGGATATGGACAGAATCAATTAGGAGGTGAGAGACATAACTTGTGTAATAGATGAATTAGAAAATGTCCAGAGGGTGACCAAAATGGTCAAAGGCCTGGAAACCATGGTGTCTGAGATCTCATTATGTTTAGCCCAGAGAAGTGAAGATTAAAAGTTGTCATGATAGCCAGTTGAAGGGATGTCTTACTGGAGTTGGATCAGGCTTATTTTCTGCTGCTCCAGGGGCAATGACCTAGAGCAGGGGTCCTCAAACTAAGGCCCGAGGGCCGAATACAGCTCTCCAAGGTCATTTACCCGGCCCTTGCTCATGGTCAACCTGTCTTGAAAGCACACAACAATCCTATCTCATCAGCCAAAAGCAGACCCACACTTCCCACTGAAATACTAACAAGTCTGTATTTGTTAGAATTATTGTTCTTTTTAATTATTGAATTGTTTTTAAGTGTTTTTTGCACTACAAATAAGATATGTGCAGTGAGCATAGGAATTCATTCATGTTTTTTTCAAATTATAATCCGGCCCTCCAACAGTTTGAGGGACTGTGACCTGGCCCTCTGTTTGAAAAGTTTGAGGATCCCTGACATAGAGCAATGGATTTATACTACAGTTATACTTAAACATCAGTACATGATGGTAAGAGCTGTGCAGTGGTAGAATATTCTGCTTCCACTATCCATTTTTAGGCAAAATTCTGGTGTGGATGGTGTTCTCCAGGCATTCCTGAATGAAAGGGCAGAGCTCCCCAATACCTTCATTGCCTCAGTTTCCCCCCAAAAGGTAAACATTTGATTGGGATAATAGCATAGATGACACAGTAGGGGAAAGACAACACAAAATATGTAACGAGGCAGTACAGAGGTATTTGGCTAATCTAAATGAATTCAAGTCTTCAGGGCCAGATGAATTACATCCAAATAATGTTTTGTTTATGTGTTGTACCTGTGTGCTGCTGCTTGTGGGCTGTAATCCTAAGAAAGTTACGTTTGAGAGGTGGGTAAGACAGCTGGTTAAGTTGGGAGGTGACCCACCTACTTTCATGATTGCATTTTCTATGAACCTGCGCRATCTCTTCGATCTTTAGGGGAGGCCCTCCTCTTGCTCCCTCCTCCRTCACTAGTGCGGTTGGTGGGGATGAGGGAGAGGGCTTTCTCTGTGGTGGCCCCTCGGCTCTGGAACTCGCTATCCAGGGAGATCAGGCAACCCCCCCCCCCGGCAGCCTTTAGGAAAAGTTTAAAAACTTGTCTTTTCCAGTGTGTTTTTGATGAATGAGCAAACCCCCAAATCCCCATAACATGTCCGTCCCAGTACAAACGTGTCCTTTTGATGTACTTTATCTCATTCCTCAGTGAAGCTCAATCCCATTGTTTTTCCCACTCAAGTCTCCCACTATATTCACCACTCTATTTATCTATCTCACCCAGGGGGTTTATAATTTTATCCTTTGCATTTGGCCCTGCTCGCTGTGTTTAATTCTTTTATCACTTCATATTTTGTTTCATTATGTTATTGTTATTATTTTATTGTATTATTTTGTTATTGTTTAGCATTTTACTTGATGTTATTGTCTGTTGTATTTTATTTTGCCTTACTGTAATTTCTTGGGCTTGGCCTCATGTTAGCCGCCCTAGTCCCTTCAGGGAGATGGTGGCAGAGTATAAATAAAGTTTATTTTTATTATTATTAACTATCTGAAGGGATGACAAATGGAGGAGCGAGCTTGTTTTGTTGCTGCTCCAGTGTTTAAGAGCACATCTACACTAAGGTTTTACAAAGTCTTAAACATTCTCTGCCAGTGAGAACAAGTGTGTCACCAAATTACAAATATCAGCAGGATTCCACAGCATTGAACAATTGCACTAGAAGTGGCGTCAAACTGCATCAATTCTACAGTGTAAATGAAAGCTGGAACAGAAACCAATGCATTCAAATCATAAGATATTCTACATAAATATGAGAAACTACTTAGAAATATAAGAAAGAATTGTTCAATTGACTTCTTCAGGGGGTTGTGAACTCTACTTCTTTGGAGGTCTTTTCATGACTTTTCACAGGTGCTGTATTCCTGTATAACAAGTGTTGGACTGGATGGATTCTGTGGTCTCTTCCAACTCATGCATTTTATTAATAACCCTGAGGAACACCTTCTGAGATGGTATTTCCTCATCCATCACAGGAGAGCTCTCCTGACCTGCAAGTGACACATCTGATGTACTGACAAATTGTGACACATAAATAAAAAAAAGTTTATGTGGGTGGAGGAGTAAAAGACATTTTCTTTGATGTATTGTATTTGCTTTAAAACATGTACATAAATCTCTCAAGATGACAATTACTGGAAAAACATGTAATAGAAGAAATCCAACTATCATAACAGAAACTAAAAATTCAGACACAGTGGGCTGATTTTTTTCTCTATCATGTTGACATCACAGACACTTACCTGGACCAGTCATCTTTTTTTAAAAAGAAACAATAACTTTAGTTTGATTTTGAAAGACTTTTATTATGCAAATAAAATCGTAAAAACAGAGCTAAAAATTCAGTATCCGTTTATAGGTGGACTTGGGCCATGAATCACTTTGCTTATCTGAAGTCCAAATGAGAGATGGGGCTCTTTCTTTCAGAGATTCCCACAGGTATGTTTGCTTCCATCCCTCATATTTTTATTCCCTGATAGAATACTGTTACAATAAAATTATAAAAAATCAAGCCAAATATCCATACTGTGCTCTGCACTTTATGCAGGCAAGAAAGGCAGTTCTCCCCACAACATTCAGTTTAAAAGCTAATCACATCTTTCAAGTACTAAACACTTGGATGGTGACTACTATTTCAAAACACCTTAATTGGTTGGGAATCAACATACCTCCAACTGGGAAGTACTGGAGAGAACTGTTTCACTCCTGACAGTTCAAGTGTTGTCATTATTGCTGAAAAGTAAACTTGGTTTGTCCTGAAAGTGTTTGAACTTGGCATGCCAGAACTCATGATCAGTGCAGTTACGGCAGGACATCCTGCTGCGATTGGCTCAGTGGATTAAAATGATTTCCGCAAACCCATTCTTGCACGTATGTAAAATATGTGTCCTTCCCTCACTCTATTCACAACGTATCTACAAGACAGTACAGGTAGCAGAAACTGCAGTTGAATACTATTTACATTCCGCCTTCTTCCATTTGTTTCTTTGTCTTCTCTTAGACTTCAGCGTGATCATTTTCCTGGCAGTTCTCTTCACCTTCTTTTCTGTGAAGTTCTCCTCAATATGGTCTGTACAGAACAACTGTCCGCTTAAGTTAGAATCAAGCACTGCGTCATCTTGATGATCCTTGCAAAAAGAGTTTGGACAGAAGTGGCAAAAGGCAACAGAAAGCTTGCCGCACACATCACAGTGGTGCCAAGGGCATTCCCATTTTCCTGCCATGGAAAAAAAAATACATCCAATTCAGAAAAGTTGCTTCAAAGGTATGAGCCTGACCAATCTGTGTAAGAGTGTGTAAGTCTAGCACAAGTTTGGAAAAGGAAAGCATCTCTTTAATGTGGTTTCTTTCGTGTCAGGTAAACTATGGCAAATCTTAAAACCAACCTTAATTTGACAAAGAATGGCATACCCGTTAAGGAAAATCAGAAAGTTTGATATTATTTGTGATTGTTGACACAGATTGCATCAAATAAAAAGAGCAGCTGAATAAAACAGTACCATCTCACAATGCTGAGAAAATAACTTCAACCAGTAATTGTGTATTTTTTTCAGTTGTTTGCCGCATAATGTGATTTTAATTTTTATATTGTTAAGTTTTATCTCCATATTTTAATGTCTAAATGTTGTTACATCTTATGACTTAATTGACAGCTTAATGTTATTGTTTTATGTTATGTTTTCATGTGTTTGCAAGGCATTGAACTTTGCCGTAAATATGTTGGAAACCACTCTGAGTCCCCCCCACCCCCTGGGGTGAAAAAAGTGGTATACAGATAGATAGATAGATAGATAGATAGATAGATAGATAGATAAATGTGTGGTGCATATCTGTATCCCTTCCTGTCTCAAATATGCTATGTGCTCTTAGTAGTTTTGTGAATATTCTAAATGCAGAAACTAGCCCTAAAAAGATAACAATTTGAATTGCAATATTCTCAGCGGAAATTGCAACATTGAGACGGATCCAGAAGCATGGCAAACGAAGATTGCCAAAGCCACCATTGTGTCATTAAATGAAACCTGCTTCTGATCCATCATCAGAACTCTGGTGATTAGTGGCAAGAGAGGGGATGCACGATACAGAGGACCTGTCCACTGGAAAAGAAACACATCTTTCAAGATATCTGAATGAGGCAGTTTTGTGTGTAATAGTAAGGAAATTGATAACTGGGCTGGCAAAGAAGTCCCATAGATCAAATATCTTCTGGATGTGCGGCGGAAGTAGTGTTCATTTGTGAGATAGAGGCTGGTAAGTGCTGAGGATGCTGTTGAGAATCTTTGTCACTTATTCCCAGATTTACAATTTCAGTGCTAAATCAGAGAACAGCAGGCAGGTTGACTGAGATAGCAAAATATTTACTTTTCTTGGCCACTATTAGTAGCCTTGCAGCTGCATTTAGATATAGTTGATCTTTCTGAGAAGTCATAAATGACAGATATAATTATAATGCAACCTAATCTGCAGATTTTAGAGTGTGCAAAAACAGTACACTGACTCTCTCTATCCAGCTGATGACATGCATTTTGTGGCCACAGGTGCCATCCAAGGCTCCAGTGGCAAAGAGGGGATAGAACTAGGGCTGACCTACGTCTTAACAGAACCAGGCTGCAAATCCGAGCCTTCAGGGTGAATGTAACTTCATTGAGGATAGGTTACCACTACCCCTTTTAATGTCTAAAGAGTGAAATGTCCTATGGACATCTGAATGAAATTAGAATAAACCTTATGCAAGTTATAGCTGTTACAACAACCAGTATGAAGTTAAAAACAGATATGAACTGTGTGTATAGTATACAACTCAACCTGAATAAAAAAAAGGTGGAAAGCAGAAAATGTGAGTGATTCCCCCCCCCCCCCCCTTTGAGAACACTGTAACATATTTGTTCCTGGGCTAKAAATGCCATAATTGGTTCTATCATAAAAAATATGGGGAATGTTTATTAAACTGCAAAAGCTTTGTTTTGGTTGGACATCCTGCACCGTTTTGCTATACTTTTTCAATGAATATCTCATATAGTCAACCAGTTCAATATAATTTCTGGAGTAAAACAACTTCTTTCAAAGTAAATGCCACACAATTAAACAGTAAATAACACTTTCAAACCGGGAACATTTTTTTCCCCAATTTTTGTTGCAGTGTCTTCTTCTAATCACTTTCACAGACTTGGTTCTTTTTTGGCAGAACCCCGTGCATTCTATATCTGTTATAACTGATGAGGATTCCACTCACTATGTTTCTATATAAAAGGCAACACTCGGGATGTTTTATAGCAATTCCTTAGTATTTTTGGGTCAAAAGATTTGTTACTATTTTTTTTTCTTTTTTGGGGCAGCAGTTGGCTAAATCTGAATTTTCTTTGCAAAGAAGTATATACAACATACCACATTTTTATTGAGGACTGCCAAAGGCTCAAGAATGATGGTTAGTAACCTATTAAAACCATGCTTAATTTTTACTCACCAAAGGGGCGCTTTATTAAATCAAGACAGGAGAGATGGTATGCCTTGGTACAAAATTTTCTGTCACATAACACCAGCTGCCCTCCATCACCGCAGCGGAAACAATAGTCCTCAGTTTTTTTCCTCGCTTTGCTCTTGCTTTTCCGCCTCCTTATTCTTTTGGTTTTCTTTCCTTTCTCCTCTGAAGCATTAGAGGATGAATTCTAAATATATATATACATATACATATAAATATCATGTAAAATGACAATTTCCCAAATCAAAGAGGAACGATGCAAAGACAGCCCTGAGATGAGCAAGAACCAAGTTTTGTTATTAAGCACAGAGTTGGGCCTCGAGTTGGATGAGATTATACTTCTAAGTTTAAAAAATGAAACATTAGACCATTATTAAGTTGCCAGTCTCTATATATTTTCTGTGTTTGGCAAACAAGTTAGCAATGAGCAGACTCAATCCAACAAGACAGAAGGCTGGATGTGGGTTTTTGTGACCACAATGTGTGCAAATATATTCTGGGAAGGATAGCGTTTGTACATCAATAGTTAGCAACATAGGATTATTCACTATAATTAAATTTAGTAAAAATACTGATGTATTTTCAATCTGAAAAGACCAACACAATTGCCAGGCTTTGTAAACTTGAACATTGGACACTATAACATAATTACCAAATATATATTCGAAGAGCAGTTAAAGGCATGGTACAGAAGCTGCCTTTTATCCACAAATTGGGGAAGCAACACATTTGGCGTAATTGAATTAGATATAGTAACCGAATTCAGGGAAATACAATTGTAATGGTTCCATTGCATACAATTAGAACAATACTTCAAGAATTGAGTAAAAAATAATACAAATGGAGGTAAGTTTAATCAATTTGAACAAATAATACAGAATTGAAGAGATATAATCATCATCATCATCATCATCATCATCATCATCTTTATTTATACCCTGCCACCATCTCCCCAAGAGGACTCAGGGTGGCTTACATGAGGCCATGCCCAGCAATACAGAAAAACAATGTAACACAAGAACACAACAGAAAATAAGAAAATAAAATAACATAGGATATAAAAACCAATATAAATAAATAGCACAACAACATAAAATCAGAACATTAAAACGCTGAACATAATGAACATAAAAATATGAAAGGAATAACTAGTAAAATATATAAGATATTAATTGAAATAAAGGAAGGAAAAATAAAGAATAACACTCTCAAGGAGATTTGGGAGGAAGATTTAGAGATGAAAATAAATGAAATTGAATGGTCACAACTATGGGAACAAAGACATTTTAAAAACTTATTAATATGAGTTAAGGAAAATTATTATAAATTGATATGGAAATGGTATCTAACACCAATAAAAATAGCAAATATAAATAAAAATTACTCAAAAAAATTCTGGAGAGGATGCCAAGAAGCAGGAACATATATACATATGTGGTGGCACTGTAAATATGGAAGGAATTTTGGGCAAAATGTATTTAGGGAGATAGATGATATAATGAACATAAGAATAGAAAGAAGTCCTAGTACTGCTTTATTGTCATTATATAATAATAAACAGCTGAAAAGAGAAGAAAAAGATGTAATATCTAACTCATTAACAATCGCAAGACTGCTTATAGAAAAAAATAGGGAAAAAAATAAATATACAAATTGAGGAGTGGTAATTGGAAATAAATGATAAGTTGACATGTAAGTTAAAAGAAGAATATGAAAAAGTGATTTTTACGATGTCTGAGGGAAATTTATTGAAAGAGAATTTAAAAAGAAGGATGGAAAGTTACCTCCACAAGAGGAAATGAAATTTTGAATAAAAAAATATAAGAAGAAGTGGCTCAAGGGGAGGGGATCATGGTGGTAAAATATATTGAATATTTTGCCCTTTCTGTACCTTTGGTCTGTCCCCAAGAAAACCACTACAGTTGGGAGCACCACATTTACACACAGTTTTTTCATTTCCCAGACAGTCAAGGTTGTAATTAAAGGTCAGCTCTGTCCCTAAGTAGAAAGAGAGACAGAGAGATATTATGTTACTTCATGATAAAAATCCCAAATATCAACATGTCAGCTAGAGTATCCCCCTCTGCCTCCACACAGTAGAAATGTAAGGACAAATGAGCTGTGAGAAAGCCAGGAAAAGTAGCAGACTAGCTGCTGGAAATTGTATTGGCTGCACTTTCTCAACTGTTTTTCTCAAAGATAGTTTCATGTCACTTGTCAAGCAGGCTGCAACGGAGTTACAAAAAGGATTTTGTAATTTTAAAACTAGCATGTACCTGCAGGAATATCACACACAGCAAATAGTCCCACGCGGGTGTCGCCATGTACTGTCCACTTCAGAGTCTCACAATTAGGCTGACAGCTGTGATTCATAAAACGAGAATAATTTCCTTTGGGTCCAGCATCAATTATGCGGTCCTAAGTGTCAAGAGTGCAACAAAATGCAAATGTTCATTAATAACAAAATGTTCATTAATAACTATTTAAAATATGATTGTTCTAACAGCCACGTGGCTTTTTACACAAGCTTTTGACCATGTTTAGGGATTATGAATCACTGTATTTGTAAGCTTAGTGAGTGGTCACTGATGCACTTTACAAGGATGAATATTGCTCATAACTGCTATTTTATAGCTTGTTGAGTCTTTTAATATTTTTAACGGATAGGGGTTTTATTGTTGTTTTATGTGTAATGAGGCTAATATTATTGTTATTAATTTAACCTTTTATATTTTCTTGTATGTGTATTGTGTGGCACTACTGAGTGCATCCTGCGTGCCGCCCTGAGTCCCTCCAGAGAGATGGTGGTGGGATACAAATAAAGTTCTTAAGTTATTATTATTACTAATCTTTCATCTAAACTATAGCTCTTCACTCCAATACAACCCCTAAGGAAAGGCACAAGTGCATCCAGTTCATTATCGCAAGGAAAGGGAATAACATTCGATGAAGCGTACTTCAAAAGAAATCTGAGATTGCATAGCTAACTATGGGCATGATTTTCTTAAACAATTCCCCTTACTACAAACTGATAAGATGTCTGAATTTATACAAAACATGTGATAAAAACATGTTTAATTTTATGCATTCTGTTTCTTCACAACTTTTAAAGATTTTTGTTACCTGCCTTGAGCCTTCAGGATAGGTGTGGGCAATAGATCTAAATAAAATAACCACAGGAGCAAAGAGTTTTTGTATACTTGATATAAATATAATTTTAACATACACCGGAAATTCTGAAAAGTTGCATTACTTATGATGGTTACTCAAGTTAATTTTTTGGAAATAAATGTACTGGGGACTTTCAAGAGGAATGGCAGAAATGCTCCATGAAGTGATTACAGGTCAAGCTGTTGATGGCCAGTAGAATTTATCACTGGGACAAAGGAGGCTCAAGGGATCAACTACAAGGGTCTAAAACAGTGGGTTCCCAGATGTTTTGGCCTTCAACCCCCAGAAATCCTAACAGCTGGTTAACTGGCTAGGATTTTTGGGAGTTGTAGGCCAAAACAGCTGGGGATCCACAGGTTGAAAACCACTGGTCTAAAAATCTCTTTTGGTGATAAAACTGTCGTGTTAGTGGCGAATGATTGAAGCAAGAGGGAGGAAAGGCCGAACATGCCAGCATGTCCTGCCACATGAGAAGTCTGCCTGTAAAGGGCAAAAAGGACCAAAAAGGAACCAGAATGTTGGAGAGGCTTTCTGATCACAATGATAGATATACTTCTGGCCAAAGAACTGCTCTGCATGATAAATTGCTTTGTGAGCAAACTGGCTTGGGATTTCTTTCCAGAAGCCTTTTAAAACAAGGTTAATAAAATGCAAAAAGCAATAAAATTTAGAGAGATTTACAGAATGTTAACTGACACATGAATAGAAAGACTTTAAATGTTTTTGTAAGAAGGAAGATTTTAATTGTAGGATTTGATATTCTGTAGTTCAGACTAATTAGTAGGTGAGATCTAGTTTGAATATATGGGAAATAAGTCATCTAAACCCTTGGTAGGGAAGTTGGGAGTCAGTTTTTAGCTTATATGTTTATTTGTATTTTCTTTTCTGGAACATATGTGTATTCTTGTGGTAATTTTACAGTTTGTAATTAGTTTGTAGTGCAAAGCAAAAAAAGTAGAAGGAAGTGTTATTATTATATTATATAGTATTGTATTGCTTCTCCCTAATTATTACATGAAGATTATAGGTAATAACAGGGTTTTTAAAAAAAATGTAATTCCTTTCTTATTATTCTTGCTGTTCCTTCACTTCTTTCTTTGTTCTTCTTGTATATGTTCGTATATATTTTTTATTTTTATTGTATTAAAAATGCTTAATAAAATCTTTAAGAAAAATGTTTTGGCTCTTCAAATCAAAAAGAGAGAGAGGAAGATGATGAATGACAAACATCTATCTTTGAAATAAAAATCAACAGCATAAAAAGGAAAACAAAATGCAAACAATGTAGTCATGAGAAAGAAGGGTGAAGGCCTCCCAATTTCTCTGCTGGCACTGAAAACCGCTATTAGTTTTAAAAGCCTCAACCCCAATCACTTGCAGGGAGTTAACCAACAGAGTAGCCAAATATCCATTCTAAGGTCAAGAGCAGAGTATAAGAGAGTATGGAGTCCACAATTAAATCAGAAACTGAAAACCAAAATCCAAGGGTAAGCCAAGAAATCACAAATAACAATTAGCAAGCGTCTGAGGTTGTAGCTCCAGGTACTGATGTTGTAGCCAGCAACAAGGTGCCCCACTTGAGCCTTAAATGCTAAGTTTTGGGGTGTTCCCTATTGCTGGCTTGTTTCGCAGCTACTCTCAAGGGCCTGCAAAGTTGAGCCTTCTCTGTTTGTAGGTGCATGAAAATTGGGACACTTAACCTTTCCTCAGCCAGCTCAGAGGAACTTGCTTGAACTTTATCTGCAGGCCAAGAAGTGGTAACTACTTGAGTGGGTTCTATTTCTATTTTTGGCCGAGGGAGCTGCTGGGCACTGCTGGGTCCAGTTCCAATGCTGGCCCTTCAACCAGCATCTCCTCTCCCTCACTCTGCGAGCCACCCACAACAAATCAGACTGAAAAAACATGAATATATTTACTCTGCTGTCACTGACTAGAAGTGCTGATTTCAGTTATCCAGGGTAACTATGAGATACAAATCAAGACATGTTAGAATACTATACCTTATCAATAGTAAGCATGTAAAAGTGTGTGATGTCGTTTTCATGAGCATACTTGATTCTTGCCATACACTCCTCATCATCAATTAACTCACCAACATATTCATTCACAAATTCACCCTGAAAAATAAATGGATTGTTGCAAAACTATGTATCATCTGACAGAGGTACATTCTACAGGTTTTCAATGCACTGCAGCAGCATCTCTATCTCATCAATTTTCCAATATCCTTAAGTTAACCTAAAGAAGATTCATGATTGAATCCATTCCAATTGTTTGCGCTAAAGATAAGTCTATCCTTAGTAATGTAACCTTGGTTTTAATTTACATAGCACTAAACTCTGAGGTAGGAAGAAGATGAATTCAGAACAGCAGACTAAATCAATCAAATAAAGCATCAAAACTCTAGCACATAATAGAGGAACACCTTCTTATCTTCCCAATGAAGATTTATCATTCAACAATAAAAGCCAAGCTATCATCTCATTTAACTATGAAAACCTTTACACAGAAAGAGTGGCCAATCTGAGGAGTCTGGAGGCCATCGATCTACCTGCTGCATCACTTTGTCAAATCTAACCCATCTTCATTCTCATCTCAATTTTAATGGTGAGATTTCTAAGTAGCACGGTTTTACCTTTTCTATTTTTGAAAATGCAAAGGGCAGTCTTGATCCAAATTCTCACAAACAGGTGGGGGAGAATATATGGGACCCACATTGCCCGTATACAAAGAAAGACCCAGGAAGTCTTCTGACCAAGAGTGTGACACTGTAAAAACACATCCACAAACTGATCCAGCTCTCTTAACACATACCTTTTTAATGTCTCTCTTTGCAATCAAGCCCCATCCTTTGCCATCAGTTTTTATGATCTTTGTTTCGGGGTACTGGCGTTTAGTAAAGCATTGGTTTTGGCAGCGCTCTCCGGCTGGACACACTTGTGGGTGACACTCGTACATCAACATCCGATTTAGACATTCAGAATCAAAGCCACAGGGGTTTTCATCAGAGGGTTTGCAGTTGCATTTGGGAATCTCAGAAATGTCAGCAGTATACACCTGAACCTTTCCAAAAGGCTTATTTACCTGAATAAGGAAGAAGAGATGTGAAGCAAATTCTTAGAAAGGTAAGGAATCTATCAATTGGGCAGCATAGGGAACAGGTATTTAAAAATATTATAGAATACTTTCAACTTATTTGAGGAACAAATATTTAATTCACCAATGCAATAAATATGGCTAGGGAATAAAATGCTACAATTACAGGTTGGGTTTTTTTGTATTTACAAATTACTTTTTCTTCTATGGATCTAAAGGTGGCATGTATGGAGGTAATTCTTTTTAACGTTGCACCTGCCATATAGCACAAATTAAAGCAGAAAACGTGAATCCAAATCAAACAAATTGTCATCATGTGTTCGTGTAGAAACCTGATTTTAGATCTACCCAGTCTAAGTCCAAGATTACCCATTACTCAATATGGCTCCTTGTAAACATTTCCATGTGTAACTGGGCAGTTTTAATGAAATTTTAGACAGGATCGAGGTTGACTAAACTAGACCAAAGACATAATTACATTTCATATTCTGGAATATAACTGTTTTACAGCAGAAATAATTTCTTAATAAGTAATATAAAGTCCTGCCTTCTATTTTTTCAACATTATATGATCAATACAAGGTTGTTCAATTTGACACAGTCCAACTGTGAACTGATAGGTGCTTGAACAGTGTTCACACATTATGATCAGAATAACTGGATCCTAAACCAAAAGGCCTCATGACATGCAAAAGGTTGTATATGAGGCCTCATTAATCATGGCTGAGAGAAAAGATATATGCACTCAGACACCTAACTTACCTTGATGTGTTTGTAAGGAGGAGGTTTGCGTTCATTTTCCTGAGTTTCCTTAGCTTCACGTTGAAATTTTATTTCTCGAAAACGTGCTTCAGCATCTTGCAAAGCTTTAAAACAAAAGCAATTAGTAGAAATTGGAGAAACGAATACTTCATCCCCATCAAGATACCCTGGTTTCTGACATATTGGTTGCTAGGCATTGATTCAACATGTCTGCAGTTCCTCCCCATAGTCATGGAAGGAAAGGGGCATGCACATTTTCAATGTTGTTGTTTAACACCAATGCATCTCAGATTCTTTATTGAGCTGGAATCAGTGTGTTATTCTCAAGCTTCTGCGTGTGCATGGGCGACACACCTCCCGCCAGCAGAACTAAAGATGACATGTATACAGAGTTGGGATAAAAAAATGGCCAGAACTTGTTTATTGATTACAGGAACAAGGGTCGGCTGGCATGCATGGGCAGCCCGCAAGCCAGTTCCAGGGCCAATGCCACACACCAAACTAAAAGTTGTGACAAGCTAACAAGAATCAAAAACATAACAAGCATGAATGGCGGGTGGGATGGATCAGCTGAAGCAGGCATGGTGCCTACAAAGGTCCAGGGAAGCCTTATAAAGGCTGCTGGGTGAAGAAGGAAGTGGGCCCTGGCCAATCCAGAGGTGGGGTGGGGCCTGCCACTGATCGTAGGGGGCTTCTGGGAGGAAGAAGCCCCCTGCATGTTCCATGGCCAGCAGGAGGGCATTCAACCTGCAATGGACTTGCCCAGTAAGTTGGGCAATGCATTTAATGAGAAGTAAAATGCTTTAAAGTTTTTAGAAAGTGGCTATAAGCAATGCTCTTTAAAATAAAGAATAAAGAAAATGGGAATGCAATTGCAAAGCACAGAATGCAATCTAGCATCATGATATAGCATAATATAACATATTCATTTTAATATAGAAAGCAAAATATGTTAGGATGTGTGTACAAAGTAACCAAAGTGGTCGTTCTGATTAGATAATTTATAATTTGAGCAAGGCTAAGGAGAAAATAAAAGATGCCAAGACAGAACCACAAATTAGAATTCCTTTGGGCATGTTTTTTTTACCAATAAAGACATTTGGAAAGGGTGCTAGCCTGTCCAAATATGCTGTAAGATGACACTGGTAAGATATGCTGAAATAGGTATATGTTCAAACATGCTCATGTTTAAAGTGCTGTAGCTGAAGCGCAAAATATAACAAATGTATACTGCATTTTCCCAGTACAGGTAATAAAAATAAAGATCTGACATACAACTACTGGCTTTCCACTTTGGTGGGTTTCACTTTGACAAATGTGATTATTCGGGGATTATTTGCTGCTGTTTCTGTTGCTACCTTGTGAGACCAAGGCTTACAAATCCTTATGAAAATTGGCTTGAGACACCAGCAAGGGAAGCAAAAGTGAGAAACCCAGTGCTCATACCAAAGGAAGCATTGAGCAAGTGAGTAAGCACAGAAAGTAAGGGAGTCCAGTTTCTCCTTTTCTCTGCCCACCCACTTGCTCTCTTCCATTTCTCCCTGCTCCCTGCCCTCGGTTGCAAAATCTCCGCTGGCTACTACCGTTTCCGGGCACAATTCACAATGCTGTTTTTGACTTATAAAGTCCTATACAGTATGGGTCCAGGTTACTTGAACAGCTGTATCTCTATAAACCAGTTAGAATAATTAAATAAATAAATAGAAGCAATTAATAGCGAAAGAGAAAACAATTGCACATGCAATGAAGTCAATGATATATGTTGCCTCGACACAAAAGTGAAACCAGGTTTTACAGAACTTCATGAGCAGGGTATCTGAATTAAATGAAACTGGAAAAGTTGCAGCAAGCCCTCACATTTAATGCATATATAACAATGCAACTACAAAAGTACAAGATCATTTTAAACATTTCACTCAATATTTGTACCATTTTTGAAGACTTTTCCAATTCCTTTCATTCCTTGGTATCGACTTCCCCGATCTCCTTCCATGTAAGGAAAGACACGAGCCTGATGGGTCCAGTAATAATCTTTAGACCCAAAGAAAAACACAGGGAACTCTCCGATTTCATGTTTCATTTTCTGGATATTTGGGGGAACATTTTTTGGATGGCAGACTTCTGCAGGCCACCACCTATGAGAGAAGTATCCCAAAAGAAGCAAGAATTTGAGAGACCTATTCTCACAGACAAAGTGAATAATACATTTCTTATTTTCATCATAAGTACAAAGAAACAAATGTACTCTCTTAATACTAAGGCCAGCTGAAATGTTACTTTTGAGGGCCCCAGTAGTCCCCAACTAAAAAAAAATTGCCCCCAAATGCCACATAAGGGGTGGGGGTGTGAGGAGGCATTTTTCTCTTCCCCGGCTAAGTGCTTTCTGTTCACTTCGTGTTGTTAAAGGGGCCTCTTCTGGGCCTAAAATGTCCTGGGGATGGGAATGGGGGCCTAAAGCATGACAAAAATGATTACAGCCCTGATTTCTTTATTTACAGGAGTGTAATGGGGGTGCAATCCTTAAAAGTCTCGAGGCGTAAAACTGCCCCCCCCCCCAGCATTTCAGTTATCTGTATACACACAGGCAGACTCCTCCTGATCAAGCTCCTCAAAAAAAGAGATACAAATATGAATATTTAATTATATAAATTCAAACCTGTATTTTCCCAGTTTGACCCAAATAATATCCTGAAAACGAATTTTCTTTCCTGCTTTGCAATCATTGCAATACCAGCTTCCATCTGGCATTTCTATGTTTAAGCAATCTGGATGAAAGGCAGCAGGGCAAGATTCACAACATAAAAGGCTTCCACCTGAAAGATAAATCATATTTACATGGAAAGAAAAGAGAAAGTTTTACCTAGAGCATAAAAACTAAACACTAAACCCATAATCTATAAACACAGCATCAGGCTGCAGGCAAGGAAGAAGAGGTTTCTTACCTGTAAATGTAGTTCTTCAAGTGGTCATGTATGCATTCACACAAATGTGTTTTTACCTGCACAGACCCCATTCGGAAAGTTCTAAAGCTCTCCAGCTTGGTGGGAATATCTCCACCCCTTCCTCCCTATTCTGCATGCCTCAATTGCCAAGTTACTTTTCCCTCAGTTTTGAAGTCCGCCAACATAGTGCCAGGGACCTGGAAGAGGGGAGGTAGGGTGAGTTTGTATAAGGGCACATATGACCAGTTGAAGAACTATAGTTACAGGTAAGCAACCTGTTCTTATACACTGTGGTCTTTGAGAATCACAAAAACAGGTAATTAAGAAGCTTACCATAGGATAATGGGCAAGTCACTGCATGACAGAAGAAAGGGCAGCTCTAAGGTAGCATCAGCTCAGGATCTGTAGTTTGGCCTATAATGTAGTCCAGCACATTAGTCCTATAATGTAGTCCTCAAGTGTTTGGGAGCCAAAACAGCCCACAATCCACAGCAAAAGAATAACTTTTGCCATACTCCACTGAACTGGATGGCCGAGACCTTGCTGCACTGTACTTGTATAATATTACACAGATCTAACAAGGAAACACCTTGCAGTAGTGCCAGAGAGGTAGCCACAGATCATGTGGAATGCACTCTTAAACTCTAAGAGATTGGTTGTTTAGTCAGTTGGTATGATAATTGAATTGTTTCAACACCCACTTTGAGTCTTTGTGATGAGACTTGGGAGTCCTCTGTCAGAAGTTCCTTAACAAATAGATGGACTGGTGGAATGGTACAGTTTTAGTTAATATGCTAGAGTCCAGCATATGTCCAATGAATTTAGGGATTGTTCCAGACAGATGGATGTGGATAGAAGGTTGGTATCACAATGTCCTTACTCAGATGGAATTGGGATACACCCTCCAATAAAAAGACCACATCTGGTTGAAGGTTATCATATTTTTGTCAGAGAACAGGGCTGCTAGTTCACATGCATGCCGCTCAGAGATTATCACCACAAGGAAGACAACTTTTAGGGTGATAATCTCTCAACTGTGCATGCCATTGGTTCAAACCGTGGACCCACCAACTGAGATGGTGTCAGAGGAACCAGAAAGGGACAGGCAGTCACATAGGTGAACACATGGGAGTAATCCTTTCAGGAAACTCTTTACTACGGGATGTACAAATAAAAAAATACATGTTTGTTGTGGCCGGTTGATGAGCCACAATGGCTGCCAGGCACTTTTTGATGGAAGAAAGGGTCAGTCCTTATTCTTGAAGACAAAAGAGGAAATGCAATGACATAGATGGGGAAGGAGGTTCTGATCTTAATTCTGGGAAGAAGCAGAATTCACAATATTTATCATGGGGCCCTTCCAGACAGCCCTATATCCCAGAATATCAAGGCTGAATATCCCACAATTTCTGCTTTGAACTGGGTTATCTGAGTCCACACTCAGATAATGTGGGATTTTCTGCATTGATATTCTGGGATATAGGGCTGTGTGGAAGGGCCCATAGTCTTATGAATTTCCTAGTAGAGCCTTTACATGAGGGAAGGAGTACTTCTCAAATTCATGGGGAAAGTTACACCATTATCCCCCATGTGGTCTCTTGTAGAATGAACAAGTTGGGCTAAAGGGTCTGGCCGTGAGAGGAACTGTCATGCACCAGACCTTTAAAAGATGTAGCAGGACAAACAATGGCTGCCTCAGTCAGAAGGGAGCCACACACAGATGACACTGGACTTTCCCCAGCGCAATTTCACTATCAGCCTGGATAGCAGTGGCAAAGTGGAAACAGAACAGAAGGCTAGACCTGCTGAGGGGTTGGATCTCTATGTGGAAATAGACATCACAAAGGTCTATCAAGGTGAAACAGTTTCCTCTGAAAAGGGGAGGATTGACTGTCGGGTCACCTTTTGAACTTCTTGGAGAAAATGTATATGTTCAACCCCTAAAGGCCTAGAATTCGTTGGAGCCTTCTATCTCTTTTCGTAATCTGTTGCCATTAAGTACCCTTTTGATAGAATCTCTGTGCGGAAAGTAGATAATTTCTTTGAGAAGGGATTGGGAGGGGAAAGTACATTGAGTATGCCAACATGTAGAATACTTGAGAGCTTTATGCTATAACCCTGATGCACAATGGTAAGGACCCAACAAGTGGTGATGTTCCACCAAGTGTTGTAGTGGTGGAATAGTTTGGATGACTGGGATGGAAACTGGTCACACTGATGGAAAGTTGACATCAGTTCCGAATATGGATGGTCAGTGACGTTGGTGTTCATGCATTTCTGAGGCTTAGTGATTGACACTGAAGCCATGTGTAGATGTTGTATCTTTGCTGCCTCCAAGGTGGTTTAAAGGGACTATTCCCAGCAGTATAATTTTAGGTGACTAATGATTTTTGTGGCACAGTGGGTTAAACCCATGTGCCAGTAGGACTGAAGACCGACAGGTCGCAGGTTCGAATTTGGGGGAGCGTGGATGAGCTCCCTCTATCAGCTCCAGCTCCTCATGTGGGGACACGAGAGAAGCCTCCCACAAGGATGATAAAACATCAGAACATCCGGGTGTCTCCTGGGCAACGTCCTTGCACACAGCCAATTCTCTCACACCAGAAGCGACTTGCAGTTTCTCAAGTCGCTCCTGACACGACAAAACAAAAACAAAAAACATCTGCAATGTGAATTCTCAACAAATAGAGCACTTATTGACGATATGCCCTCCTCCAAGGAGAAAAGGCACTTAGAATGCCCATCTGGCAAGGCAACCATATGGTCACAAAGAAAACATAGTTTGAAAAGGGACAAAAAGGCCATAAGAGGGGGTAGGAGGTTGAGGGTGAAACAATGAAAAGGATATGATTGGGTTCTTTAATGATATGGTTAATAAAGAATATAAATGTAAACAATTATGAGAGAAAGAATGAAGATTTGGAATATCTAAAAGACAAATGAATACTGAAGAGTGAGAGGATGATGAAACGAATTTGGCAGACAAAATAAAACTGAGGGAACAGTAGCTTGGGATTTCAAACCTGTGTGATAAGAAAAGGGTGCGGGGATGTTCCTGCATAGTTGAAGAACTCTAGAATTTTCACAATGGGGTCTCTGCGCAGTATCCAAACCATTTGTGCGATGCACAGAGACCACCACAACAAAGAATTGAAGAAATACCATTGGTATGATCTGAGACAGGAAGAGGGTCCTGTCCCGTTGGTCCTTGTGTATACAAGGACCTTCTGTATGGCCTACATACAACTATCAGCATGATCTTTAATCACTTTGACAGGAAGCAAAGTTGCCACCTGTGAGGATAGTTTCAGATATTGTAGGATTTCAGATAAAAGATGTCCAGCTTGCATTGTATACCATTATCTACCCACATTGACAACATATACATTTGCACAATTAAGTGCCCAATAAAGACTTTAAAAGAATTTTAAAGAAAGACAGAACAATTTATCCAAGTAACAGTTTCAACATAAAACAAAACATGACATTTACAATAAATGCTAGTCTTTTTATAATAAAAAATAGAAAAAATAAACTTATTTACCTTTGGAGCACACAAAACACCAGCTTACATTAACATGTGCATGATGGCTCTTTCCTTTCATGGCAGTGAAGTGGTTGGTACAAATAATGCTACTGGAAGTGATCATTGAACATCCTGCCGCAACACAAGCATCACTAGCATGATAGGCAATAGGACACCGAACACATCGAATCATTTTGCCTATAAAAACACACACATATATGCACATCACCATACCAAATTACTGATCAAAATGTAAAGAAAATGCAAAGACAATTGCAAATGCTACCTTGTACGTACACTGTTCGCACATGTCAACTATATGCCATGAACATTTTCCCCCAAAACAATTAACGTAGTATATCTGTTGCTTTCTGCCATTTGACTACTTTTGTATCTTAGCTAATTTAACATGCTGGAGCAAAACATCCCATGCCATTTTTCATGAATTCATGGTATAGCAAAGAAGTGGCAGGTTACCATCAGATCGGCCTGATTTTGGGAGGGGGGGAATCAAGATTTCTTTCCCGAGGACAATAGAATTCACTTGGGCCAACAATTGCCCCGTGAAATATAGAATAAACATTTTTATCACATTTACTTTTAGTCTACTATTATGTTTTCTGGCTCTACGTGTCTTGATGGGATCTTCTGCTCAAGAACACTTCTTTAGATATATATATGCTAAATGTTATATGACAAAAGTAAAAGACAAACAAACAAATAAACTGACCCATTAAAAACACAGTTATAAACATAACATATCATTTCCAATCACCATTCTGCCATGCAATTAAAAATCAAATGTCATTTTAAAAAGAACTTTTTTAGCTATCAGTGGAAAGTAAATTGGGAGGGGGCTAGCTGGACCTGTTGGAGTTCAGCCAGTGATTGTGTTTCAGGATCAGGGTGCTTTGGATGAGGGGAATTATGTTAATGAGGTTCAAGATGAGTTTCAAGATGGCAATGGTTTGGTCAGTGATATTGATGCAGAGAATGACCAGGGGATCCCTGTAGTTTCCCATGAGAATATCCCTGAAGGGTATGGGGATGCATCTGCAGAAATTAATGAGCAAATTGATAATGAACCAAGAGAGCAAACAGATAACGAGCCAAGTGCAATGATTGGTAATTGACTATAGGAATGGAACAACGGAAAATGATACTGGATTGTGGTTTTGACGATGAGACGACGCGGAATGGCTTTCGTAGTAATGATGATGCTTTTTGATGATGATGTTTTTTGTTAATGATGGATTGTGGATTTTTTATACTGTGTCTTGTATTTTGTACCTTGTTCTTTCTATGTTGTACACCGCTGTGAGTTGCCCCTGGGCTAAGAACAGCGGTATATAAGCAAAGTAAATAATAAATAATAATAATAATAAATAAGAGATAGACAAGAAGAGTTCAGTCAAAGCAGGAGGGCTGTGCAAAGGCTTAGGCAATCTGCCAGGTTTTGGCAGAAAAAATAACAAAGCCTCAACTAAAGAGAAACCAATTTCTGACCGCTGGCGACCTAGCTATCGAGGGATTAAAAGTCTCAAGTTTGGGATGTGTAGTCAGATGAAGCATTGTTTAGAATCACACCAAGTTCTCGTCCTTGTCTTATGGAAACCTTGAAGTTTCATGCTAAGATATTTCTTGTTCATGGTTTTGGATTCCTGGATTTCATGATTGCTTACCCAAGCCTTGGATCAATGTATTCCTGATTTTCTGGATTGTTTTGGAGATGTGTGGACTTTGCTTTTATGGACGTTGCTGAACTCTACCTTGGACTAATGCTGAACTCTACCTTGGATCTTCCGTATCATAATAAGTTTAAAAAAAAAGAAACTTATATGCTATCCTGTTTTCAGCCACTAGGTGGCAGCATTATCCCATTTGAAACCATTGTAAAGAAACATACTGCACTTTTTTTGCAAATAAAAATATTCATATCCCTAAACCTTTCATGCTACTACCACAATAAACCATAGAACCATATAGTTAGAACTACATGAGCCATCCAGTCCCAACATGCTGAATATGTGAACCACAGGGCTACAGTATCAAAATTCAAAAAGCCATTCAAATTTTAAAGAAAAAACATATAGAAAATAAATACCTTTAGACACTTTAGGATTAGAAGGACTAGTAACATGGCAACTGACACAACTGTGAAGAGGGCATCGAAAACCTCTATTTTCAAATACTGTCAGGTGGAATTTTTTAACACATGTTTCATGGTAAAATTTTCCGCAGTGTGATACAATGCAGCGTTTCACCTCAGATTTTTTCTCTTTGCACACAAAACATGAATGAATACCTATAAAAAATTAAAACATGCTTGAATATTTTAAAAGAGTAAAACCCAGATTAATTTCATGATATATACCTAATTGCCATATATACTCAATTACAAGTTGAAATTTTGTTTGGCAAAAAAAAAATTGACACAAAAAATCTGGTTTGACTTAATTCATGGGTCAATAAAAGTATGTGGTGCCATGTCTGGACTTTTTGAATGCCTAGGCATTATGAGAAGGAGTGTGGGGCACAAAAATTACTGCTCCAACCTCCAGAATCACCCAACCTATGAGATATATAGTGTCATCCCTACAGACCTCCTTCTGTAGTACAATCTCTGCACGGCATCTTCCCTCTGGGATGCTGAAGGCAAGGGGGTTACTCATGAGTAAGCAAGTGGAAGATCATCCCCCTCACATACCCAGACATTGTATGCTCCTTGGCCAGTGAGGCTCTGCACTTGCAATCATGTTATGATTTCTCCTCCATCTCTGGAGTCATGCTCCTTTGACTCCCAGTAACATGGTGAGGCTGCTGCAGAGCTGATGCCACTACATCAGCCACCACTGCTGCCAATCCTCAGGCCTGCCACAGCCATGACCATCCTGCTGCATGAGACTCAGGCGAGAAGAGTTTGCTGCCTCCAGAACAGTGGGATACAGAACAGGAGTACAAATATGTGGAAAGGACATTGGAAGCAAGCACATCATCTGCAATAGGTGAGCCAGGAGGTACCCTAGCCAAAAGAGGAGTAGTGATCATTCACTTGCTTCCTCATGAATGAAACAACTATTCTGAGCTGCCGAGCAGGAAAGGCATAGTGCAGGCATTGTAGTATCACATGACTGGGATCACACTAACTCTAGTGATGCTATTATGTGGGTGGGGAAATGGTGGCAGTGATGGCACTTTGACGCTTTCCCTAAAAGGGGAGCTGAGAATAGCATAGGGTTAATTAATTAATTAATTTACTACATTTATATCCCACTCTTCTCACCCCGAAGGGGACTCAGAGCAGCCTTACAAAAAAGGCAGTAATTTGATGCCATAAACATACATATAGTAAAATAAACACATACAGTAGAGTCTTGCTTATCCAACATAAACAGGCCGGCAGAACGTTGGATAAGGAAATGCCTATTAAACGTCAAATTACATTATGATTTTACAAATTAAGCACCAAAACATCATGTTTTACAACAAATCGACAGAAAAAGCAGTTCAATACACAGTAACATGCAGCAATTACTGTATTTATGAATTTAGCACCAAAGCATCACAATGTATTGAAACAGCTGTGGATCTGGGTGGGAGGCAGACTGCGTTGGATAATACAGAACGTTGGATGAGCGAAGGTTGGATAAGTGAGACTCTACTGTACATTAAAACCAGGAAATTAAAACATCAATATTAAAACCAGTTATTAAAATCACATCGTACAAAATCCAATCAAATCCAATCCTTTTGGGTCCACCCAATACAGACAAAGCTCTTGCCTTGTTCATTCTATCCTACAAATTTTCCCCAGGGTTTAATGTGACTCCACTATCCTTGAGACATTCAATGTATAATATACATTGAATGTCTCAATAAATAAATAATGTCTCAATAAATAATGTTAGTTTTTAGCTTTAATCACGAAAAATTGTAAAATAATGCAAACAATAAAGCATCCAATAAGTTTGTGGTTTCAGAAAAACTTGCCTGAAGAGCATTCAGTACAAATAAAGTGTCCTAAGGGCTTTGCAGATAGACCTGTGCAGCCTGCATGAAAAGCACCAAAACAGCGTCCTTCACAAAACAGCAGATCTCCAGGCTTTTCGCAGATCTTTGAAAAGAGAAAAATTAAATACTAAAAAGCATAGAAACAGGGGAATGGTTTCTCTTCTTTTCAACCACAGTCTTTCTTACTTACATGACATATCGAAAACTACATTTCTATTTCGTTCTCATTGAGTTTCACTTTCAACACCATTTAATATATCAAATTATTTAATCATTCAGCCTAGTCCTGAGCGTGTTTATTGATAGGCATGTTCCATTGGAATCATTCCCTTTCTTATCCCTCCTGCTCCTTCTCCTTACTTGCCCTCTTTTAATTATAAAATTAGGCTAAGTTGGATGCAGAGAAGCGTTAAATCATTGAAACTGAAGTGGCCAACTCTTTCTGATATGGTTGACCATTAGCAGAACAATCAGAGCACTGTATCACCTTCACAGGATTTATTAGTATCTTCACATTTATAATGATATGAAAGGAAACCACAAGAGTAAGAGCAGCCTCCTACATAGCCCAGGACACTGCTTGAGCTGGAAGCTATTGGGTTGATACGCAAGCCTGAGATATACATTACTTGATTCTGAGAATCTGGAGAACTTAAGGTTCTATTATGTCAACTTAGAGCAGTGGTTCTCAACCTGTGGGTCCCCAGAGTCTCATGTGAAGGGCACAACAATTATTTTCTGCTGTAATATCTGTTTGTATACTTATTCCACACAATTAATAATGCTCCCCTTATATAATGGTTATTAAAATAAGAGTCTGCCTTTATCATAGCAGAGATAGGCATGAATCCCATTTTTTCCCTTCTAGTTGTGGTACATATTCATTTCTCAAGAACAACCAGTTTTCAACCAAGATTATCAAACAGGGTGTGTGATAATCGGTTTTGAGACAAGGAACACTTAGTCCTCCTCTTTTCTTACAGTCTTATAGTACTTTCAATCTGACCCTTGGTCTTTTTCCTTGCTAAATAAATGCTGATAGGTCTTTTTGCCATTGCTTAAATCAGTAGTTCTCACCTGTGGGTCCCCAGGTGTTTTGGCTTACAACTCCCAGAAATCCCAGCCAGTTTACCAGCTGTTAGGATTTTCTGGGAGTTGGAGGCCTAAACATCTGTGGCCCCACAGGTTGAGAACCATTGGCTTAGAGGGAGTGCCTCCAATAAGTAGTTACAACTTGATTAATAGGGTCTTTGATGGGAAAGAAAAAGGAGGGACCCAAAGGCCACTGAAAGCTGTAGAAAGAGTCCTCCTTTGGGTGGTGAAGGCTGTAGTACTGATAGATAATCAATGGGCCTAACGGAAAAACACTGTACAAAACCCACATTAATCTGCAATGTGCTCTCCTCCCAAGCAAAATGGCTCCTACAACTCGAGAATCTTCTTATTGCGTGGGAGATAGCACCTCTTGAAGAATGCTGTAGGTGCCATTAACAAAATTCAATCCGCAAAACTTAATTTATTCACTAATGAACGAATGACTTGATGTAATATCTTGTTTAGGAGGAGTGAGAATTAAGTAGTCCTCCAGATGGTACTGAATTGAAACTTTCATGAGTCCTCACTAGCAGAGGCAGCATAGTGAGGAATGAAGGGAAAACTACACATTCTCACCATTGTTTAAACCATTAGTAAGAGATACCCCATTTGGTGATTAGAAAGTAGTAATCAGTCTTTCTGACTAAAGTTACTAGTCAATTAAGAAAAGACTAAATGAGTCATGTTTCTTATCTGCAATTCTGATGGTTACGTATAAATGAAATGAGAAGGCTACTCTGGGAAAATATCAACATGATCAGAGCTCAAATTAATTAATCTTCATTGTTTCAATTCATATGGTTCATACAAAGCTTAGTATGTTAACATCTTCTCCTAGTCTTTTTCATGCTATTTCAGTGAAAGTCTTAGCTCTGCCAATGGGATTCAAAACAGCCCAGTCTGTCCTGCAGACTTGGTGCTATGAACAAGGAGTGTTCTCTCCTTAATAATGTTAATTTAGAATCGAGATCCTGCTCCAACTCATTTCTCTTACCTGGCATACATATTCCTTTTTTGCTGCAGCTCCTCGATCAGACTTTTTGGACTGAGATATTTCTGCTAGTGCCTCATCGGCACTTTCATAAGGAGACTCTGATCGTTCATCTCCCAGGCTATCTGAGATCTAAAGAAAAACAAAGTAAATTAAATGAAAATTTGATTTATATAATCATTCCGAGACAATTAACACTCCACCCTCCCCCGATAGCGACTTGTACTTTTTCCTGACAGGGAAGGGGTTTGAATCTGCCCACCTCTGGGAACTGAGCCGCCATGATATGCAAATCAGGACTCTCCTCTACAACAGAAAATGTTCTTAATGTGCGTAACTTAAAACAGAATCTGCCAAATCAAAATTTTCTCGGTATAAGATATTGGTTATTGGCCCAAAACAATCCCTAATATGAATCTGCTCAGAAATTTAAATGTAACATCTACTTACCCTTTCTTAAATGCAAATAAAAACACTTTCATGTACAAATATAGGCTATTCTATTGCAGTGATTCTCAAACCTTTCTTTACAAGGGACAACTTTTAAGTATTTTAAAAATGTGTTTATTGCTGTAATTTAAGTATCATGTGGCATACAATATAGAAGTGTTCTTAATGTATTAGTAGCAGTTCATCTTATCAATGTTCCCCCTCTAAATTCTTCCTCCTCAAATAGAGTAATTAAAAAAATAAATTAAAAGACTATTATATAAAGTCTTTATTGCTACCTTATAATTTCACTACTATTAAATTTAATATTCAAAACCTGCAAACCTTTTGTAAATCACCTGCCATCAACTCTCTTTACATAAGCACCAGTGATGTTACTAGGATTGGTGTCAGCCCAGTGAAGCATCTGTCTTTGCTGTCACCACTGCCCATGGGACAAAGAATCAAAGGAAAGGATGAAAGGAGAGAGATATTGCTCAAGGGAGAAGACAGCAAGAGATCTAGGGAAAAGGGGGTAGAGGCAGTTAGTTCCCCTTTTAACTCTTTCCAGCTTCATGCTGTCACACGTGCACCATGGCAGGCTTCCCCCTGCTTTTTGTTTGATATGCATTGTCCTTCCTGCAAGTACCAGGACTCTGCCCTCAGCATGAATGAAAGTGATTCCACTGCCACCTTCAGGGAGTTACCAGTTTCTTTCCCAGTCAGAATAGTGATGGTGAGACCTGTTTCACAGCTGCACAGCGAACTCAACAGGGAACAGAAAAAACTTCCCACTCTCTGGCAATAACTGCACACACTCATACAAACACACATTACACATTTTAAAGAGCTGTAAGTTGGAAGTGCAGAAAAGCAGTCTGACATATGACAATTATAGGGATCTAGTGAGCTCTCTCTCATTCTCACACATTCTCGTCATCTTCAGCCAACTAGGGAACTGGAGGGTAGTGACAGCAGCAGCAATGTGGGCAGGGGGCCATAGCAGTTCAATCCAGCCTGAGGACCCAAACCTCTTCCTCCAGCAGGCAGTGCCGGGTGCCTCCTTGCTCCAATCAGGATGTGCAATCCTGAGACAGCGGGAAAGGTGGCAATGGAAGGAAAAGGGGAAGCACTCAGGGAGGAGCCCCTGCTGTATATCACCCTCCTCCTGTCCATCTTGTCCTAACCCCACCCCCTCCACAGCTGCCTAACATACTGCTGCCCCCCTTGACTTCCCTCCAGCCCTTCCCTAGCCTTGCATGCCAAGGGCTAAGCCCTTCCTAGTCTTGCATCATATGCCTAGGCAGTGTGAGGCTGGGAAGGGGCAGTATTTTCTTTCAGTATTCAGATCTTGGCATGCTTGCCAGCCCAGGTGGGCATATCAAAGGGCCGATCAGCAAGTTCAGGCCCCTCCTAGGCAAGGGAGTAGGTGAGCCTTCACCTGCCTGTATGCCTACTGGCCTGACCTACAAGCCCCCTTCGATTGCTGGAAGCCCCAAAGCTCTCGCCTTCCGATAGGCAGCTGAAGAAGTCCCTCTGCTCACCCATCACACCCGCGGCAGAAACCTATCAGCCAGGGGAGGCCCCATAGCCTCCAAAGTGTTCACTACATTGTAATTGCATCCCTCCTTTTTGAAGGGGAAAAGAGTATGTCTACTATGTGGTGAAATACTATCATTATTACTTTTGTAATAACTAGAAAATGTGTTCTTGTGGAGAGAAATGGGGATATGTTTGTAGTGTATGTCTTCTTTTGTAATTATGTCATGGGGGGGGGGGGAACACGACAAATGCTGGTAYGTGTTTGTAATGAATCTGTAGGAGCCATCTTGCAGGAACCCTAAGGGTATTATCAGGAAACAATAAAACGGCAATTGCCCCAATAATAATAATCTGTTTCTAGATAGATATTCCAGTTACTATAACTGGTAAGGCGCATTGGTGAGCATATCTACATGGAACATTTAATGCGGGATCAAGCTAGCTTCAGTGCATGGGGTTTACATGAAGCAGGCTGCAAAAGTACATGCTTTAAGGGCTATAAACCAAGATAAGCAAAATAGAGCCCTTAAYGTGCACCAAGTTGCACCACTATAAACCACAGTGCATGGTGAAAGTAACTCTGCAGAACATAAATTGCTGTGCAAACATCCGAAGTACTCCACTGGTCCACAGATACACATTCTGGAGGAGGTTTGGGGGGACAAGTATTTTCGGCAGCTGTCAAGCCTCAGATACTATGAATCCTGGATCCTTATATAAAATGGCAATAATCAAGGTTGCTTTTAGATTTTTTTTTGTGGGGGGGGGGGGATATTTTCAAGTTGTGGATGGTTGAATCTGTGGGTGCATAATTTGTGAAGACCAAGGGCTGGCAGCATTACCAAAACATGTTAACTCTTGAGGTCAGTTTGGCGTGGAGAAAGAGCTATAAAAGCCTCCTGCCTTTTCTTCAATTCACATTACTCCCAATATAACCTTAAAAGAGAAGTCATTGGGAAGCTAAGATTACATGTATTTACATGAACTATATGTTTAGGGCTTCAAAATACATATTGTGGACTAAAAAAACCTAAGGAATGACTACATATAAATTAGGTGTTATCAACAATTAAGACAAAGGAATTAATGTTGCCCTTAACATTTTTGAAAAAGAACATAAATACTGAGAATCAATTCGTACACACACATTATGTGGACATAGTGAAACTGACACAGAAAAGTTAGTTAGCAGTTTCTTTATTTCTCAGTACACCATAGAATAACACAAAGACTTTCCAAATTGAAAGTTTTTATTTACTTGTATTAGTAAAACAGATTTAGCATTAATTATATTTTGTTGCAGACAAAATGAACACTGGGATGCAACTATATCTGTTACTGAAAAGTATATAAATTTCTGAAGAAACCCAAAAATAGTAACTGCTATTTATCCTTGATAGGAGTGTGAAAATGTGTTAATTATTGTAGATTGTTGACTTCGATTTATTTGTACATTTATAATACAATATAGGTAAGGTATCCCAATCTGTGGCTTTCAACATCCCCATGATATTAAATTAGCTATAAGGGAAATGTCAAGCTTTTCTGCCTCCACTGTCCTAATGCTTTAAATATTTACTGCCATATAATAGACTAACGTTAAAAATAGGCATGTTTATTCTTATATACAATCCTTATGTTGTAAGAAAATCACCTCTTTCAAATTATATATTCTGAATAATAAAGCCTCTAATTGGTGTACAATCATACCTTTGAGTGAATTCAATTATTCTTAAACCCAATTCAAACAAAAATAGTTTTAAAAACTCAAAAAGACTTTACTAAATTTAATTTTTTTACTTTACTATATATTTTTTTCCTGGTGTGTTGTATCATGCCCTCCCAGTTGGGAGAGGCAGGATATGATGGGTCGCACCGAAGGCTTTTGCAGTCTGAATGTGACCCACTGACCATATATTGTGCAGGCCTGGTTTAGAAGGGAGGCGACCAAAAAGTCTGCTGCATGCTTTATTGTGGTAATCTGCAGTACCATCCATGTAAGGCTTCACTGTGGAAAAGTAGCACTGTCTTGTTAAGATCACCGGAGAGATATTCCATCAGAGGACAAACTCGCTCCCATAGGAATAGCTGATAGGCCCCCAGAAAACCTTGCAAAGTGCTAATCTGGGGGAAAGAGCTACCGTAGGATATTTTTCATGCTCTGAGTGTTACATTGTTCTAATATATGAGACCCCTGTCCTCTGCCTGAGCATATGATTTGAGGGTGAAGCATCTGCAGAGAAAAAGTGAAGAGACGTGGTTGAGGGAGAAGTGCAAACTGGTGGCCCTATTAGAAGAGTCAGTCGAGCAACTGACTTCGTACAACTGGGAGCATGAAGTTTTCTTAGAGCAGAACAACTGGCCTGGATGAAGAACACAGAGGAAATGCCAGTTTCCAAGCGCAGGAGGTAGACATTTGGAGAAATGTGACACAGAAGTAGAAGGAACAGGAATCATTCTGTGAGGCTGGAACTACACGATCAATGTTAAGCTCTCTCAGAAAGAACAGAACATTCAGCTACTCTGTTGGTTAACTCCATGCTGGTAATTGGAGCAGAGGCTTATGACACACTGACCATGTATACAGTGTGCCACTCTTTTCAAAATGTGAAAATATGTCACAAGCAGAAAGGTGTCACTTGAAATGCAGAGGTCAAGATACAAAGTCACTCTGCCCACAGACAGTCCTGTCATCTTGGAAAAGGCTTAGTTAAGGTTCTCAAAACTATATTCAAGTGCCATATGAGAACTTCATCATGCACAAAGAACACAAACTTTTCTCAGAAATGTAGGCATAGAAGATTGTAAGGATAGAACAAAGAAACCTGAAATATGTAGTACGTAAACTAAGGGTGAATCTTGCCTGCAAAATGTGTTGGATTGTAACATAGAAACCACAGAAATGCTGAGATGCCGAGCATGTGAGAATACTAACTTGACCCACTAAACAAGGTAATGAGCACCTCCCACGTAACATAACTTGCTAACCAAACCAGTCATTCCACCTAACCATTCTGGTTAGCAACAGGTTACTCTTTCCCACACAGCAACTGAAACAAATTTAGATTGCAATAAACAACTAAACAAATAAGCTTCACACATCTCCCCTTGGGGAGATAGGGCGGAATATAAATAAAGTTTTTATTATATTATGAAGTTGGAGAAAGAAAAGACTCCAAAATAAGTAACAATTGAAATAAGGCATCTATCAATTATTTAGACAACTTCTCCTAAAACAACTAGGAGGATGAAGAGCAGTGGAAGAAAGGGCATTTTACTCCTTTACCCAAAGAAAACTGGCTACCTTTATCCCCTCCTCCACAGCAAAAGCTTGCTCTGAACACGATTGTTGGAGGGAAAGGCAAAAAGGACTATCACCAATTTCTGGACTTTGGTAACTAGACTCTGGGGCCCCATCGAAACAGCCTTATAGTGCAGTTGAATTATATTGTCAGTGTTGACACATATAATGCAGCTCAACTGCATTGAATTACACTGTACGAGTCTACACTAACCATACAATAGTTTCAAACGTCATTATATAGCCGTGTAGATGGCGTCTGGGTTAAGGGTCATGAATAGAGTCCAGAAATCAATGGCTCACTTAGTCACTTTCTGTTTAAAATTCAGTTGTACAAGTTGTATGTCTCCAGAAGAGCCATAACGGTTCATTTGATAAGTACTATAACAAAATTTACAACTGTAGAATATTTATGATCCTTTTATCTTTCTTGAGAAATGAATGTGAACACTATCATTAGAGACATTTGAATCAGACCAGGAGTCTAGCATTGAGTTCCCACAGTAGCAAACCAGGTGCCCTTGGGAAGCCCAATAGCATGGCATAAAAACAAACACCACTGCCTTATCTGCAGATTGCATTATACTGTACATCTGACCACCTAAGCCCAGGTGTCTCATTTCTATTCATGGAAGTTTAGATTCTCAATATTTCAAAGGCAAAATCTAAAACTCTGACTTTTCTTGTTTCACATTTTTATTCATTATCAGTTAGAAGGCAGTTTTCAGGAAGTCATACCCACCAGCCCTGAATTTAAATTAAAACCCCACTAGCATGACCTAACACAACAAACTGCGGTCTTCCAGATGTTTCAGTATCACAACTCTCATCAGCTCTAGTCATGATGCCTAATGACGAGGAATACATGAGTTGTAGTCTAACATGTGGAGGGCCACATAAAAGGACGTGGGCTGGATTCGGTCCACGGGTCTTGAGTTTGACACATGTGCCTTATGCCGTAAGTTTTGTATGGAACAGGAACCATGGTTTGCAGCGACCAGGAGCCACTTATTAGGATACAACAAGTATGCAGTACTTGGCATACTTGATTGAAAAATGTACACAATTTGGGCTGAGCCTCATTTCTGAGTCCCTCTGCGGAGGTTGAGATAGGACGGGATATAAAAGCCCAAAATAATAATAATAATAATAATAATAATAATAATAATAATTTTTCTCTTACTCTGACCACTGCTAAAATAGACCATACTTTCAAAATTGGAATTTGCTCAGCCTACACATGAAAAGGGTTTTTTGGTAATTGTTTTAAGAAGATGCTTCCTAAATCAGATTATCTACTCTGCATTTGTAATCTGAACCAAATGATTGGTTTTGCTGCTTCTGCTTTACACATTACATGCAAAAGGAATAATAGTTTGCCCAACTCTATCAATACATGGCAGACTCATCTATGCATAAACATGTTCCCCTCCCTTCCCTCTCCATCTGCTTAATGCAGTGTGTCACAAATGGAAGATATACAGAAAGAAAGTGAATTAAAGTCAAAAGATGCTAAGTGAATCCTGTTATATTTAGTTCTGTTTCTAAAGAATATACTACTTTGTTATGTTGAAAGCACATATACAGTTGTGTGTTGGTTATATTTGAATGCTATCATTCATTAATATTTTACCTCATTCTCAGTTAAGGAAGCTGAAGGGGATGAACTTTTGCTATAACCAAGATGTGAAGACTCTGCTGCTGAAACTCGATTTCGCTTCTTCAGTGGTTTACATGCATCTGATAGACCTGTTGTTATAGCAAAATAATTTGTTTACAAAATAAACATGTAATTTTAATATTCCTTGAAGACAGCAGAAAACATGCCCTCGCTTACATAGGGATCATTTTAGCATTTTAGATATCCATAGTACTGATTTGTAAAATAAACTTTAGTTATATGTATTTTGTTAGCCATTTTATTATTACTCATATTATGCAATCTTCTTTTGGAATTTGAGGTGGCATACATATTATTCTATATATTTTTAATTTTGCTAGATTTTTTAAAAAATTCAAAAAATCTTGGAAACAGGTTATTTTTTTAAAAAAGAAAAAAGAATGGAACAGGTTGAGCTTATGCACAACTTGAGGACAAGATTTGGAACTAAAATTCGTTGATTTTATATGTTCTGTAAACAAGCTGAGGACATTTTTTTAGTTTTTAGTCAATTTGGGTTCCCAGATGTTACTGAATGACAGCTCCCATCACTTTCGATTATCCACAATGCAGACTGGAGATAATAGGAATTGCAACCCAACATCCCTTGTGGCTCTGAAATTGTGAAATTGTTAACGGACATTTTAAAGCAAGACATTATATCCACAAGCCTTGTATCTCAATTCAAACCCTACTATCTTGACTAAACAGAACAAACTGCAGCCTTCCAGATGTTACAGACCAGAGACCTTGAGTGTGACACATGTGTCCTAGATCCGGCCCACAGGCCTTGAGTCTGTCCAATATGGAGTAAGAGATCATCACAGTCCATCTGGAGAGAACATAAAAAGACCTCCTGGACTCTCCTCACATCTTTGTGACCCCACTTCATTAAAGACAGCAGAGTAGGTTGGTGCTTCTTTAACAGCAGACTCGCACCAGCCCCCTTGGCTCCTCCTCCTCCATCTCTGCTGTGTCTTCACTCACCACTTGTGTAAAGGGTGGTCACTGGTTGGCAGTACAGGAAATGGTATTGCTTGCTTGCTCCCTTTGCCCTCATCTAGCCTTCTTACTTCTCCAGCAGCTGCTTTCTTGTTTTTTGTCTGCCTTCTCCAACTCCTCTTTGCAGACCAAGTTTGGTCTCCTCAGAGAAGGCAGAGAAGAGGAGATAAGCAGGGCAACACTAGAATGCCGATCTTTCTTAGTTTTCTATTCTTTACACGCTTACATGAAGTAAGGCCCAGTGAACTCAATAGGATCACTTTTGAGTGGATATGTCCAAGATCATGTTGTTAGAAGTCAGTGTTGGAGACCGCAAATTTCATAGGCTTGTTCCTTAACATCCTCTCCTACTTCAAATCTCACTGAATTAAATATTACACATTGCATAAATAGAAGATGGTTATATTAACGGATTATAGGAGTACAAAAAAGTGGAACTCATACCAACATTGATATACAGTTACATTGTTTTAAATGTGTCTAGCCTCTTTAAACAAAGAGAATTTATAATGGACTAATTCAAAATTAGGAATCAAAATGAATTCTAACACAAGTGGGGAGGGAAGCATTACCTGACTGGTTCTTTTGTGAAGATGTTTCTGTGATCTTAGAAGAGTATGTTTTTTCTGTTTTGTCATTGCTTTTCTCCCTCTGTTTCAAAAACAAAAAGGGGGGAAAAGAAAAATGAAATGGAATGGAATGAAATGAAATAAAAACCCACCAAATTTGGATAAACGTGGCAATTGTGTTAGGGCTTTTGTTACTAGATAAATACCTTTGTTTCTACTGTGGTCTAAAAAAACACAGATCTATATCAGATATAGGAGACAGAAAGGGGAATACAATGCTATAACTGAGAGGTCCACATCATTTATATGGGTTTTGTCAGTGAAGACAAGATGCAAATATAAGAAACAATCTGGTTTTAAAACCATTTACGGAATAGTGTTACCAGTAACGATATAGTAATGTTGCTCTGATTTCAAATGCACTTTAAGAACAAACTATTACAATATAGTTCGCAAAAGACTGTAAGACTAGATGGTTTCTATTCAGCTTTTACTAAGAAGAATACTAGGAAACCTGAGTGTTTAATTATTTCAATAAAGTGACTATTAGAAGTTTTACAATTCACTTTTGTAAAAGATGCTCTTTAGTTATCATTTTGAAGACCAAACCACTGTTTTACTTGCAAACAAAAACAAAACTTGCAGCAAAAGAATGCGCCTCAATCAGAAAGGACAAATGTGACTACAGAAGTTTCGATGCTCATGGTTTACTAACTTTTTTGAACTCCAGTCATAATCCATATATGCAACACTTAAGTCTCTGAAGCTATTCATATTCACTAAATCAATTTGACATGTACTGCAGATTTAATGGAGACCAGTAATTAGATTGAGGCTACCTCACAACAAAACAACTTTCGGTACTCTCAAGGTTTATTGGCAATGTGACAAGTAGTTAAAATAGGAGAGAAGGACATTTATACTGACCATTTAATGCAGTTGTGAAAACATGCTGCAGTGCACTTTAAAAGCTTTAAACCAGGATAAACAAAGCTGGGGGATACGCCAAAATAGGGTCCTTAACACACATCAGCATGATCTAGTGTAAACCACATTACACAACAAAAGCAACTCTGCAGAATGCAAATCAATTCCATGGTCCCCACATGCGCATTCCAGCCCAGGCTGGGGATGCCGAAATAAAAAATTGCATTCTCCGTGGCTGTCAAGCCACGGATCCTGCGAGTCTCTGAGGTGTGCATATGTCCTCAGACTGGTTCCAGAACTTGCAATGCAATTGTCCACACAGTGAAACTGCTTCCTTCTATGCTGGTTTCAGCCCAGAATAAGTAATCACTATAGATGTGCCCCAGGACTCTATGGGGCAAATGTTTGGAACAAGAGATTGTATGACTTTGCTGGTGCAGGCATCTTCTGCCTTGATGTAGAAGTAAATACATTTTTGTAAAAAAAACTCTAGTTCTGCAACAAGAAGGTAAATTCAAGAGAACTATGCCAGAGGGATTTTCCAGTTCCCCATCTTTCAACTGGATCTTGGACAGATATGCTGTATTCACTGTAAGATTAAGCATGATTGAAGACTGTACAAGGACCAAGAGCATGTAATGCCGGCCATAACACTATACTGCCAGGAAGATGGCAATATATACTGTATGTGAATTTGCCTGGTCAAATATTATGGAGATTCATATTATAAGCAATTGTCTTCCTCTTCATAACCTTGGTGAGCTCCTGCTTCTCTGATATTATCCCAGAGAAAGCACTGCTGCCTGATCCTCATCAAAAATAAGACCAAGAATGTTACAGCATTCTTTTAAGAGTTAGACCCCGTACAATTTCAATATTCTACTATGATTAAATGGGAGAAGTACAGGAAGACTGGTAGATTCCAGGCTAATCTTGAATGAAAGCCCTGCTAGTCCAAGACCTCATGACTCCAGTGCTGTTGGACAAAGTCAGTGGATATATATAAAGTTTCCAAAGTACAGGACATTTAAAAATATGTATTGTCGAAAAATTTCATTGCCATTGTTGTTGTACTTTTTTTGTTTTGTTATATGGCCATGTTCTAGAAGCAGACCTTACAACCTGAGGATGCCTGCCATAGATGCAGGCAAAATGTCAGGAGAGAATGCTTCTAGAACATGGCCATATAATAACTCATTTTAAAAGATATTTTCTTGGCATTGTGTTGCTAATAATAACAAGATTCTAATATTGTTTTATATGGCAAATCACAATTGGGAGAAAAATGGAATATTAATTAATCATAAAGTCTCTACATTATGGAAGAAATCCTCCTCCGGCTGCTCAAATTACTGACTACTGTAAGGGGCTTCCAATCATCAATATTATGCTCTCCAAGGTCAGAGACTTCCAAAACTACATGCTTTGCATTTAGAAAAGTTCTGAAGCTAGAGCAAAACGACAAAGCCTACTTTAAGACACCTGCAGCTGCTAAAATAGGAGTGGGGAAAAACCTGCAGCCTTTTCTATCTCCAAAAGAAGGTGGGATAATTATTCCCTGAAGTTTTTCTTGCATGGCCTATGATTTGGAACATTATTGATGGGAAACCATCCCTCAGATTCAAATAAAGGACTCTGCATTCTCACACAGGAAACAGAATTGCTGGTGTTAAGTATACTGAATGATATATTCAAAGTATAAAATGTTTGCACTTGAGTAACCCTGAAATCTCAAACACAGTATTAGAGATGATCCCCACAGTTACCTGAATAAAAAAGAAGTCAAACAAACCTTTTTCAAATTATTTTAGAAGAATTCTTCAAATTTTGAACTTCAATAAGAACCAAGAATGCACATAAATTTAAACTATGAGAAGTATCTGAGTAAATAACAGAAGTTTGAGAAATAATATAGGCAGGGAATCATGAAGCATGAAGAAGCCTTCTAAGCAAGTCCCATGGTGGGACAGCCCTATCTTCACTAGTTCACCCATGGATTAAGTAACACCATCTACACCAGTGGGGCAGTTATTTCACACACCTTGGGGCATATCATTTTCTGATACTGAATTACATCAGGATATTGAATTTCTCAGTTTTTCAGATGTTCCTGAATTGCAAGTCCCATCAAACACAGCCAATAAAACCAATATGATAGTAACTGCACTTCATTATCATGGACACAAAGTTCTCAAACCTAAATTATACAATAAAGACAACTGGGAAGGAAGCATGGCGAATATTCAGCGTTGCTTTTTAAAATAACCTACATATTGCCCATGCCATTAGAGATCAAAGTAATGTATTTTTGTTTTCAAAAGACAGCTCAAATTGTTTCATATAAATTGCTTTTTAGCTGTTGTCTGTACTACATCTTTATGATGTTAAATATGAAATAAAGGATTTGGGCCCTATTCCCTAATATTAAATTAATGTTCTTGCCTCATCTTAACAACACAGGTAGAAGAGAAGAAGATTAAAAAGGCCAAAGAAATATATTTTCATATATTGAGGTTTAACATCAATATGCTGGAATAAATATTTGAGTTTTCGTAACAGTAGCAAAACTGGCTTATTGTGTATCTTTTATATTATTGTCAAAAATATTAGAACAAAAAGGAGACATTCTATATACCATTGCTTTGGCAAGTCAACTTATTAATATACTTGCACAAACTGTACAGCCTGTTTTTAAAGATATGATTGATACCTAAGAGATAGAATGACAAAAAGCATAATGAGAGCTACTATCAGTTAAGCACCGGGGTGGGGGTGGGGGGGTGGTACACTTACTGAAAAAAAAGTGGCATTTAGGATACCTTTTACTAGCTGAACGACATCAGGTTCCCCAAATAGAATCTGCTAAATATATTTTCCCTCACTCAGCTTCCAGACAGCAGTTCTTCCACCCATAGCCCAATACACTCACAGATGTATGGCAATATACAAAATATTTAACTTGAATCTGACACTTCCAATGTTTTTGAAAGTTTTTGCAGTCTTGCTAGCCATTCATAATTATTTTTACAGTGGATAGGGAATAACCAAGTCATTTTGCTACAATGTACCCAAACAAGCCAACAACATAATTACCTTCCGATAATTCCTTTTTTCCATTCTGAGCCTCTTCTTCGGTGCCTCCTCAGCTTCAAAATCTTCTGTGTGTTTCTTTGTCCTCTTTATTGGCTTCCTTTTATTTCCATGTAAGTTACCTTGGAGCAGGGGATGGGGGAAACTTGTATGAAAAAGATCTAAAGCTTGCTTATAAATTTTCTTGAATTGATTTAGAAACATAACTACTCTAATGAATTTTAATAGATTTTGTGCATCTGTAATGCCCTGGAGCTCACATCCTCTCTTTTTGAATTAAGTTTTACAGATCAACATGTCATGGACAAAGTTCATATCAAAGCATATAGTTCAGTAATTTTAATAATGAATCTACAAGCTTTTAAATAATTTCTTTTAAGGATAATGTAAAATGGAAAGCTGTTATGTAGGGAAATTATTAAATTACCTCTGCCTCTTGAAATCATTATTATGACATATCATTTCTCTGAATGGTTTAAGAGGTGGACAGTGACATATATAAGTGGATTATTTTGTACAAATACAAAGAAAACCCAATTTAAACATTTTATGTCGATCAAAGCCTTGGAAAACAAAGACCATGAAGAGAAGTGTGTTAAACATTTATATTTTTACATATGAGGAAAAAGGCCAACTGAACGTAATAAAAATTCCATGTTACAGGCTTTAAAAGAAGATCAACAGCTAATTTATACATTGCAGTTTAATAACAGTTTTTCTATAGTTTACTGTACACACATTCTATTTCCAAAAAGGTTTCAATGTTTAGCAACTTGAAACTACACAGAAAAACTTTAGTAAAAATTCTGTTAGCTGTTTTTCCTTCCTTAACCTGATCTATGAAACTAGCTGAATGCTTAATATGAAACTAGAGAGTAGTATTCAAGTCACTTAGGTAACAACTCCTTCCTTTGGGACTTGACATTTCAGGTTTCCAAGACTATATCCAATTGCTGATTAAAACCAGAGTAGACTGATGGAATCAATATGAATGCAAGAAATCAATACTTACATAAACTTCAATGATTCAATAGATATTCTCTAGTTGGGATTTTTAATATATCTTGTTATTCTACAAAAAAAATCTAGCAAGTGTTTCTATATATGGTCTTTTCTACACAATAACTGAAAGAGTTTATATTGGCATACACTGATGGTATAAAAGTATACTCAAATATTAAAGTCATATTGTTTTGTTTAGAGCCCCCAGGGGCGCAGCAGGTTAAATCGGTGAACTCCCGCTGTTAGCCCCAGCTTCTGCCAACCTAGCAGTTTGAAAACATGCATATGTTAGTAGATCGATAGGTACTGCTTTGGCGGGAAGGTAATGGTGCTCCATGCAGTTATGCCAGCCACATGACTTTGGAAGTGGCTATGGACAATGCTAGCTTTTTGGCTTAGAAATGGCTTAGAACACCACCACCCCAGAGTCGGTCATGACTAGACTTAATGTCAAGGGGAAACCATTACCTTTTATTCTTAAGGTATGAAGTAGGCAATATTCATTTTAATTATTTTGTGGAAACTACCATAGTATTGAATGAAATCGAGCACTACAAAACTGAAGTATTTCATTAAGGATCCATTAAAAAAATGAAATTCAAAACAAAACAAACCAGCATCTGAGTGGGGGGAGGGGATAGGGGGAAGTTTTGTAAGCAGTTACAGAAAAGGCAAATTTAAGCATTACTTATAATGAGTCAAAAGCACAGAGTACAGATTTCAATTACTTCGGGATCTTGAGCTCCTTTTTGGTGATGCTTGAAAAACTTTAGGCTTGGTCTCTCCCACATTCTTCTGTGATGAACCTTGAGGGATATAGAATGTTGTGTAGTGTTGTCTTTTCATAAAACTTACATCCAAGTATTTTACACACTGAGACAAAGCTGTTAACTTTCCCACAATAAGTTATTTCACACAAAGATAACAAAACTGACTGCACTTTTTATACATTTTTCCAAAACTGATAATCCTGGCAAACACACCTCATTCCTCTTCATTGTCCAAAGCAGCAACCTGGTACCTCAAATTTCTGTAATTCAACAAAATTCTTACACTAAATTAATAGATTATTGTAATTGCTATTACTGCTACTATTGCTGCAAAAAAAAATACTCTCTATTCCAGATAATTATCATCGAAGTGTATCAGGAAAGGAAACAATGTATTTATCAAGAGAGGAATATAGCCAATTTCATACAGTTTCTGTTGCTATTTTATTAGAAGTAGTCAATGTAAGCTATTATTTGGAAACACATTTCAGAAGTTTAGGTATGTCACCACTCTCACTTATTATAAACAAAGGAAAATGGAATTACAAGTTACATTAGCATTTAAGAACTATGACTACCTTTAATATTTAGGTTCAAAAGATGAATTTAATGTTCATATTTTCATCATTTTCAGTTGATAGTAATGGCAGCTGCTTGTAGGCAGAAAGGGAATGAGAAACCAGCAATATCTAAACAGTAGATTTACATAGAGAAATTTTGTGGAACAATGACCAAGAAATGGAGATACGATTAACTTTTATTATAAAGACAGCACAACAAACCAATATCAGGAGAAAGACTGCTCTCCCCACAAGATTCACTGTGTGCTTGGTTAATATCACTACATATATTAAGCTTAGTTAGAGTATACTAGCACAGTTTTACGTTTACCAGTATCTTCTTCAGATTTGGGAGAGGTCATTATGGCAAATTTTGTGTTATAGCGTGCTTTTTGTTTTTCACTAAGCATGTTCCACTGTGATTCCAGCAGCTCTTCAATTTCATCAGTTGAAGCTTCTGGGTGTTCAGCAACCACCTAAGCAAACATAATACTTGTTCAAATATTAAAACATATATTTAGTTAAAAATAATGCTTTATTTTCTAAAACTTCTCATAAAGGACCTGAAGACATCTTCACTTATCTCATGGCACTAACAAAACAAAATGTCTGGCTAGAGCAGTGGTTCTCAACCTGGGGTCCCCAGTTGTTTTTGGCCTACAACCAGCCAGTTTACCAGCTGTTAGGATTTCTGGGAGTTGAAGGCCAAAAACATCTGGGGACCCCAGGTTGAGAACCTCTGGGTTAGAGTGTCTCTATGTATATTTACTAATTTTTAAACACATACTAAGAGACTGAGCAGTTTTCTTAAACTTTATACATTTTATGTAAGTTAGCAGGCACACAAATAAAAACTGAAGAATTGGGGGTTATTTGTGGGTGGCTGGGGAGCCAAAACAAAGGGTATGTGGCTTATACTGTCCCCAATTCTGATTTAAACCCAACAGGCGAGCAATTTAGAAATTGAGAATTTAGAAATTCCTTTAAAGACAGATTGTCTTGGAAACTCATGCACATACAAGATATTGATTTCTAGGAGTAGGGAATAACTCAGAACTAGTTTTCTAATTCACACTGCTTTAAAAATCTTTTGCAGTAAAACAGACATTTGGGTTTAGGATGTTTCTCAGGTTGTGTAATTGTAATCCCTACAAAGCATTTTTGTGGAAAAGATGGAAATGAACCAAAGTTACTTTCTGTTTTGTAAAAAAGCCCTATATGGCCTAAATCGGATGGGAGAAGGAACCAGTGAAATTGCTGTCCCCCTCTCATTTTTCACTAGCTGGTCCCTTTAAAACAACAACAGAAACACATGGGAGGACACATGCAACTTTGCAACAAGTCGACTTTGATGTAATAAAATATATTGCTTTAAACACTTCTTGTGAAACCAGGATCTAATGATTTTATTGGTTTTCTTTATATTGTACTTTGTTTTGTTGTTTGTTTTGGCTTGGTAGTTACTCATACTTTATCTTGTGCATTTACAAGAAACATAGGTGCAATTACTATTGTTCTATCATGTATTTAAAATGTTTTCTTTTTCTTTCGAATTCCTTTTGCTATGAGGCAAGGGGCAAACTGGTTGCTCACCAGTGGTCACCTTTAACCATACACAGATTAATTAGTTCACCCACAATCTGGACCAAACTTGGCACACATACCCATCATCACCTACTTTAAAGACATGTGTGTGTGTGAGGGATTGACCCAGGATGATGAGAGCTGAAGTACACCCACATCTGGAGCGCAGTGTGAATTCCACTGACAATGGATCTGGACCAAATGCTGCACACATACCCAACACAACAACAAATCAACATTTGCAAGTCTTGCTAATCAGGCTGAGTTTCCTTTTTATGAAGTACAGAGTCCACTGTAAACACTGCACAACAGATTCGTGTAAATATCTAAAACGGCCACTAGGTGACTTTTTTGTGACCTCAACACTGAGTTAAAGGGACCCCATTTAAGGTTAGAATCCACAAGTTAGAAAGCAGCGGCCCAAACAATAGAGACAATTACAGCATGGAGAAAAAGGAGCAAGGATGTGTAGGGTAAGCAGTGACATACGGACCTAGCTCCTCCTCCTTGGACCACAGCGTTAAGCGCTAAGTTAGTTATTCATTATAGGGACAAAGAATTTCATCTACTCCAGTCCTTGAAGCACCTTTGGAATGCTAACATAATTAAAACAGATTTGCATAAGGAATAATTGAACTCATAATGCAAGTTCTGAAGGTACAAACCTCATCTCGGTGTTTCTGACAAAAAACCAAGAATTGGGAACCTGCGTCTCCTTTTCTGCCTCGTGGAATATATGTAACAGCCTTTTTTCTACTGATAGGAGACCCTGAGACTCTTTTGCCTTCTCCCTCTTCAAGGTCCTTTTCAGGATTACTATTCTTATCAGACATGCCGATATCCTTAGCATGCATGAAGTCTTCTTCAGATTCAGTCATTACAAGCAATTTTGCTTTCCTCCTCCTCTTGGCAGGAGTATCGTAACCTTTCCTTGATTTCAAAGACTGAGAGATGTCTTCATCTGTGTAAATTTTATCCATTTCTTCCAAAGATTTAACAACAAGACCTGCTTCTTTTGCTACTTGGGGATTAAGAAGAGGTCTTCCCCTAATATAAATGAAAGTATATTTGGTTTTCCGTTCTTCCATTGTCAATGATAACGCATCTTTTGCTTGTTTAACACCCATTTCCCACTGCGGGCGCAGTTTTCCAGCAACAGGTTTTAACATCTGTAGGGAAATGCCAGATATATTAAACATAAAACAGTTGGCTGAGATCAACCATAAAAGAAATCTACATGGATTGTACAAATTGTCGTCATTTCTATTTATCTCTTGCCTTTTTCTAAAACCAGGACTCAAGGCAGTTTACAAATTAAAGCACAATCAAATTCGTCGTCATAAGTCTAGCATTCTCTTAAAACCTCTTTATAGAAAAATTGATAGATATTAAAGGATTGTCCGAACAAAAAGGTCTTTGACTACTGAGAGAAATACAATAAGTAAGGGGCCATTCAGGCCACCTAAAGAAAAGAGGTCCAGATCTTAAAAGGCTTATGTTCCATAAGATATGCCTGTGAAATTGGAAAGACTGAAAAAGAACCTCTCTTGAGGATCTCAGTGTCCCAGAAGGATCATTTGGAGAAATAATGCATATCAGATAGCCTGGACCTAAGCCAGAGAAAAGACACAAAACAAAATTTTGAGGTACTCTCACAAAGGTTATAATTGTCCAACATCCACAAATGTGATGGAAACTATGGTCTAATGTGGTGTTTCCCAACCTTTTGATCCTACAGGTGACTTCAACTTCCATAAGTCCCCGCCAGCTAACCAGCTGTCAGGAATTGTGAGAGCTGAAGGCCAATGCAACTGGAGGATCAAAGGTTAAGAACCACTGGAAACTGACACAGAAGAAAATATTATTAGCAAAGGTCTTGACGTTTGGTATGAAACAATGCTTTTTTTAAAAAATGTGACATTATCAATGTAGTATTCAGTATCCCCCAAATCATTTCAAAACTTCTTTATGAAAACTTGATTGGATAGCAAACCACATATCACCAATTTTACCTTTATTTTGTCTGCTTTGGTAAGGGAATGCTTTGCACTTTCCTGGCATAATTGTTCAAACTGTTCTTCTCCTTTGAATGATGCAAGACTTTTCTCAAATACCCAAGCTCGTTCTGGAGAATCTCCAAAAAACTGTACATGATATTGGCGAAAGCTTTTCTTTTGACCTGAAAAAATGTAGAATGCCCATTTACGTATATAAATTCCCATCTAACTCCAGAAACATTTATGAACCAAAATAGACCAAATGCTCAAAAATAGCATAAAATAATATTCAACAAAACCACAGATTTAACTTTGCAAGATTTCATTTTGGTTAACATCTGACACATCATATCAAGTCTCTACATACTGGTTCTTCTTAATGGCCTCTGAATCACACCAATGGGTTATCCCACACCTGAACAGGACACCTTCAGACCCCTCTGGAATTCTAGAGATACGTTTTTTGCAGTAACCCCACCCACTCTCCCCATCAGTATGTTGCTGCCAAAATCCCAGTTCTTTTCAGCAGCAGAATCAATAGGAACATTTCATGTATTTTTCTGTAGCTCAAGTCAGGTCACTATTGGCTGCCTCACCCACTACCAATGAGACCTTCTCGGTCCAGGTCCAGGGATTGAACCCATTCTCACCACCACAGGCGATTCTAGTTTCAATTTCAATCAAATTTGTGTGTCATATAGGAAATCCCCAAGACTGTTCCTATGTTATTCATCCAACAAACATGTTGTTTCACTTTCATCACAGACTTCATGGAGGAAGGTGCCACCATCAGACTGTCCTATGAACTTGCAACAATACCGCAATACTAAAGAAAAACTTTGAAATTGGCTATTTTTCAGTTGACTTCCAGTAATACCAGTGCACTTTTGCTTTTCTATTTGGATTTTCATCAAATTTATTAGTCTTGGTTTTTATAGTAAAAGTGAATCTTATATAATTTAACTGAAACTAAATAAAAAATCCCTATATGTGTCCCCAAGAACATAAATAAGAAAAAACCACAACCTTTCTTTAATCATTGGTCAGTAAAGTTACATTAATATCCTCTTCTATCATTGCTTAATAAATAGCTGAATGCCATGGTGCCTTCTCAGGGCCCTTCCAGACAGGCCCTTTATCCCAGGATCTGATCCCAGGTTTTCTGCTTTAAACTGGAGTCTGCACTGCCAGATAATCTGGGATAGACAGAAAATCTGGGATCAGATCCTGGGATAAAGGGCCTATCTGGAAGGGCCCTCGGTCTATTTAAGTGAGAAGTGAAAACACATGCTTCTCTGGCCTCTTCTGCCTTGCTCCAGTTCTCCCACTGTTGCTGCATCTGTTATTGTTTTAATGTAAACTCCTCCAGTCCAATGCAAATCAACTGAACCATGTTAATTTTTTCCTAGCTGATCTCTGGATGTAATACAGCAATATTACATATAGCAAACTATATTTTAAAAAGACATACCATTTAATTTAGTGAAGTTATGAAGAAGCGGATCAGTTGAAATCATACATGGCCACCACGGATAACCAGATACTTTGGACCATACAATGTCTCCTATGTGGTACCTCAGTAGATCGCTGTTGTCATCATTTCCTGGAACTAAATCTTCACTAGCAGTCTTTAAAAGAAAAGAAAATATTTATCCAAAAATGCTCAAACTATAATCTGTTGTAATTATGACCTGATTTTATCGTATCAATCTGATTTTAAAGTATTCAACCTTTAATCATACAATCATAGAGCTGGAAGACCACAAGGTCCATCCAGCCCAAACTTATTCTGCAATGAAGGAACACACAATCAAAACACTCCAGGCAGATGGCCATCCAGCCTCTATTTTAAAATATACAGAGTAGGAGATTCCACCACCCTCCAAGGCAGCATATTCTACTGTCCAACAGCTCTAAGTGTAAATAGGTTCTTCTTAATGCTTAAGTGAAATCTCTTTTCCAGAAGTTTGAATTCATAGCTATATGTCCTAATCTCTGCAGCATCAGATCACAAGTTTATATATGGTTGTTATATGACCTCTTAACGTTGTCTTCTCACAGTTGAAGATGCTCAGTTTCCTAGACTGCTTCACATAAACCATGACTGAAGCACAACTGTCCACACATATTTGTGTAAAAACTTAAATGTGCCAACAGTGCTTTTACTGCAGCACATTAACAAAAACCCTAAGAAAAATGGAAGCAGATTATACACTCCATATATATGTTGCAAACAATTTTATGCACCAATGTAACATGTGCACTAGTGGGAAAAAGCACAATACACATCACAGTTCTTGGCTGAAAGTCATTGTCTACCAAGCAGGCTGCCATGACTGCTAAGAGCAGAAGTCTCTTGTTATTTTCCTTTCTCAACATTTTAGTATTTCCTACCAAATCTCTACACTAATTAGTCTCTACACTAATGCACAGATCATGGGAAATAAGCAAAATGAACTGGAACTCTTAGCACAATGAAACAGTTGCGATGCAATAGGCATCACTGAACCTGGGGGATGATTCCAATAAATGGAATGCCGTAATGGAGGGGTGTAACTTATTTCAGAGAAAAAAGACCCTAAAGGAGAGGGGGTGGGGAAGCATTATACGTTAAACCTGTTAATACCTGTGAAGAAGTGCAGGACTTCAATCCTGACAACCAGGTTGAGAGCATGGTGATAAGAATTAAGGGAACGAGAATGGAAAATGATGTAGTTGTGGGCTTACTACATACCTCCAAGACAGACTGAAGATGGGTGAAGCCTTCCTTGAACAGATGATCAAACAGGCAGAAACGATTTAAAATATTCTGAAATTTGTTGGAAAACAAACTCCGAGGACCTTGTCAATGAAGTGGAAGTAGTGGGATTCTTAGGTGGGAGTGACCAGGTTGTCCTGGAGTTTGTGATACTGAGGAAAGGGGGAATTAAGGGAAGTCAGACAGGCATTCTAGAGAGAGCTGACTTCAGAACATTTAGGGAAAGACTGAGTGTGATCACATGGATAGGAATGGTAAAAGATAAAGGAGATAATGATGGATGGGAGTTTCTTAAAAGTGATATACTGAAGTGACAACCGAAAACAGTGCCAACAAGGAGAAAATAAGAAAGCAGAATGGATGTCCAAAGAACTTGCAACTGAGCTAAGGTTAAAAAGGGACATGTACAAGAAATGGACAAGGGGAGAAATCACTAAAGAGCAATTCAAATGAACAACCAACATATGTAGGAAAAAGGTTTGAAAGGCTAAAACAGAAAATAAGCTAAGGCTTCTTGGAGAGATTAAAAACAACAGAAAGGGATTCTTTGGTTGTCAGGAGAAAAAGTAAGAACAAGGAATCAGTAGTGCCTCCTCATGGAGAAGATGGCGAAATGCTAACAGGCAGATAGGGAAAAGGCAGAACTGCTCAACACCCTCCTTGCCTCAGTTTTCCCAAAAGGAAATCAGTATTTGACCGGCAATATAGAGTGGGCAAGGCAACAGGGGAAATGCAACCTAAAATAGGTAAGGAAAGAGTCAGGGAATACGTGGTTACTCTAAACCAGGGGTCCTCAAACTCTTTAAACAGAGGGCCAGGTCACAGTCCCTCAAACTGTTGGAGGGCCAGATTATAATTTGAAAAAAACATGAATGAATTCCTACGCACACTGCACATATCTTATTTGTAGTGCGAAAAACTCTTTAAAAACAATACAATAATTAAAATGAAGAACAATTTTAACAAATACAAACTTATGAGTATTTCAATTAGAAGTGTGGGCCTGCTTTTGGATGATGAGATAGGATTGTTGTTGTTATGTGCTTTCAAGTCGTTTCAGATTTAGGTTGACCCTGAGCGAGGGCCGGGTAAATTACGTTGGAGGGCCGTATCCAGCCCGCGGACCATAGTTTGAGGACCCCTGCTCTAAACTAATTTAAGTTTCCAGAGTAAGATAAACTACATTGAAGTGTATTGAAAGAACTGGCAAAGTTAATTTCAGAACCACGGATGAGAGTCTTTGAGAATCCTCTGAGAACGGGAGAAGTCCGAGCAGATTGGAAGAGGGCAAATGTTGTCCCTCTCTTCAAAAAGGGGTAAAAGAAGGACCCAAACAATACTGTCCAGCCAGCTTGACATCAATACCAGGAAAGATTCTGGAGCAGATCATTAAGAAGGCAGCATATAATCACTTAGAAAAGAATGCTGTGATCACTAAAATTCAACATAGATTTCTCAAAAACAAGTCCTTGCCAGAGTAATCTAATCTCTTTTGTAAAAAAAACCCCAAAAGTTACAAGCTTGGTAGATGTAGGGAATGCTGTGGATGTTGCATATCTTGATTTCAGTAAGGCGTTTGACAAGGTCCTCTGTGATCTTCTTGCAAAAAAACCTAGTAAAATGTGGGCTAGAGTAGATAATACTACTGTTAGGTGGATCTGTAATTGGTTAAGCAACCAAATCCAAAGAGCATACACCAATGGTCCCTCTTTATCCTGGAAAGAAGTGAACAGTGGGGTGCTGTAGTGTTCTGTCATGTGTCCAGTGCTGCTCAACATCTTTTTTAATGACTTGGATGAAGGTTTAGATGGCAGCATTATCAAGTTTGCAGATGACACCAAATTGAGAGGGCTAGCTAATACTCCGGAAGGCAAAATGAACTTAACAGATTAGAGAGATGGGCCAAAACTAACAAAATGAATTTCAACAAGGAGAAATGTAGAATTAGTCAGGAAAAAATGAAATTCACAGACACAGGATAAGTGATATCTGGTTCGACAACAGTTCATGTGAAAAAGATCTTGGAGTCTCGGTGGACAAGTTGAACATGAAATCAAATGCACAGATACAAGATGGGTGCTCACTAGCAGTCAATATGGACTTCTCAAAATCCTCCTTCTCCAAAGATTTTTAAACAGAGCTTGGATGGCCATCTATCAAGGATGCTTTGGTTGTGTGTTCCTGCATGGCAATTGGCCCTTGTGGTCTCTACTAACTCTATGATTGTGTGAGGATGAGGTAAGACAAATGAACCATTTAACAGCCATTCCTAAAGTTAAACATTTCTTGTCCAATCACATGACGTAACAGGGATTTAAAATTCTTGCATGTTCCCAAAAAAATGATGGGCTGAGATTGTATTTTAATGTCCCAGGCTTTAAAAAAATCAACAATACTCCTTACATATATTATGATAGAGAGCCAGAATAATGTAGAAGTCTAAGTGTTGGACTACAACACTGAAAGACTAGGATTCAAATCTCCATTCAGTCATGGAAACGCACTAGATGAGCTTGAACAAGTCATACTTGCTTAGCCTCAGTACAACTCAATGGCAAACATATTTTGCACTATTTCTGCCAAGAAAAACCGATTATAGGTTCACCTTTGGGACACTATAAAAATTACTTGAGGATACACAACAATAATTTCTAATATTAATATATGACCCTCTTTTAACAGACTAGTGTAAGATTTTTTTAAAGGAAATAATTAAAAATGGTAAATGCCTAGGCCAGCACAAAGACTCAGGGCTTTTTTGAAATAACTAAGAAGTTACTTTCTACTTGTTTCCAAATTTCAAAAGCCAATACGGAACTAGGGGCAGCAAAATTTATTGACTGTGATATATATTGATTGTTTTAACTGTCTTAATCGTTTTAATTGCTGTTTTACACGTTTATTTGTATTATTGTGTAGGCATCGAATTGTGCCTTTTTGTAAACCGCCCTGAGTCCCCCCTCGGGGGTTGAGAAGTGCGGGGTAGAAGTACACGAAATAAATAAATAAATAAATAAATAAATAGTGCTACATGAACTTCCACAAGTTTATAGAAATTACGTTTTTAAAAACCTCAAATAAATCTAGTGGGGAGGTCAACTCCAAACAACGTCATGCAAACAAAGCATGCTTAGTAAACATGGCATATCAACAGGGACAGAGGTGATGGTGAGGGAATGAGAAATGTGACAAGGTGACAGTAACACCAAACTGAAACAGCCAACATCGCGACTATGCATTAGAGACCATTATGTAAAGTAAATAATGGAATGAAGAAGTCCTAAGAAGCTGGATCAGGAGGATCTAGGTATGATACTGACAATAGCTAAACTTCACTTTACCTTCTTCCTCCTCACTCTGCCTCCCTCATAAATCACTACATAGCAGGTGGGAAGGAAGGAAGTGACTGCATAGTTTTTGGAGACATCCATGAAGTAGAGAAAAAAATGGCTTAAATTACTGCTGGAACAAATACTGTAATTTAAACTATCATCTCACTAAGTAAAAAAGAATGCTCTGTCCATTGTTCTATCTCCAGCTTCTAGGAAGGAGAAAAAAATGGAAGCAGAGGGAAGGATCTGGTTATAGAGAGGAAGCAGTGGATGAGCTACCAAAGGAGAACAAAGGAAATGGAAAGCAGAAAAATGTGAGAAGATAAATGAAAGTTAGGGAAGTGAAACGGAGAATAGAAACCTACAGTCACAGCATTTCTCCTTCACCTATTAATAGGTTAATGAATGGAGAACTTTCGGATATATAATCTGTGCAAATAACTTTGCTTAAAATTTTAGTAAGGTTAACCTACATGAGCTACAATGTCACAATTACTAGTCAGTAAAGTTACTTGGTACCTTCTCATAGGGACTAGATGCATTTGACACAGATGATGCTTCAACAAATTCTTGTTCAAGTACAGAGTCATATTTGTTGCTTCTTTTTCTGTTTCTCCTCTCCTTATTTGATGTCTTTTTCTCGCTTTCTTCAACCTGAGGAACTTCCATTCCATTATCACCACAAATTGAAGATTCAAACAGAGGTTTTCCATTCATGTAAGTCTTTGTGATTTTCAATTTAATCTCTGGGGAGCCGTTCTTGACAGGTGTAGTGTGAGGTGGGGTTCCTGCTTCTTTTATATCCCGAGATTCAAAATGCAGCTTGCTATCTTGTGTTTCTGATTCTCCATTAAATACACAAGAAGTGAGATCTTTCAGTTTGTCTGCTGGGATGAATGGAAGAGCATCATGGCCATTATACTTTGGCATAACATCCTCCTGTAGTGTGGTAGAAAGATGTGTTTTGCCCAGGTAGACAGAACAGTCCCGGTTCACTTCACAATTCTGTGTTTTTACTGTAGCATTTCCAAGGATTTCTGGTACTTGCTTCATTTTGATGTGATTGCCACTTTTTTTGGTTAACAGCAGAGAACCACTTTTGAAATCCATTCAATTAAAGAGATTTCCAATTTGATGTTGCTCTATTAAAAGAAAAACAAGGAAATAAATTGGAGCCATAATATTAGCAGTGTTTTCTGCAGTGCTCAGGGTATCCCTGTTTAAGGTAGTTTAGAAAACACTTGTCAGAAATTCACCCAAACCACATTCCACTTCTAGAGTAATAAAATCGGATATTGAACTGGTGCAACTGAACACAATATTGCTCCAGGGCAAAGCCGTAGTCAGGGGTGGGTGGGTGGATTAAGGATTCTACCCTGGTTTACTCAAGAATTTTATCTGGTTAACCAAGTTATGAATAAATCAGATTTCTCTTTTAACTGCACACATTTCAGGGCAGGGTTGAACTTTTTACCCCCCGCCCCCCAAGCTATGGCGCTGCTCCAGAGGGAAGACTTAAATTCTCAAATTAACAAATTTGGCATTACTTTACCAAATTAAATCTTCACTGTACTATCTCAAAGAAAACTGTTTTTCCCACAAGGGAAACAAATCCAATTACAACCAAACTAGAACATAGTTTCAAAACTATCTGTACTGGTGAGAGATGATGGGAGACATTGTCCAACAACATTTAGGAGAATACTAAGAAGAAAAGGGGTTCAGAAAAATATAGAGCTGCTGGTCTGAAGTTGCCATTCATCCCAGAAATAGAATTTTGGGTTTGAAAGCATTCCACTCCAATTCATTTTATCACCCCCTAAGGGTAAGAAAAGTGGTATGTAAATACTGTATATAAATATAAAATAAATATTTCAAGAATTGTGACACTAGCACTAGTTTCATTACACTTATTTTTGAGTCAAAATATGTGCGTGTTCTGGTGCCTTTAAGTGATCTGTTCATGACCCCATAAATTTCATAGGATTTTCTTGGGCAAAAAAATCCGCAAGAGGTGGTTTTGCCAATCTCTTCCTTTGAAATATAGCCCACAAGACCTGGCCTCTGTTGGCAGCCAAATGAAAGATTAACCAGAGCTAACCTTACCTAGCTTTCAAGATCAGGGTGTGATTTGTCCAAGGTCAGCCAATAGTTAGCCATGATTGAGTGAGGATTCAAACTCTGGTCCCTAGAGCCACAGTCTATAACCTAAACCACTACACCACACTGGCTGTTCCCTTCCCATTTCAACAATAAGAAACAGAGTTGGCAAATGAAATGAGCCCATCTTGTTGTAATGTTGGAGACTTAGTAGCTCTCCTGGAAGTTCAAATCTCATTCCTTCCCTAAAACGCAAAGGTGACTCCTGTATTACTGTACTACTTGATGATGCATTTCTGACAATAATATATGTTGCTTTGATCCAACTCCTGTCACATCCAAGACCAGGAAATAAAGCCTTGGTCCAACAGTGAGATAATTAACTTTTGTTGTCATGTGTTATTACTTGTGCTTTTTAAAAATGAAGTTTGAATTGTCAAAAGGAAGACAAAAGAAAGGGAAACAGAAGTAGCATTTAGGATGTGGCTTCTTGCTACTCCCACCACCTGAATAACAAAATCAAAAACAACAATAACAATAAGGTAAACCAAACTTCTACCATTAAGCTCTTATCTGATTGCTATAGCCAAAAGGAATGCAGATTTTTTGTGTGTGTCTAGATGTCTTGAAAAAATGCACATCGTACATTCTATGCTAACTATTCTGTATCTGCAATAGAGATAATATTTAAAGCATCAAAGATGTTAACCCCCTACCTGAAAATCCCAATTAGTATTGAGTATGCTTAGAGACTCAAAGAGCCATAAAATGTGTGTTAGCTCCAAGAGAAAACAGGAAAATGGTTGTTGGAAAGTGAAGGTAATGGACATGGAAACAGAAACAAACAAGACTAACACAGTATAAGCAGATTGCAAGTAGAATGTGTGTATCTTACTATAGGGTGTGTGGCTAGATTCTTATCTGTTAAAATGTAATTCCATTTGCAATGTCGTCCATTAAGACACTAAACAACAATTTCTACAATCGAGTACTTCTCTTTGACTTCCTTAAATTTTTGCCCCTTGGGTTCTAAATTCATCTTATTTCTAAATTTGATGTTTCTGATGCTCCTCCTCTGTATACCTTTCCTTTACATGTATACTACTATGATATTAAAGTTCAGTACTTCAAGATCTTTTCCCACATTCAAAAAGAACAGAAATCAAAGTGATTCATTATCTCCACAGCAATGCAATATAACTACATGTGCCATGGCCATTCATCCCAAACTGTCTTCTTCCGAAGTAATTCTTCATCTATGCTTATAGCACTTCAATCCACCAAGAAAGATTCAGTATCCCTTATCCAGAATTCCAAAATACTCTAAAACTCAACAATGTCCCTATAAGAGAGTGAGATCAATGGACACAAAATTCATGCACAAAATTATTTTAAAATACTGTATAAATATATTCAACCTATGTGAACAAGGTTTCGACAAAACAAATGTATTTCATGTTTAAACTTCAGTTCAAGATATCTCATTTACATATATATTTATAGAGCTATTATAAAATCCAGGAAAATCTAAAACACTTCTGGCCCCAAGTATTTTGGATAAGGGATATTCAACCTACACCAAAAGGTTTGTTTGAAAGAAAATTTGCTTATCAAACTAGTTTAACACAGTTTTGGTATTTAAGGTGCATCTGCACTTTACAATTAATGTAGTTTGACACTATTGTAGCTGCCAGAACTCACTGCTATGGAGTTATGGGAGTTGCTGTTTGGCAACATTTGGACCTTGTAAAAGTATTATCAATATCATTGAGCCCCTGGCAGTTCAAGTGGTGATACTGCATTAATTCTGTATAGGGTGATAAAAGTGATTTGTTAGTGTTGATGTGTGAAAGCAAGAAATCTGCTTACTAAAAGTCAGTTTATCAGGGTTCAAACCTTTTTCTAAAATTTCTTTTGTTAGCTGTACAGTAGTGAGAACTGCTGTATTAATATAGGCAGTGTGCCATGAAGCCACTGTATTTGTTCATATCTCCACTGATTTGGAATTTGTAAATATAATTCAACCCAACTCTTTCTTTTTCTAGTCTTCATTTATCATTTCCATATCCCAGATCAGTCATGGAGTTGTTTGCACTGCCATGGACTTGCAAAAGGAAATTGGCGGTTAGGTGTACTCTAGCTGCATGCAGGATAGTATTCTTTATGGCTTCTTGTCTATACAGGATAGTATTCTTTATGGCTTGTTGTCTATCCTGGTGTTATATGTTGGTATATAGGGATTCCACATCCATAGTGCCTAGAATTTTCTCTGGGAGGTTGTGGATGAAATGTATTTTCCTCAGGAAACCAGTTGTATACTTCACATAGCTTTGAGTGCTGGAATGAAAGCAGAGTCTATATATATCCAGGCATGTCATCTCATCCAGGACATACTAGGTGAGCTTTTCTCTCCTCCAGTTTCTGTTCATTTGTTGTTGTTTTGCCCTGGCAAAAAAATTGCTTGCTTTGCCATTCACTTACAAAAGGGAAAAAAAAGCCTGGCAGTTTCTTCAACTTAACAGTGCTTTTGGGAACACAGTGATAACAAAACAAAACAGCAAAATAAAATAGCTAACAAGATCAAGTTTCACACTGTATTTACACAAATACATTCTTGAATGTGCTATGATCTTTTTTAAAATCATGTTAAAAGGTCAGGTTATAATGATAGGCTACCATTTTATGATAAATTTTCTTCCACTTAAATTTTAAGCCTCATACCATACATTATCTGCCAAAAGCAAAACAAAAAACCAAGAAGCAATCAGGAAGCATGCTTTGCTCAAGGTCTTCTTTTGAAATGTTGTAATTTAGCTCAGTAAAGAATAGTAGGCTCTGTTCTAGAGAGTAGGAGACAAGTTTACCCTCTTCAATTATGTATGTCTGCACTAAAAATAATCATAAATATGTGGGTTTCTGGGGCCAATAGCTCAAGAAGCACAACTACAAAGGCTTTTCCTGTCAACAAATCTCACTGTGTGGTCTTTCAAACTGAAATAGACACAAACTAAGGAATTAAGAGCAGTGGTGTAAACAGGCAATCTGCACTTTTCAAATCATAAAATAATGGGTGATTCTCAGCTAAACGTTTAGTAAATCCCAAGGAGAAGTCTTTGCATTGCACCTTATTGCAAACAAATAAACCATTGATATCCACTGGGATTTGGTTCCAGGGCACACATACAATGGGGATACAAAAATCTGTGGATGCTCAAATCCCACTATATATAGCAGCATAGTAAAATTGTGGCAAAATCAATGTTTGCTTTTGGGAGTTTTTTTTAATGGGAAGAGGGATATTTTCAAGCCATGGCTAGCTGAATCCACAGAGAGCCAACTGTATTTACAAAGCCTATGCAGGGGATTCATTAATCTGATTTTTTTGAATGGATGCACAAATATTTTTATTGGATTTTATTTGATTTACTAGCTGTACCCGCCACACGTTGCTGTGGCCAACCTTCCCTCTTTTTCTTTCCCTATCTCTCTTCTTTCTTCCATTTCTACCTGTTTCTTTTCTCCCTTTCTTTGCTCTTTAGTTACATCCTTCCTTCCTTCCCTATCTTTTGTTCCTTCTCTCCTTCCTTCCYTCTCTTCTTCCTTTCACTTTTTTATTTCCTTCTCTCCTTCCTTGATTCTCTATCTTTCTTTCTTCCCTTCTTTCCCTCCCTGCTKCTCTCCTTCCTTCCTTCCCTCTTTCCCTCATTCACTTGTTACTTCTTGGGGAGAAGAAGGAAGGAAGGAGGAAAAGAAAGAAGGGGATGAAGAAAGGAGGGAGGGAAGGAAATGAAGGGGAGGAAATGAAGAAAGGGAAAGAAGAAKGAAAGGGAGGGAGGGAGGGAGGGAGGGAGGAAAAGAAGGAAAGGAAGAAGGAAGGAGGGACAGGAAGGAAGGGAAGGAGGGAAAGAAGGAAAGGAAGGAGAAGGAAAGAAGAAAAGAAGGGAAGGAAGGAAAGAAGGGAAGGGAGGGAGAGAAGGGAGGTCCTTCATTCAAGCACCGTGGACCTTCCTCGCCTCCCCCCCTTCTTCCTTGCTCCGTTGCT